CTCCATGGACGACATAGCTTACTTGACTCGCCCCCAAATGTCGACTGTACTCCAAGATCTCCTTCCGAGCACGGTCTGTAATTCAGAGACGGCGGGCCAACCCTTACGCAAGTAATAATTGTGTCTGGCAGGTCTGCCAACTACTCGCCGATTGTCATCCCCGTGTCGCTTTGCCCATTGTCTGTCTAATCTTACATGTTTTGTAATCATCACGATTTTCCTTGCCCAAATCAAAGTCTCGGCTCCGTTCCGAATACTACCAAAACTGAGGTAAGGCGTCAACAAAGTCCATCAATGGGATGTTCCACTCTTCGCTTTACGAAGTAGACTTCGGATACATAATTTCGTAAGGGACCAGGACCGAGAACGCTACAACCACATCGCTTACAGTACTCCGTAGAATCATTTCTTCGAAATTACCGAGAGAATCCACCACTAACGGGGTCTAAAAACAGGAACGGTGAGGAAACATAACGGCACAAGAATAGACCTGCCATCATGGAAACCATCTACATACTCCTATTAAGCTAGATGGCGCTTATGCTTCAGATTAAAATATTCTCCGATACGATCCCCACTCAGTAGTCCTTCGACTGGTTCAACAAGTATCAGAAACTTCAATTCTCTACTTACGAGTCATCAGCACATCTTTCACATCTTCAAACAATGCCCAGAAATAAACACCCACAACAGGATGTTTGTGAACCATAACTTTACACATGAATGCTTGCAAAAATATTGTCACATTGTGCTGTACGTGGTCGTGGGCTCATCACAATACGTCTTCTTCGGACTTGTGGGACTTTGACTAGGTTAGATAGTCGTCATACGTTCGAAATTGCTTTCAAATTATGATGCTTTTGCTGTTTGTTGTGAACACTTCAGACAATTTCAGGCTGCTGACGAGCTTGCCTCACTATCCGCCTGTTTATCCGAGAGATTGAGGGGTGCAGAGACCCCAACCATATCACGTCCAGTATCCATGCCCTTGCATTTGCTCATCTTAAGGTGATGGGGGGTCATAATACAATCCCTGTATCGAGCCTTGCTGCGTCGATCAGCACGGGCGCCACAAAGAAGTACCACACTGGATTCTCTCATGTTCTGAATCTTCGATAATCATGACTGGTCGGACTCTGCCTTACTTTCTGCTGTTAGCAACCATGCAGTGTTCTCCCGTAGGAAGACCGCATTCTAATAGAACGGCGACCATTCATATCGTTATCTTTGCACACTTACAACCTGCAGCTCTCCACGAGAACCAGCACGAGAAGAATTGCCCGTGTTTTTCCATCTATAGCACACATCAAGAAGGTATCACCATGACTACCATCTCACTGCATATATGCGACAGACAAGACGTAAGGTGGCTGTGTCCCCGGATTTTCAATTACTCGAAATATACCCTGTGTGCGGGTAAAGGACTTTCCGGTAGTAGGTACTATATACTTTCTATTTCAGAATTCGATACATAAACTCAGGATCTCGTATCAAGGGAATATCGGCAGTTGTCGGCGATTAATATATTCTATATTGTATATTACATGCAATTCATGCATGATACGATTTATTATATTGCAATTTATTTCCTACACTGCAAACCATATGTACCTGGTTATGGACCAGTTCCAAAAATCTGGTTATCTTGAGAGAATGTCCATTCAAAAGTTGTTGTGGACATTTTTGATAATCAGTTTGAGAGTCGAAATACGGATTAGCTTTGCGAGCTGTTACTATCAAGGTGCTAAGTTTGTTGGAGTTGGGCTCAACAGTTTTCAAACAACATCTCCCGGAATAGTTTTCCCTTCGGGATTATCGGTTATATTCATCCCATGGACAGAAATGGACCAAGGGAACCGAGAAAGTCTGCATCCAGACGAGTGAGAATTCAGCCGAATCGTCTTTTGATCATCAAGATCCACTGTTCAGTGAACATTCTACCAGTTTGCATATCATATCGTTTTCTGATGGAGCCGAGGGATGATGGGTTCGGTACCAGTGATCTGAGTTCGGTACCAGTCATCTGCTATGAGATGTATCGTGCGTATTCTTTTGGGGAATTATTGCACATCCTTGAAGTTAGTAGGGTTTCGGTCTCGCCTCGCGCCCCCTAGCTACAGCGTCGTGTGTTACCAGATTGTGTTAAAGAACATACACAATGGAGCAACGAGTAAGATGAGGTCAAAGTATGATGTATCATGTTCATTTTAAAGTATCATCAGCCCTCCCACGATTTTAACTCTATTATCAAAGATATAGAAGGTTCCTTTACCAAAAGAAACCTATTTTTGTCCTTTCAGTGTCACTGCCCTTACTTCCACTAGCTTCACTACTAGATGGCAGTGTCTCGATATTTCCCATTGGTCAGTACAACATCAAAGTGTTGTTCTTACTTTGAACGGAAACATTAGAATTCGTCTCCAGCATATAGGTAGACATTCTATTTACTTCATGACTGTCTACCAGTCCTCTCTCCTTGCAAATTTTGACAAATAAAAAAGTAATATAGTTGCCAGATTCACATATAGGTATATCGTCACCACAAATGTCATACTTTATCTAGAGACAGGACGACGGTCCGAAAAAACGTTGCAACTAACATGAATTATCATTCAAAAATGAACGAAGTATATTAAGGGTAAATTTTAACGCTTAGCGCAGTCGTTATTGACAAGCCTTCAAAAAGCCATGGTGACATCGTGGCTCTACTATCTGCACATCGCCATCGCCATCTTGACTCGTTCTAGAGACTTCCAATGAGAGATCTAGTGTGCATAGATTTGAGCGTCTCGTGTGTATACTAAGCATCTCGTGATGTCGATAATGCTACTTCGTATTGCGGTAGCTAGCAGTGACATCGAGTGGAGCAGTATGAACGAAACTTCCCACGACACGCGATCAAGTTCACAGTCATCGTTGTGGCAAAAGACACGATGTTGATTCAAAAATTATTGTCAACTTGAGGCTTGAGCTCTAGCCTGTTTTCACGATGATCTTTCCTTTGGCGGAACATAACGACCGTTGATCCGGCGGCAATGGCCCTAGTCGGAGCTCTTGTTGAGCTAACACTGCAGCTTTTTTTTCTAAGCCTAGTGGATGATTAGAGGGGAGTCTTCTTCCGGTAGACTAGATTGAAAATATGGGGAAAGAAGCAGGAACTCTTCTCCGTAATGGGAAGAGATAGAATGACAGGCTTTGAGCTTGAGCTTTGCGCTTTGGTAACATACATTTTAGAGTTGAGATTTGATGTCACAATGAGCTCAAAAGACATTAAAAAACGTCATATGACTGATAAGCTTTTCAAAAGCTCATTGGTGATATCGATCATATGATGTCGAGTCGAGATATTGTCCGTGAGAGGATATACGCTGCATGGTTATTTAGAAAGGTTACGGATGTTTAGAAAACGCACTGAGACGCCTTGCAATGAATATGCATTCTGAAAGACCCAAATTCCAAAAAAATACTGATTGATTATTACAATACATGCGGACTCACGGGAACGTAAATGGTGACAGTATACTAGAATCTGTTTCCTCAGACACTTATGTAGAACAAGAAAAATAGTCGGCTTGGAGAATTTTATTAGTACATGAAAGATTTGACTAGAGCCGTATCAATGATTTGAAAGTCCAAATACTATGCTGAAAACTCCTGACATGAGCTTCAACACATAAAAACCATAATCGCAACTCACTCCATGTATATAATGTACGTCAGAAAAAGCATTACAGATGCACCCCTCGTTTGATCTCATCTTATTGAGTCCATTTCCCCGCATCTAAAACCGGACCTCAAAACTTGACATAAACTTATAGATCCCGCGAAAAAGCTTAGTAGTCCGTGATTAGAACAGCCATCCGCATCTCAGCCTCGTCCAAGCCTGTTTTGAAGTGCCGATTGTAGGCCATGTACTGTCTCTGATTGGCAGATGTGGCGGTCTTTTTGCCTTTGTTCCATCGATTTTTGTGTTACTACAGCAATTCCTGCTTACTTTTACTCACTTTGGAATACACAGATGTGCTGGGAAGCCGTCGATGTAAGACGAGAAAAAATTCGCTGTTTCGCTTGAGATCGTGAAAATGGCACGCCTTGGAATGTGTGATTTCCGCAGGACTTAACGGGTAGTTTATTACTCATTCTTGCCATTATATTCATGATAAATACTGCTGATTCATTCACAGGGCAAATGACAGTAGTCTTATTACATGCGAGAAAAGTTTCTTTGGTTTTATTGCAGAGTAAACACTACATCTCAGGAGCTGTTTTCACTAGGAAAGTTTCGACATCTGGGATCAAACAAAAAAAAATCCAAAGACTTGATTGGCATGACTGCGAAATCAAAGATATACACATCATCAACACAAATTACACTCTCTCCATGATCTCTAGATGTAAATACAATGAACTGTACTAGTCTTCCCAGAGAAGGTTGACCTTGATGGCGAGCCCAATTGAGAAGTAATGTGATCTGCAGTCCCAGTTAGAAACTCATGACATGCTTCATTTTATTTTATCCTAATTCTCTCAACTTTTCTCTTTTGCTCGATCGAGCCTGACGCATCAAGAGATCTAATCTAATACACACTTTCATGGTCATTCGTATCTACAAAAAACCAGTACAGCGTTTGAAGGCTGCCGTGAAACTAAATGATATAGATATGGAATTTGCGACTAAGTCGTGGTTTCGACCGTCGGTGGTAATACAATACGATCATAACCAAGCATGAAAGGGGATCACTCAATCACCAAGCACAAATCTCGAACCTAAACTAAACTACATGGATACCGCAGGCTAACAGAATGATAAGATAGAAAAGACGGATTTGTGTTCATAAATTGGTATCATTCTTTTTTCATTCATTATTGTACGCCATTTTCCTGTACTATAGTCATATACAATACATTTCCGTGGATGTTGTCCATGGGCCGTCCTAACTCTCCTTCGTCCACACATCTATCGGCGATTAATTTATCTTACAAATTTCTTCCTGGTATCATCAATCGACGCCATAAAATTCTTCTTCGGGCTCAATAATATCGTCATCTTCCCCTACGCCCTCATACACCTCTCCAGTCTCAATATCATCTCCAACCACCTTTCCCTCCTCAATCGCTAAAACCTCTGCTCCGCCTTCCGGTAACCCTCTTTCTTCTCTCAACTGTCTTACCTTGGAATTAGTCATCTCAAAAACATATTGACCCAAATGCTCCACCCCTTCCATAACAGCTTCACCTTGCACGGACTCTAGGCCCTCTTCGTTCGCCAGGATCCTCTGACTTGGCCACATCTCCCCAGTGCTCAACGTCAACTTATCTGGTCTCGATAGTAAAATATCGAAGGCCTGCTTCAGCTCGAAACACGATTCAAAGACATCTCGTCGTCCCAGAATGTAAAGACCAAGACGAGCGCGAGACAATGCCACCGTAAGACGTCTAATGTCGCGAAGATAGCCGACACGTGATGTACGAGTGAGGGAGAGAATAACATCTGATATCCTGTCAGTCATTTATCGGCAAGAGAATTAGCTTCAAGAAACTTACAGTCATTTTGCTCTCCTTGATATTTATCGACAGTTGTGACGATTTTTGGGAGACCAAATAGAGGATTCTTAGCACATCGATGGGATAGAACGTCTTTGATTAGTGCGCGCTGACCAGCATATGTGGATAGTATACTGATCTTCGAAGCTGGATATCCGAGTAAGCGCATATATTGATAGATGGCGACTGCGTATTCTGCTTCTCCTAGATTCTGGATGAAATGAGGAGTTGGCTCCATTTCACCCTTTCCTTTGTAATCAGAAACTTGGATGAATTGGTAATCGTACTTGAAACCAGCATTTGCGGTTTGATATTCGGGTGCAGTTGATACAATTGGCAAATTGCCAAGATTTTGGTAACGCCAGGAATATAGGGATGCGATCGATGGACGAGCACGACCCTGTTGATCGAGATTGATAGTTGGGACACCTAAGCGAACCAGGCGAGAGAAGAGCGACTGTTCGAGATTTGCGTAGTGACGGAACGCAAGATTCTGAACGACAGGAGAGTTCTGGAAGTGGTCACCGCACAAAACTACACGCTGGAGGGGAGTCCCGCCATTTGCTGGCTTCTGTAACGCCATGGGTATAAAGTTTTCGATTTCAGTGATCTGAGCCGCCTCCTCCATAACGACATTATCATAATGGAAGCCAAGTGAAGATATCTCCCGTCTTCTCATAGCTGCATGCGTTGATGTCATCGCAATGATGCGAGCCTCATTGGTGAGAAGATAGTTTGCCTTGTCTCGATCTCGTCGTAAGATCTCAAATGGTCGGACGTCTTCAAGTTCAGCGAAAATTTTAGTGACGTGGTTGTAACAGCCTGTAGCTACATCAATGACGGCATCTTTGTCGGCACCAGGAGGGAAAAGAGGCTGAGGAGCATTCGAAAAGTAGTAATGAAACGGAAAAGCAGAGACAATTGACTCTGATGTTGAATTCGGGTCTTTCATAACTTCCTGGAATCTTATCCATGCTGGCTCAACGTAAACCGAGTTGAAGTATCCGGCAGTTTCCGCTGAGCTTCCATGGGCACCTGGAGCACCGAAATTGGCAGCAAGGCGATCGACCTCTCTAAGATATCCATCTCGATTTTCAAGGAAAGACTCGACACGTCCATGTTTACTGAAATTCGTTTCAGTGTCTAATTCCTCTTCACCATGTCCCAGTCGCAAAAGGTGGCGTTCGTCAATATCAAGAGCGACGATCTTTTGGAACAATTGATTAAGAGCTTGATTACTATGTGCAATGAGTAGAGTACGCTGATTAGGGAAGTTGTGATATAAATTGTTGATGATTTGAGTTGCAACATCGGTCTTTCCAGTTCCCGGAGGACCAACAATAACAGTAAGCCCGGGTTGGGTACCGGAGATGATTGCTTCAATTTGAGCAGGTGTGAAACGGACTTGGTTCAACTTAGGGGCGTCCATGGGATATGGTCCTGTACTTGGGGGTTTATAGGAAGAAACTTGGATGGCTTGCGGCTCATCTTTTGGTGCAGGCTCTGCTTCTCTGCGCCTCTTTTTCGTTGGCCTTGCCGGCGGCTCAGCAGCTTTTGGCACGGTTTGCAATACGTAAGGTGGCCCAAAACTACCCGTGACGTCATCATTTGGTTCGACCGTCCTACCGGGCAAGCTTTCGATTAGATGTTGCCAGTCAAGGAATGTGTCTCTGTAATCGACTTTTTTGAGTTGATTTGATAGTCTAGTATAGTTGGCTCCTGCAGGATCACCATAGCCTAAAAAGACCTCGTGGAGCCAGGGGGCTAGCGGGACATCAGAGAGTGTTAAACTTCTGATTGATTCAAGAATTGGTTTGAAGTTATTTTCACGTCCTTTTCTACGAACAATGATGTTCATGGTTTCGTAAATGTCAGGCTTGCCTTTGTCGACGCGATCCTTGTCCTCTTTATACATGGCTGCATCAAGCTTTAATTGCAGTCTCCGTGAGCCAGCGCGAGCATTTCCATTGACTTGACCATTATAATTCATCAATGAGCGTCCCCTATCATCTTGTACTTGAATCACCTCAGCTGCTCGAAGGTATTTCAGACCGAGGTTCTGCGCGTCTGAAGTTGATGCTCCGCCGTTCGCGATCATAGCAGACTCGTCCGTGGCTTTCACAGAGAGCAAGAAGATCACGTCATCAGGCCGCAGCGAATCCCATTCGCGGCGAACATTTTCAACCATGCGGCTTACATCAATCGTGACTTCGGCCCGGACGAGAGCTGGTTTATCATCTCCTACGAGAGGAGGTACTACTTCAAGAATACTACAAAAGCGATTAGAGTAGATCGAAATAAAATAATGATGCTAAAACTTACGAAGGTTTCGCTATTGGAAGTGCCATCCTGGAAAATCCTTCAAAGCTTGTCTGGCCTGTCCTACCGGCGACGGGTCGGAGACGCTTTATTGTGTCCTCTACATCTCGTCTAATTTCATAGAACGACTCGCATCGATGCAAGATAAATGAGCGCCACAGAAAATCCCCAACAGTTAGATATTGCAGGTTTAGCTTTGGGATAGCGAGGGGCTGTGATCCATCGAACCCATCATTCCTGAGCAGGGTTCTTTCAAAAAGAGTACTTTCTGTTGGGAGAATGCTCAAGTCACGTGCAGTTTCCTGAAATGTCTTGCGCTTTTCATGTGTTGATAAAAGAATTTCCAAGAGAAATTTACGGTCTACTACCACCTTGGCAGATGACGGATAAGACGTCCGTAGATCAAGAAGCTCGCAAAGCTCTGTCATCTCGGCATCTGTGAGGGATTCTAAATGACCCTCAAGCTCCACCCGCTTATCAATAGACGAATAGTTGGACAAGGCAAGAATGGTCAGCTTTTCCTTGAAATGCTTGAGTGCATTCCGTTGCAAGGACGCCAGTGTTGCACAATGGCGTTCATATGCTTCCGTGCGGCTATGTTGAACGCCTGTATGATCATTAATTGCAAAATATGTATAATGCTTCAAAAGCGCATATAGATCTCGTAGAAGCCCATTCTCCTCTTCATTGAATGCTGGGGATAGTCTGATAGTTGGAAGAACGTGAAGATCTTGTAGAAGTGTGTTGACGTATCTCCTGGTTGGCAATTGGCTCTGAAGATCCGATAAAAACTCTATAAACCTTTCACAATACTGTACATTTTCTGTTTCTTGTATTAGCCAAAATACAAATATCACAGTGACAGCAAGAGCTTGAACGAACCTGTCTTTATTTTGTCTCCGTAGAGCTGATTGAAAAAATCTAGAATTAGAGTCAAGAGCCAAGATCGCTCAAACCTGAGTCTAGCTTTCGTAGGTTCATCAGATGCTTCATATCGTTTTCCGGCAGCCCTCCAAGCTTTCTTCAGTTGTACAGTATGGTCGAGTATCTTTTCTCGTTTTTTCTCGCTTGAAATGTTGTGCCAAATGGATATTGAGACCAAAGGTGCGCATTCTTTCCGAACTATGCCATTGTCTAGTGACTGGAATGCGCTTATTATGAATGACAACAGGTGCGTTCGAATCGTTGCAGAGAGGGTAGTATCCAATGTCATAGACAAGATTCGGCGGAAGAGGGTTGAGAAATCAGGTGTATTGTCCGCAAAGATATCTATGTTCATCAGCATGACGAACTGAAGCCTTCTTAATAGTACTTACCCCAAGTTGGCAGATGTTCTCTGGTCCTTACATTGACAATGAGAACTATGAGAAGTATATGAAAGTTGGAAGCATCTTCTGAATAACCTGGCCAAAGATAACTAGCTTTGTTGTCAGTAATAGTTCCTACGTCAAAAGCCTGGATGATTAAATGTACTTCTCTAGAATATGAAGATTTTCTAGCGTCAAAAGGGATCTGTAAGAAAAATCTTCCTGCTCTAAAACATCCCATATTTCTTTCTTGATAACGTCAGGCTTGACCTTAACTTTCGTGGCTTTCTTCGAAGGTTTCAACCAATGCTTTGCGGCAAGTTGCGAAAATGAGCTTTCATCCTGTGTTTCCTCCGCAGATGGCATTCCCGTAGATTCTTCAATAACCTTTCCCTGGCCTCTTCCTTTCGTCCTCGGGGCCATTGTTGTTATCCGTGGTATTGACTGGCAATTCGTATTGCGCGCGTCGGTCGCGTGTAAACATCTTATCGTCCTGATAATTTTTGGAAGCTTGGTGCACCAGTGCTCTTGCACGTGATGACTAAGCAGAAACTCGCCGTATCTAGATTGACGTCGCGATAACCTTCACTTCTCGCAACAATTAATTTTACCACCAGCCCCGAAACCTTTCAAATCACATTCTTTCGTCGGTGCCAGTACGGAAGGATTTTGTGAGTTGATATCGAAGCACAAAATGGCTGTCAGCATGGAGGGACACGGTCTTCCCGTCGTAGAATCTTTTGCGCAATTATTGTTGGAAATGCTTCAGCGGGCTGAACATGTCAAAGGAACGCACACGATAGAGTCGCCATTGAGTAAAACGGAGCTTGCGAATACATACGAGCGAATCGATCAAATATTCAACGAAGCCGCACCTATAGAAACTAAAAAGCGCAGTCAGTATGCGATCATCGAAACCGCTGTTCGAGATACTTTCAACAATTTACTAGTAAGCCATGCACCAGTACGAGTCGTAGATACCCTCTGACGACCCATAGGCCTCTATATCCATTGAAACTTCTTCCTCTTCCAGGTTGTGGAACCTCCTCGATATTATCTCCATTTTGTCTGACGATGAACAATGCGAACCGGCCCTTCTCTTCTGGCTCGTGGAAGAATTACTGGATAGTCAGACTATCGCAGGATGCCGGAGAATATTCGATTATCTTGAATCACGACGTGAAAAAATCACTGCAAAGCATTTCAACCAAAAGAACCTAGTTATCTTGAGAAGCTGCAACGAGCTTTTGCGGCGACTTTCGAGAGCAGAGGATACCGCATTCTGCGGTCGCGTTTTCATTTTCATGTTTCAAAGCTTTCCCCTTGGCGACAAGAGTTCTGTGAATTTGCGCGGTGAATTTCATGTCGAAAATGTTACATCTTTCGACACCCTACCGTCCATTCCAACGGATGTTGAGAAGATGGAAGTAGATTCGGACAGCAATACGAAAGAAACTCCACCGACCTCCAAGCCAGCATCAAATGGACGGACGAGCGCAGCGAGAGGTTCTGAAGATAGCAATGGTTCAGTCAAGGACGCAGCATCATCGAAACGTGAACCGCCGATGAAGCCCGATGAGTTATACCCGATATTCTGGTCGTTACAGCAGAGCTTCAGCCAACCGAAAAAACTGTTCAATCCTGAGAATTTTGCCGAGTTTAAAAAGGGTCTGGAAGCTACAATAGCAACTTTCAAGTCGGTACACCATGAGGCAGCAGGGCGTCCTGCGGCAAGAATAGCAGAGGATTGTAAGAGGGGAACGAAAAGAAAGCGAAGTCAAGGAGACGATGACTTAGCTAATTCCTTCAATCCTAAATATCTCACAAGTAGGGACTTATTTGAATTAGAGGTATGCTATCTTTTATTACCAGCCATTTTATCACAACGCTAACTCAACATTGATAGATCAGTGATTTGTCATTTAGGAGGCATATACTTGTTCAAATTCTGATAATAATGGATTTCCTTCTTTCATTAAGCGCCAAGGCGAAAGAGAAGCTTTCGAAGGCTTTACCGGATAACCTCAATAGATCGGTTACTTATGCAGACCAGACGCTCAGTGAAGAGGATGTAAGTAACCCGTTTCCTCGACGCGTCTTTTAGTAGATATCTGCTGACAATTTATAGACAAAGTGGTCATTAGATATGAAAAAATCAATTGCAGAATATCTGAAGAAAGGCGCGGATGGTGCATTTTTTTATCGTATGGTTGAGACGGTTCTGTCCAGAGATAAGAACTGGGTTCGTTGGAAGGTCGAAAATTGTCCTTCTATTGCTAGACCAGCTGTTTCACCTCACGATTATATTACCGCTAAAGCGTCGGCTCGCAAAGCGACAACTAATAAAAGATTACGCCCTAATCCTCTAGGATCTTTAGATCTCAAATTCCTTGCGGAAAGCGACTTAGAGAGTGGCTTGGAGAGGTTGAAGAAACCAGAACGTTACCAAGTTCCTTCCGTAAAGAGTTTCAAGAATAAAATCGAGTTGGACGACATGGATATCGATATGGCTCGAGACGAAGAATCCAAAAATGTGGCCATAGAAGCTAAAGCGAGCAAATGTTGGAGAGCACTACGAATCGCTGGTGCAAGCAAACTTGCTGCTTTTGACAAAATCGAGAAATCGGACAGCATTGACGAAATCTTCAAGGATGATGTCAAACCCGAAGATCTGGTCGCCCCTGGTGACGAAGATGCGCTGGAAGGTGGGGAACAGAAAACTGAAGAGGGAATTGATGCAGCGAAATTACCACCGACGGAAAACGAGGATGTTGATATGGAAAATAAGAAGGAAGAGCAGCCGGATGTTCCAACGGTGCCCGCTACGGAATTGGGAACATGAGGTTGAAGATAAAGCCGACAGCCGTAGTCAAGGTTGAAGATCAGCATGGCATGGAAGATATTAAAATACTCAGCCATCAGCAGAAAAATATGGTGTAGCGGAATTTACGTCATTGAAAACTGTACTTTTAAATGTACTATATAATACCTCCTTTATATCTCCGCAGATATACTATATACCATAGCAAAGCTTAGTATAGCATTGCATTGCTATGAACGACATTCAACTACAGAAGAGACAAGATAATCCATTGGTATTATTCTGAGGTAAAACTCATAGGTGAAAAGCTTCACAAAGAACACTTGAGCTGGGCATTTCGCACGAATGTTCAAAGTCATCTGGAGAATGAGTATAGACCATTATAGCAATAAGAAATCAAATAATAAACAACCAAAATACTGCGCAGATCAGACGAAGAAGAGGGCCGGGGAGTTTAATGTTGTTTGACTGCTGTAATTGCTCCTCGACCTTTTGTATAAGTTGTTAGTACTTTAGATGAAGAACTAGCGTCATCCACCTGAATATCTTCACCGTTCAAACAAAATATCATATTTGCTGAATATAACACAGCATTGGTAGATGGCAAATCGATATTGATATTATGGTATTATGCTAAATCGCATTATCCTACTTCGATGCAGTACCTAGTGAAACATACGATAGCGTAACTACACGCGATTAGATTCCATATGCGGATGATGAAAACCACCGAGTTCCGAGTCGCTTGCCCCCTTCAGCGCCTATAAAGCCTTTTTCCATTTCGGTATGTCACAATGTAGACAATATCATCCGCCAACTCTCTGAGACCCTTGCGCTCTGTAGGTATTGGCGAGATATTTCTTCTACAGGTTGCAGGCATCACCCACGTTCCCTATTCATACATACATACGTTTGTCTTTATTCAAAAATCTTTCTAATCTCGTTCAAATCCTCTTTTCCTGCAAGTACGCTCCACCATTTACCACCCGTATTGCCATTTATATCCAAGGCACCCGAACTTGGAATGGTCATTGAACGATCGTCATTGCGGATCACGACTAAGTATTGTGGGAGGGGGGTTGAATCAGAGAGACCGGTAAGTATGGAGCTCGAAGGACGCATTTTCCATGCTCTGTAGGCGAAGTTTTTGCGTGGGAGTAAATTTGAATCGTGGTGATTAGATAGGGGTGGAGATGTGGATGAGTGAGTGATAGGTGAGGTTCGTGCAGGTACAGGTGAGTAGGCTTGATGACCAAAAAAAAGGAGTTGAGATTCTGGAAGTTGGGTTGGCTGCCTGATGTCAGTACCCATTGGAACTAGAGATATCGGAGCTGTCCTAGTAAGAGCTGGAGTATGAACTCCAAGTTGAGGTGGCGATGGCGGTGAGGGTGCAGGAGATCTGTAAGCACGACTGCTGGATGAATCAAGGTGAGACTGTGGATCTGTGGATCGCTTTGAGGGAGAGATGCTTGTATCTCGGGGAAAGAGAGGACGTAGGCTAGTCGTGTGGGGAACTGAGAACGACAATGATGCTGATTTGGGAGGGGATGGATAGGCGTCAGAAGGCAGAGATGGCATCAAATTATCATTCTCGAAATTGCTAGCGAGCTTACTTAACTCGTGAGTAAGTGGGGTGTCGCTACTAAGTGAGCCTGTGGATTGATTCTGGAGAGTTGGTAAAGTGGAAGCCGAAGGAGCAGATGTCGGATTCAGAATAGAGCTTATGCGTATTCTCTTCTTCGACGGACTGAGCTTGGTCATCTCTGGCGAAGTAGGTAACGTAGACTGGTGAATTTCTGTGGGGATATGGGTGGAGATATGAGATGATAAACGTTTCAGACTGGGACTGTGAGTTCGATCACTTTCGATGGTTGGCACTGATGAATCTGGATATGGGGCTGAAGTAGTGGCGCTAGGATATAACTTTTTCGAGTCGAAAACCCGATTGAGACTGGCAAGTGTAGTTATAGCCGTATTTTCCAATGCACTGAGATGGGGTGATGCTGTGGTCCTTAGAATAGGCCGAGGCAAAGTTAATGGTGACGAAACCATGTAGTTTGGATGATACTGAGAATACCCTGCGCCTCCTTCTTCGATTGGTGGTAATCTGCGTCCAGCCCTGAATTGTGTTGTACCTGATCTTCCTGTGTCACCACCGAATTCAAAACTTCTGGCAGCTTGTTCAATTTCCTCAATTTTCACGGGCGTATTGAGCAAAGAATTTTGTAGAGAGACAACGTTGGTTTCATTGAGAATATGATGACGAGAATTTGAAATGTTAGGGATGCCGCGACTGTATGAATTATTCTTGATCATGGGTGACATTTCTTCCTGGTCTTCGTCTTCAGATTCGTATTCTTCTTTGCTCTGGGAAGGCGCAGTCAAGTCGATAAGTTTCTCCTCTAATCCTTCGGAAGCGGACTGGAACTTTTGCTCACTGGGTCGCTGCTCCATGATATATGAAAGGCTCATTATATTGGCATGTTTATGGTCCTTTGCTTTTATCAACGGGTCCTCCTCCGGTCTCACAAAGCTTGAACTGTTTAATATAATACTCTGATTCGAGGCACGAGAGCCCAAGGTACCGGTGTTCGAATCCTGCAGATGGCGAGTAGAGGAATTACAAGCTCCAACTCTTCTGTTGACTGAGTTTCGGGCTTCGAGTCTTTTACTTGAATTATATTTTGAGAAATGCCTTTGTTCTGGTCGCAAAGCTCCCAGTGTCCGAATCTTGGATCTGTAAACAGGCCTTTGAAACGGCAGTGATTGTGGTCGCGATCGAGCTCCAAATCTTCCAGTAGGTATTTTCTTGCCCTGCGGTCGTTGTGATGGGGGGGCAGTGCGAGGAATATTAGGTTGAGGGAGAACTGGTTGCTTCTTCCTGACGGGTATAAGAATTTGGCCATCTGTATTGGGCACTGCTTCGTAGGTAGTCATGATTATCAGATTATGTATGATGAAGATATGATTTCAATGTTCTATGTAGTGTTGATATTCTTGATGTTGAGATGGAAACTGGGATGGCAAGAAAGGCGATGAAAGTTTATACAGCTGCGTCATGATCTGTGTATGTGATTCATGAGGGAGGCGTTGACTCCAATGTGAATACTCTGGCGCAGTGGTGATATCTTAGTTCATGTAAGTATTCACGATCGATGCCCTCAGATATTTGTTTTCATCGAGTCATTGAAGAATTCATGTATACAACGTCTGTGAATCATAAAATAAGTAAAATTGTTGATATCGGGTATGTTTGTATTGAGTCATAAATCAGCCTGTCGACTATTCGATGAACTTGAGGGCCTCCGATGGTAAATAACTTTAATAAAAAAAGTGCGAAAGTAATTAATATCTCAATTGACATTGAAAATATATCTTCAAAGATTGTTGAAGCTTCAGCGAACAATAGTATTGGATATGAATCCATAATCATTCTACTTGGTGATTTTCTCCCATGCATCTCTATCTTTTGCCTCTAGCCAAGTTCTCAATAAATGTGGTTCAACTCTTCATACGTTTTCGAGAAACATAAAGTCCTCGAGCGCCAACTGCTCTATTCTGACATCCTGCTCTATATGTACCTCATATGATGACTTTCCAGTGGGTGACTCATTTTTCTTTGTGGTCCTCATCGTTCTTTGGCGCAGCTTGTGCGATTCCATTTTATCTTGACTGTTGGTAATGTACGTAACTAATCTTGAACTAGAATTTCTTCGGGGGAGCGCAGCGGCAGCATGCTCTCCAGCTAAGTCCATCGAACCGGTATCTTTAGTGCAATGACTGAGGTCTTGAGGCTGTCGCTCAACGTCATATTGTGCAGGCATCAATGACTCTCTTAGGATTCTCAGAAGTTTTGAATGTTTCCCATTCCATGCCGCATAGAACATTGTAGATGCTATGAGTGCATACCCATAAATGTAATAATTATTTTGCGTTCTCGACTCGGTGGCTCCAATTACTGTCCCAGTCCAAGTTCGACGCAGTATAGTACCGTCTTCATATCGGTAGAAGGGAGGCGGAGGTAGCCCTTGAGTGGCCGCCTTCGACATTGCACACTTGCTTCTTGAGTTGGCTTTAACTCGATTCCAAGTCAGTGATCGACAGTAATATCAATTGGTTTACCTGGTTTGAGAAAGACACACCTGTTCTCCTTGACAATATTCGATATAATCCTTGGTCGCAGTCCAAATAGCCAACTTCAACGCGAAATGTGATATAACGGTACCGACTACAATGGCAACTGCCGCAATGATTGTTGCCTTATCCCAAGTTATAAGATGCTTGACGAATCTTTTCAAAAGACCGTTCATCCAAGAAGGGAAAGCAATTGCAAAGAGGATGGTGTACTTGAGATAGCCAGCTCGAGTGAATTGATTGCTAGTTGCAGCTGACTGCTGTGCTTGCGAAGTTTGTTGTCTCAATGGAAAATGGGTTGGAACTTGGGTTTGACACTGCACACCTGTGGATGAGGGCGGCATAGGGGGGAGTTCTCGAGGACCCGATACAAGTGGTGAGCCACTGGTATCTTTCTGTTGGCTTGGGGAGGTTTGAAGTGATATAGCGGGTAACATTTTGTTTGATCGTTCATGTCAGGAATATAGCAATAGAAGTAGTCTTCTTCCAACACTTGAAGGGAAACATTAAATATCTATGCGGCCCGTCACACAGCACAGCAGCCGAGCCTCAATCGCACACAGCCTTGTTGCACATTATAGCTTCGATGGAGCAGATTGTATGAGATACTTGGAAATTATTGTTCGAAAGTATTTCTCCACTCTACGAAAAGGCATCGAGCAATTTCAAATAGAGGAAGGTCTAGAACGCCTATTGTTCTATCCAAAGTATGAATGTAAAGATACCACCACCAACAGCCACCTCATGCTTGATAGAAGAAAATTCATGGCAATCTCAGGACTCTGTATGATTCAAGGGTCAGTAGGCATAGCACATACTTTCCCAAGCCTTTGCGGTGATGATTGTAAGGTGTTTAAAAGGTTGCATATATCTCAGCTCGTCAATAGGGACTGTTCATTTTCCCCCTAGCTGCCAGCTGCATGTTCCTTATTGACAGTCAGAATGATAAATTGTCATCGGCGCTCAGTATATACATGCTGTACTCATACTTGGGTCTTGATATGCGTGGTGAGGTTCAAGAATCGGTGAATACGGGCTGTGATATACCGATTTGAAAACTCCAAGAGTCACAAAATGTGTGCAAAATGTGTCCAAAATGACCAACACCAGGAATTCAAAGCAAATATATTGACGGCTTGCAAGTTATGACAAAGTCGAGTCATTTGATCAGGGTTGTATAAAAAAACCCCATAGTTATAAATAATATAACAAGGTTCAAAGATTATATCCAAGGAAATTTATCATTTTGCTTCCTTAGCGGTACGAATCCCGTGCTCTCAATCACATCGTATCGTATCGCGCCACAGAGCAATCCATTTTTCTTCATTGCCCAGCGCAATCATGACCTATCCTCCTCTGCAACTCCACTTTCATCCTCATCCTACATATCTTCGTAGGAAGAATCATGGATTCTGGCTCCGAAAATCGAGGTCTCGACCTTGAAAAGGAGTTGACATGTTCTGTAAGTCGAGAATTATTAAAGTTACCAAATCCTAAAAAAACAGACCCTACCCCGCAAAACTCTATAGGGCTGGGCTTGAAGCCGCATTTGCATCTCGAGGGATAGTGTATTCATTTTAACTGGTCATAGATTTGCACAGAGGTTTTATATCAACCGTTGACATTACTCGATTGCTTACATACCTTCTGCGGCTCTTGTCTCAAAGAATGGTTTTCCTGGCAACTTGTCTCCGTGAATAATGCACAAACACCGATTCCACCCGGTGGTACGCCATACACATGCCCATCATGTCGCGCACCAGTTCGAGATACGAAGCACAGTTCTACAATAGCGACGTTACTGGAGATGTTCTTAGCGCGGAGTCCAGAGAAGGGTAGAACAGCTGAAGAAAAGGAAGAGGTTGCTGCGAAATACAAAGCTGGTGATGAAGTATTACCGAAATGGGAGCAGAGAGACAGAAGTTCGAGGGAGAGACGATTGGAGGATGAGGATCGAAGGCTGATGGATGAAGTAAGAGATTTAAGCTTGAGAGAAGTGGGGGTAGAGAGTTCAGAGGCAAGGAGGGAGCGAAGGAGACGAGAACGAGATGGAGAAAGATCGCATAGTTCGAGACATCATTCGAGTCGTGATCATAGTAGGGATAATAGGAATACAGATGACACCGATCGACGGCGGCGAAGGGAAGAGCATCATGAAAGGAGAAGAGCTCGACAAGGAACCTCTGCGTTGAGGCCGGAACCCGATCGCAGCGACTCTGAAGGCCGACGAAGGGGATATAGTGAGATTGAATCGATAAGGAGACATGAAGAAACTAGCCGGTCAGCGGCACGACAGATCGAACATCAATCATCTTTACGGTCACTGATTAGCTCTTCTGACATAGATTCTAGAGAGATGGAAGAAGAGATTCTACGACAAATTAGGGAGGAAGGATTACTGGACGGAATTGACCTTGAGAATATCGATGTTAATCAGGAGGATCAGATTAGTGAGAGAATAGCAGAAGCTTTCAGGCGGCGACAAGAAGAGAGATCGAGACCCGATTTATCTAGAAGAAGCGAGAGTGATACGGCGGATAGACGAAGACGGTCTCCTCGAGCTTCGCTCACAGACTCTGGGAGAGAAACCTCTGGTGATGATGCCCCCAGAACTACAAGACGACGCAGAAATCAATCATCCTCGCCAAGATCGGGTAGTTTAAGCAATGAACAAAGCAGGCCTCCGCCGTCCATAAGTGCCGTACACGCAAGCCACCTAGATGTTGGCCTGAATTCTGGAGGACGACGACGACAGAGAACCTTAAGCGCGCCACGAAGCTCAACAGCACCCGTACCGGTGATTACGCCCGAAACAAGACCCGCCGCTCGGTCGCAGATGGATTTGAGCACTATACCTCGGACCTCTTCTGTGCAAACATCACAACCTTTTAGGGCTCATGCGAGGAGGAGCACTGACTCCAATGTGCGACGAATGAGTGAATCATCAACAAGTAGGGAACCACAACCACAAACAGGATCCACTACAAGAGCATCTAATAGTACAGTCGTTGCATCTCCCTCAGAATCGATACCGAGAACATCAAGCAACAGCTTGCTAGAAAGATCACATTCGGATGATATGGCTGAACTACCTGATATACCTGATGTACCTGCTCCGTTGAGCATTCGTGCTAATGCCCCAGCCGATATTTTCGTGGCCTCTGCTGTTCCTGCATCTGTTCCATACATGGATGAATCACTAGTTCCTGCACCGCTTTCACCACACACCCCTACTCACCTAGCACTCTTCGATAAAGCTGCTGCACTAGCAAGTGGTAGCAGACCAAGTTCTTCTCATTCTGTGGGGTCTAGACCACGAACACAGCTTTATCCCGAACCATCAATATTATGTAGAAGATGTCAAAAAACTCATATTGAATATGAAGTGCACTATAATTGCTCAACTTGCTTGCGTGGCAATTACAACATCTGTCTCTCATGCTATCGTTCAGGTGCAGGATGTCTACATTGGTTTGGATTTGGCTATTCAGCATGGACAAATTGGGAAAATCAAATGCAAGCCGGGAAAATACCTCAAGGTGCAGATAGGCCACATATGCTCACAGCGAACCGCTACCTGGCACCTAAAATGGCTGCTGGCGGCGCGGACGGTCGCAAAACCCTAACTACAGAAGATCCTCAGAAACGTCTGCAAAGTGGTGCATTCTGTGCAAGTTGCTTAGCATGGACAAACGAATGTTACTGGCGTTGCGATATTTGCAATCATGGTGATTGGGGATTTTGCAATCTCTGCGTCAACCAAGGCAGATCATGTACACATTCTCTTCTACCACTGACCTATAAACCATCGGAATCATACACACCTCCCTTATCTCCGACGCATGATCAACAACTTCCACAATCGGCAACTATTCTACAAGGACCCGGCGTTGTAGACGTGGGTAACTTCAAGCCTCTCACTTTCTCGACCAACTGTGATATCTGTCGATATCCCATCCAACCCTCATCCACTCGCTATCATTGCTACTCATGTACTAGCGCTGTCCCAGACACTCAACCTGGAGATTACGATATTTGCACAACCTGCTACCCCAAGCTTGTCACATCTCGTCGCATCAGTGTCGAAAACGGTCACAATGGGTGGCGACGTTGCTTACAAGGCCACCGTATGGTCATCGTAGGATTTGAAGATGATCGTGGGGGCCAACGTAGAGTAATAGTTCAGGATCTGGTTGGGGGCCACAGTCTTGATATCGAGCCCATGATCTACCCCTCAGCTGATCACACATCACCCGAACTACAGAAATGGAGCTGGGGTCAAGATAATGATACTTTCGTCCGATTAGTCACCACGGATCCATCGAAAGTTGCGCCAACGTCAGTTCCTGGGCTGGAGACTGAAAGATCGTTCCCACCCGATGGCGGAATCGGGATGTCAAGTTTAGCAATTTGGAGCTGGTGGCCTGCGGAAGGTGCGAGTGATGAACTAATGTTTCCAAAGGGCGCAGAGGTAAGGGAGTGTAAGGATGTCAATGGAGACTGGTTTTGGGGATGCTATATGGGCGCCAAGGGACTGTTTCCTGCGCCATACGTGAGGGTTTTGGAGGATGGGATTGCTGGGGTTTAACGGCAGGTGAAAATGTAGGCAGCATTGTGTTTTTGTTTGGAATGTCTGCATATACTGTTTTGGCTGGAAATCATGTTCGGGGTGAGTGGGGAGAGAGATATGACGTTTAATGATATGCACAATCTATGAGGTTTGTTCATGATTTGATGAGGGAAGAATTTTGAATGCCAAGTATATATTCGCAATTAATTTGAGCTCAGTAGAGCTAGAGATCAATGTTATGAACCATACAATGATTGAAATTTTTCGTACAATAAAAGGATCCCATTAGTTTTATACTTCGATGCTTTCATTCCCTTGAACACTCTCAGAGCTGATCAACTGAAACTGAATACCCCTCCAACAAATCAAAAATCTATCCCCCTGTCCATAGATCATCCACAAGCCTCATCCACCATCGCACAATCAACCCAAAGATAACTACTCTCCCAACTCCTCTTTCCTCCCAACGCCCTCATTACGCCCTCACTTCCTGCATTCCCTTCCTTGACATCTGAATGCACAAAGCCACTTGACCCATTAAACCCCAGATCCGCAAATTCACCCAGCCCAAAACGACGAATAAGTTCGCGGGCAACATAAGTAGCGAGACCGAGACCACGGTGGGAAGGGAGTACGTAAAGGGTTGCTAGCGTGCCGTCGATTCCTATGAAAGCCCATGCTACCATTTCGGATTCGGGGGTGAGGAGACAGAGAGAGGGTTGGGCGAGGAGCGTAGAGGGCTCGCGGGGGATGATGGAAGTGGATATTACGAGGTTGAGATGGGAAGCTGGGACGCGGGAAAGGGTGAGGGAGGATGGGGGCGGGGGTGAGGGTGGGAGATTGATAGAGGGTGCTGTGGGGATGAGGTAGAGGTTCCAGCGGGTGTGGTAGGGAATTAGTGGTGTGGATGTTGAGGTTGAAATTGATGTCTGGGATGAGAGAGATGTAAGTGAATTTGTGATGACTTCATGCAAACATGCGAATTTGAGGATGGGGTCGAAAGGAAATCCGGGAGCTTGGGGGATTTCGGTATTTTTCAAGAATACAAGGGTGTATTTAAGATGTGTGGAGAGAAGAGATGCATGTTCATTGTGGAGAGGCTGTGCGTAGGAAGGCGTGATCAGAGGATTGAAGACCCAGATCTGAGATTCGTTTTTGCGGGATCGATCGGAAAATATGATGGTGTAGAGCTCCGGAATTGGAATCTGTGGCGGAAAGGTGGCGGCGAAAAGGCAGTGTCTGAAAGGTGTGTTGTGTGGAGCGAGCATTCGACTGTATATGGGATTACTGTATGGAAGGTGTTCGTACAGACTTGGAATTAGAGTTTCGGAGATGGTTTCTTGGGGATGGATATAGAATTTGAGTTCCTCGGGCGAGGAGGAGGAAATTGATGTGGTCATTGCACCCCTTTTATTATCGGCAATTTCTTAAGAGAGCAGTTGGGAGTTTGCAGTATTGTCGCTCCTTGTGCCCCCGTTAGATCATCTGGAATTGTTAGTATCTTGCTACCATATTCCGATGAAAAACTCACGAGATCAAGTAGATTGTGTCCTGATGTGAGCTGGGTGAGATATAGCAGATGGTAGTCAATGGTCGAAGAGCCGGCCAGTGAGTATATAGGTAATGGATACATAAAGACCCAAATCCTCAGAACAATTACTAAAGAAATTGTTTAGAAAGAGTTCCCAACAGTAAACACAGCTTCTTTCAAAAAGTACGTATGTCAAGTACTTCTTTCACAAGAAATATCTTACAGTATCTGAATATTGAGTCATCACCGAAGATCCACACCCCAGATAGCGAAAGTCGAGGGGTTCATGGTAGATCAATAATTCTAGGAACCCCCTGTATGTCAAAATCGGAAGCTCGGGATTGACCACCGATCTGGCATTTTAAACGTTCTAGACATCATGGATAGAAGATGGGAGATGATGTGTATATGATAGACAATGATAACATACATGCTTACATACAGTGGGAGGGGGCGGGGAAATGTTAGTGAGTTCGGATGTCTACTTTTCTTGATTTTCAATTCGAATCTTTGGGTTTGCTATGGTCTTGCTTGCACCTTGAACTCCACGTTTGAAACCAACTATATTCTAATATTATATAGATTTCACTCAGTAGTGAAATTTATCCGAAGCCTACCACTGCTGCTCAGTAGGAAAGGGACAAGGTATTCATATACACTATGCTTTTGATGTCCTTCTTGTTGAAGATACCTAGAGAGAGTCATAAGTGTACTGATCTATTGATCTTGTGGTGGCATTAGCAAGTCGAGCATCAAAAAGGCCAATAAATCATGTGACTATGGTCAAAAGTCAATAAACTCGCACCTCCATAAATACTAGAAGTGATTGAGTATAAATAGACAAATTCAACAACACAACTATCAACAATCTCAAAACCATCTCTCCCTCAATCCCTCAATCCCTCACAGTGAATTTACCCATCTTCCACCTACCTACCCACAGAAAACTCCACAAAAATAAAATCATTGCGGGAACAAAAAGAAACAACTAACAGGATTCCACGAAGCAAATTCTCGGTCTGCGCCCTGCCAAGAGCATGAACCTCATTGATCCCAAATTGCCGCTTTGTAGTTAATAGGTGAAAGTCCGGCCATCTGAACTGTCAAGTACTTGTGAAAGTACCTGTCGTTGATCAGACAAGTCGGCCAGGTGACTCAAGTCCTCTAGAAACTGAAGGTGGGGACTCGTATTTGTTGTTATGTCCTTGGTATTTGTTCGGAGTTGGGTGAATTGGTTTTGTATTGAAATGACTCTCCGTGTCTGGGTAGGTTTCTGAAGTTTTTGCCTCAAGTCTGAAGGTACATAGAGCGTGAGAGAACTCCTCTCCGTTCATGGAGAATATCTTAATAAGTTGTTCAAGCAAATGCTTAAAGAGCTCGTTGTCTTTCTTACAATCACACAATCACAAAGCACCAGATTTTGGCTCAGTCATTCTAGCATACCATGTTATTAGTTGTCTAAATATCGAAAGTTCGCAGATTTCCACTTTTATTCATTATATTTTAGGGTTTAATTGTTCTTTATATGATGTATCATGTTTGCAATGAGTCATTGAAAGCTAGCTTTATTGAAAGATCTCAAAGCATTTCCCACTGCTTGGAATGATGTCCCTCCCATCATTTTGTTTGTCCTAAATCCTAGAAGTATGAATGAGAATATTCGTCAAGCTCATGATATACTCAGAAGAGCTTTCCTCCTGGTAAAAATAACCCAATCCTGCAAAGCAACCCTAAAGCACCCCTCCACCTCAAACCTACAAGAACTCCCAAATCAATATAAGCACTTCAAGGTTTATCTCCGCCATCAAACGGGTTTCATCTGAAATTAAGACACCCAATATTCCTGTTCCTAAACCCAATCTGAGTCCTCATGAAAAGATCTCTACTTTCGACCCCTATCTCAGTCAGTACACAAGTCCCCTCCCTATCATCAACAAAAGACCCAAAGAAATTCCTAGCATTACCAACCCCCCCCTCTCGCCACCCCCAACAAACTCAAAACCCCCACATTGACCAAGCTCAATCCCGAAAGGACCATAACCCCCTTTCTGACCCAGCCTTCAAACTCCATAAAAACGTATGCAAAGTAGCATGCCAGAAACATCCCATACAAAGCCATAAGCGTATACTTTGTCTATTTAGCTGTTGGTTGCCAAAGATTCTGTCTGTTGCTAAGAGTCTTACAATCCTTCACATCTTTCTCTTTTTTGATAGTATTATGATTCCGTACCGCATCGAATTTGCAGAATGCTTTATTGAGAAGCATCTCGGCAGATATGGGGATAGCTTCAATTTCTCCCATCGCTTGGTTTAGAAGTGTTTCGGGATTAACAGGTATACGTGTGAGGAGAGCGCCGAGAGTGTTGACGGCCTTGTTTAGGAAAGAGAAAATCAAGATTCCTGTGAAGCAAGCGGAGGAGATGATGAGAAATTGTTGTGCGGAGAATGAGAGACGAGTGTCTAAGGGTGTGAATAGGTAAGCGAGGGAGTTTTCGATACTGTGGAGGAGCGATGCTAGGATTGTTGTGGTCGCCATGTTGTCTGTTTGATAGGATGAGTTTTCGATTGTCATTGGTTGATGTTTTGATGAATTGCCAGATACTTTGAGTGCGATGAAGTTGAGTTTTGGCTTGATTAGATTTATTGACGGGATTTGGTGTAGAAGTTGGAAGAGTAATAAAGATAAAGAACTTCTTCTGAAACTATGAATTTGATAAAGACTTTACAAGCTGTATAAGATGCTTTGAATATTAGTAGCGCATTAGATGTAATCACTTAAGAGCCGTATGAAACTCTGGCGAGAGGCCACTTGATTGTTTGGTTACGGCCAGTAATTTTGACAGGTAACTATACTTTTGTATCCCAAACATCAGAGATTGGCTATCTCCAGAGCGTCAACGACGAGGCGGTCGAGATGTTGAAATCCTTTTGAATCGGACTAGTAGTCTCCAGCCAGTTTAGTAATTCAACGATGATGCGAGAAGGGCTTCACGTTTCCTTACATAAATCTTTAAACCAGTAGATCTGTGTATACAAATCATATTATCTGTTGAACCATGAATATACATCTCATCATGTAGACAAATCTAATCCATCAACATATACCGCAAAACTGGTGCCGGCAACAAACAAGCACACACTGAGTGTCGAGATAAAATCCAAGAGTAGAATCATTAACCCTCGAAAGACCTCCTTCCTATTCCTACCCAAACAATCCCCCTCATCTCCATCAAACCATCTCCATGGATTCGGCTGTTGGCTTAACCGTCTACCTTGCAAATAGAAACCTAACCCCTTCTGAACGCGACACCCAGTGACGAGGTGCTTGGATATTTATCATATCAATTTTTTTGGCTCAACCTCATCTTGATTTTTTTATATTTTTATATTTAAAGATCGATCTCGGAGACCTCAGCAGTCATCTTGAGATCCATATCGGAATAACATGAATATAGCGTATTTTTCTGCCTTCGATTTTTGTGGGGATCTAACTCACCTCCACTTCAACGTGTAGTGAATCTTGAGTTATTATTTTTCACTCTCTGACTTATTTTGTGGTTTTTGTGGAGATGTAAATCCAAAGTGAAGTGAATGAATCTTTAACTTCTTTCTTCTCATTCCCTCTGTTCTCATTCCTCATATCTCCTTCCTCCAACCCAATCTTACAAGTTAACAGTCAAGTGTCTCCCTAACCTTAATCGAACCCCAAGATCCAGACAGCGCCTAGATCATCTCCAATCCTGCTCTTCCCCAACTCGAAAATTGTAAAATCACAGCTACAAAAGAACTCCAGCTATCCAGATAAGAATTCGGCCACACAATAATCCTACATTTAGTCCCTCCCCGTTTTCTGACTTGACTTCCGAAAGTCACAATCCAGTAAGTGACAGTAATCGTAATTCAACCCGAAATTATCCTCTTTCACAGTAAAGGTAATATCACCAGAGAGATGAGATAATGTATCTACCTAATCTGTATCTAGGTATTTGGAAAGTGATCTAACTACCCACCCATCCATCCATCTACGTAAAAAGATAGCTCACTACCCAGCTAGTCATAAACGACGCAACGCCAGCACCAAGATAACTCAACTCGCCTTTGAAGATAAAATATCAACGGTATGATAAACAACAAAGCAGAAGAAACAAATAAAAGAGAGATCCTAAACAGTACCCGAAAGCATGCAAAATTCCCATGACTGTCTCCATGAGTCATCACATTCAAACTCATCATAAAACATCCGCATTGAAATCCCCACCCTCGCCTCTCCTAGAAAGACTCGTGGGTCTAAATTCTCCCCGTAACCCCGTCACATCTCACTTACCCGACCTAGGTAGATTTTCAAAGACCCCATTTGACACCACCCCCAACATCTACCTCCCCATCTAGATCCGCTCCACAATTCTGCAATTCACCTTTCCCATTCCAAATCTCGACTCTGCAGTCCGTACCAACTGACATATCTTCTCTCTCCACTCGACTCCTGCCCCTCTACCTCTCCCCCATCTCTTCTCCCCCCCCTTCAAAGCCACCAATTCCTCTCCCTCTCCTCCCATCCTCCCCATCACCACTCCACCTCCCTCCCTGCTTCGGCCCACCACAAACACCACAAACACCACAAACCCCCCCTCTATACCTCGTCCTCCCTCTCTTCTTTTCACACTCCCTCCACCATCTCCGTCTTTCCATCTCCAAGTCTCTCTCTCCATCGCTTCCCTTTTTCAACCTACCCTCTCTATTCAAACTCCCCCTACAAAAAATAATCCCACTCATCCCTCTCCGGCTCAGAGTAAAAGTTTCCATCGGCACCGCATGGCCGCAACCCGTATATCTGTATTGCGTTTCAACACACATCCTGATCTAATCTCGATATTGCTAGCGAGATAGGATATCCGATGCGAACAATATTACAGATAGTATCGTGCCGTCCTACGATTATGAAAAGGTATAGCCTGTACGCCGTCGTATGTATAAAACCAAGACCGAAAGCCGTAAAGCCGCGTATTAATTATTCTCGCCACTTATATAATATATCTCCGAATCTCGCAAACTTATTCATCTATCATATCTTTCGCGTGTAAGGCAGCGATGACGATGGATCAGCTTGACGAAGAAATGGTTGCCTAAATCACCCAATTCAAGTCTTATTCACCATTCCTCTCTCCCAACTATCTTTTCAGATCTTCTCCACTGGTAAGCTATACAACTCCGCTGTATATATGACTGCGAAAATAGGGTTGAAGTAGCAATATCGATCATGAAGTGGCAATCAAGAAAAAAGTTGAATTTCAAACGATGGGAAGATCTCTTATATATTCCTTCCCTCGAAGCTTTCGGGGAATCACCGCATACGCATCATTTTCCACTCACTTACGACTCGCTGCCCCAAGGCATACATTATGACTCGAACGATGAAGCCTTCACGCATGTTCCAATAAACCACCCATAAGCATTATTGATGAATAACGAACGATCAGCCAATCAATTTGATCTCCATGTTCTCTTGCAGAACCACCTTTAGTGAATGAAGAGGAAGAAAAAGCCAACACAAAATATCCATGATGCGAAACAAGGACAATCATAAATAAGGACAATCATAATCAAGAACAAAGCTAAATAAGAATAACCCTAAATAAGAATAACCCTAAATAAGAATAACCCTAAATAAGAATAATCCTAAATAAGAACAACTATAAATAAGAACAACTATAAATAAGAACAACTATAATTGAGAACGACCCTAGATAGGTAAGAACAATCATAAATAAGAACCACCCTAAATAAGAACAACCCTAATAAACAACAACAAGATTCATGCGACTAAGAAGAGCTTCAAGCTAAACCTTTAGTAACCCAAGTCATAAATAAGCTTGCGTCCAAAATACGAATAATCCCCAACAAGACCCTAAGATCTAACCCAAACAATAGAAGCGCGCCTATTTCAAAACCATGAACACCTAGTATTACCTATGCCACTAGAATATCTACTTGCGAAACTGTCACTATTACTATCGAAACACGAGAAGTGTAAATATCCAGGCATCCGGAAAAGAACACTACCCCCCCCCCCCCCCCAAAAAAAATCCCCAAGATCACACAAGCTTTAGGCAAACAAGAAGTAACCCACCACCAAAGTGAGAATGACCAATGCTCTACGCTCAACTGTGTGATATTTTATGAGAATCAGGTGATACTTACTGACATGACAGTATGTGCTAACCACCCCTTCCATTAGATCAACATACAAGAGTAATCTCAACCTAGATACAACCCAAAATTACCACAAAGCATAAACAAATGTAAAACCCGAAACCGATCAACGATCAACTACTACATGTCAACCATCAGATACTCAATCCGAACACGGAAAGAAAACTTCCAACCAAACCCAAACCCAAACCCAAACAGCAACAAGGAGCTTGCCAAGTGCAAGTTCCAACATCACGAAGTAAGTAAGAAGATTCCCCTCCGCAGCTCCTAAACCGGACCAAACAAAAAAGTCATCTCGACCCAAAGAAGAGGTTCCACAAAACATGTCATCTACCGCAGAAGAGAGCAGAATGGATGGAATGGTCAGACTTTCCGACCATCCAATCTTAACCCATCTATTCATCCATCCATCCATACAACCCCCTTCAGCTCCTCAAACCTCACAAGCACCAACCAGAAGCAAAACCAGAAGCAACACCCAAACACCCCTCACCCCTCACCACCCCAACGAACAAGCACGATAGTATCTAAATAAACCAGTAAGAACCCACCACCTAGACAGGAACGATAGACATATATTTGCATACCCAGGTATACACCCAAACAACACCCAAAACCAAGACACAAGTAACCACAAGCAAACGTAATCCCCATCACCAAAATTTCACATACGAGAATCAAGAACCAACACCCGTTCAACCAACCAAACCAGTCATCCACATCCAGATACAAACAGTGATTCTTATTGCGGGGTATCTATTGTAGATTCCCAATTCCCAATTCCTAATTCCTAATTCCTAATTCCTAATTGCGATATCAAATTCATTACATCTCATCTCCACTCGATCCAATTCTCACCAAGCTAAATAAATGGCCAGCTCTATCAATTTTTGCTCATCCCATCATCATAGCCTATTCTTAAGATCGGAGTTTGTCTTCCCATCATGAAGTGAAGTGAAGTACATGCTTTTCTAACATCAAAATGCCGCGCTTGCTTGCTAATTCGCTCGCTCGCTGAAAGAGATAATACCACCCAGAATGAGAAGACTATTATCATGACAAAATTGCAAGATACCTCCCAGATCTGTACAGTATAGATAGATAGATGAAATGAGATCCTCGACTCCCGAATACACTAGTAGACGAAAGTAGTATGCATGCGAGCGAATTCTATTCGCCACTCAATTTTATATTCCCATCACCATTAATCGTCCGAGTTTCAGTGACCACACTTTCCCCATTAGCATCAGCATCCACCTCCCACCCCGGCTTTCTCCCCACCAAAACCCTCGCTACAGTTTTCAAGCCCCTCGCCCTCTCAACATCCAAACTGACCCTCCTCATTTCCTCTCCACTAGACACACATATCCTCCTAACCTCTTCTTCCTCCCACCCCAAAGCCTGCGTCAATAAACGCAACGTTGACGCTTCCAACGCGCTCAACATCGACACCAACCACAATTTCCCCATCGTCTTTTGCGTTTTATCATCTGGCCAAGGACCCATCGGAATCCCAAATTCCTTAACTTCAATATCTACAAATCCCAAGTTCTCCAACTTTTCCGGCTGAAGATGTGCAATTCCACGTGGCCGTCCAGCTATTCGCGCCGCTTCTCCTAAAGCGTGCAGAAGGGCGGGCATGGGACTATCTTTGTCGAAAAACGTGAGAAAAGCTGCGTGGTCATCAAAATCCATAATTTCGATCCACCCACCGGGTTTGAGATGAATAAATGCTTCGGAATATATGTGATCCCAATCGCTAAATGCTCCGGCCATATTCCGCAGATGCACGAGATCGAACTCATTAGCAGGCCATGTCCATCCACCTTCTTCTTCCGCATCGTCGATTTCGAAAAAGACATTGAAGGGAACGGCTGTAGGTTGGACTTTGGCGATATCCGTCCCTATGATTTCGGCCGAGGGCCACAGATCACCCATTCCCATGGCCCAATCACCAGCTCCTGTTCCAATATCGAGAATGCGAGTTGGAGATTTGAGAGGCACGGTCGTAAGTTGGTTGTCGAAGATCTGGAGATATATTTGATGGATGATGCGTAAACGATCGAGTTCTTCCTCATCGATTGGCATATAATAATCTCCCACGTAAACTCGACCGTGTTGTTGTAGATATACCACATCTGAATCGTAGAGAGAGCGAGTGGAATTTCTATGAGTAGTGAAAAACGATTAGCAAACATTTATAAAGAGAATATGAAAATAACAAGTAAGGATCTCACACTGTATCTCGATCCGTTTGAGCATGATGAAAAACAGATTTGGTATAAGCAGCCCGTCTTCTATGGTCTTCAATTTCCTTCTGCACGGTTTCCCTCGCAGCAATCGCATCATTCTCCATTTCCTCTTCATCATTGTCGTCTGGTATCAATGGGCCATCATTACCATTATCCGAATATCTCAAGTCTCCGGGAACATTTTTATTCTCATCTGGTGGACTATTTGCTCTGCCATTTTCTTCCTCCACTTGCTCCCCCATGGATTTGGGATTGGTGCAAACAGCTCCCATTGACTTTTTCCTTCTCCAATTCACCATTCAATCCAACCGCCACCCTTTGTGTCGTATGATGTTGTGTTTGTTTTATGATCTCGTCGTTAATATCCTTCGATGGGGTGATCAATATTTATATGTCGATCTCAAATCTAGTATTCGCCCGAGCTCCCGTCTCCTCTGCTTCAAGGGATTGTGCACAAAGTCGATGCAAGACACGATACCAAACACAATGCTACTCCCCCCCACCCACTCGTTTTCCGAGATCAATAGACGGAAGGCACCCAGATCGCAATCGAAATCTCGGAAAAGCATCCGCGCGTTCCAATTAACAAAGCCAGACCCAAAGCCCAAAGATGGCACGGTACTTTGTTCTCCGCACGCCCACCACCAAGACTTCGCGAAGTTTACCAAAGATTGTCCTGTGATCCGATCATCGAAAGCGGTGACCTATTTGAGGTCTGTCGACTGCATTAGCTAGCTACTACCTAGGCACCTAGATAGCATAGCCAGCCAGCTAGCTCTCTTTTTTATCTTCACTCCAGTTACCTCTGACGTTCTAGTAGCGGTCCCTGGTTAGTTGATGAGTTAGCTTCCACCAAAGGATACAAGTTCACACCAATGAAGCCCATGTTGAACAAACTTTAACACTACCTAGAACACTAACAATAGTACCCAGGTGCTTAGTATAGTCGTACTCCGTACTCACCTTAACCTTACTACGCTTTTCCAGGCTATCTTATTGGGAGAGAAAAGAAAGGTTGACAGCGGAAACCCCACAAGATACCGAGAAAGAAAGGATAAATTTCACCGGAACCCAATGATAAGCCACTATCTAGCAAGTAGACACTTACGGATCGTTCCATTAGTATCTGTACCAAAGTTAACCCCCATTTACCGTTTCTAAATCATCCAATTGGTTACCTAATTACAAACAGCATGTAAGATTACGATGTATCATGTATGAAATGGCCATTGATATCCACCACCAAAACTCCATGTCCTTGGTATTGGTGTTGAATTACCCGGGTAGGAAAGAGTACCCAGGTATTCGTTTGGGTGAAATACGGTTCTAATATTTATGTCTGTAAGTCCACCTTCTTCAATTCTTGAGATAATTCGATATTTTATCTATTTTTCCCTATTATATATATACATAGTTATACTTATCTATATATATAAGTTCTTTTTATTTCGATTTATTATATTAACCAATACAGCACCGACTACTCCAAGAGCCCCTCCCTCCCTCCCGAAATACAATTACGGTAAACTCTCGAAACTCTGAACTAAACATACTTATCTCAATATTCTCTATAGTTGTCTATCAATAATTTATCATTCTATCCATCTATCTATCCTAACCATATAGATAAAAACCATTCCAATCACAATTCAATTCCAACTTCAATCACTACCTAGTATATAGCAAGAATCAAAATACCTCGCCACCTCCATACTACACTACACAACACAACACAACAACACAGCCCATCTTTTAATCAACAAAAACCCATTCGTTGAAACTTCATCCCATCCATCCATCTCAATTGCATACCAAATCTGTACCATTCCGCCAAACTTACCAATAATACATCATAGCAAATGAAATTGGTCATGAGATTCAAGTCCTTGCGTTTTCGAATCTTATTTATAATTATACATATATAGGTACATACGTACGTATCGTACATAGGTAGGTATATATACACATCACATATACATCACGTCACATTTATATATATATACAAGATCTCATATCATATCACATCACATCTATATCTTACAAGATCTTACACACATACATACCTACAAACATCATACATACCTCTACACACACACACACCGCTCCCCCTCCCCCTCCTCCTTCCCCTCCCCCTCCACCAAATCTCTTCAGCTCCCCAACAGCTCCCCAACAACCTCTCAGTAGCATTCCAAAATTCCAATAGCGTCGCCATGGCTTCCACACTTTCCACACTTTCCAACCCCCAAACCCCAAGTCCCAAATCATCAATGAACATTTCTTTTCTTCCCCAATACCTAGGTATACATGAACCACTTACCTACCTACCTACCTACTCACCTATCCTCTCCTCCTCTCAATTCAGCCCCCCCTCCCCCCCACCCCCCTTCCTTCTCACACCCATATTCAAGAAGAAAAATGATACAAACCCCCACACCCCAGGGGAAAAAACGAAAACAAAACAAAAACAAAAACAAAAACTAATGGTAAATGACCCAGGTGCCCAGAACTCAATAGACATGTAATCTTACTCTAATCGTCCCAAAGCCACCCCGTCCCTTCCCTCCTCCTACTACCACCCCCACCCACGGCACTTCCATCGATCAGTATGTCTCACATATCATCACAATTTTACCAAGCAGAAACATACTACACAACCCCTCATGCCAAGCCCGAAGATGTTCTTATTCCAGAATCTCACTTGATATTCTGTGTCCAAGAAAGAACCGATGACGAAGATTGATCTTCCAAAAAAAATGATATCTTTTTATTTTGTGATCAAGTATATCCTAGTTCATACTTATCAATCCAGTCCCGCCAATATTCATAAATAAGTCTCTAACATCAACATCATCTATGGATGTACCACCAATCAACTAGATCTACCCATGGGGAATATAAAAAACGCACGCTCTAAAATTGTGTCCGATAGCCAACCCCCTAAATCACCAATCACCAATCCATTTTCTACGCCGCCAAGCAAGAAGCTGAAGTGCAATTAATGCAGTGCAGGTGAGTCGGAGACTATAATCAAAATAATCTATGCTTCCACTGCTTGAGCCACTCCACCCGGAACGCCGTTCAACTTCCTTTTCTTGCCCAAAATCATATTATCATCAGCGTCGACCACCATCTCTTCTCCAAGTTCTTCAACCGGATTTTTATCGTCACCGACCACTTCCGAACCAGCAACTGTGGGAAATGGTGTAAGAACCTTGGTGATATCACCCCACCACCTTTCACCAAATCTCTGATACCAGTCAACAGTGATCGCCATTCCATTTTCGAAGCTGGTTTTTTGATCCCAACCTAATTGTCTGAGCTTGGTTCCATCGACCGCGTATCGATGATCGTTGAAAGGTCGATCCTGAGTATGCTTGACCCACTTATGAAGCTCTTCCTGTGTGCTGTGGGGGATGTTCAAGTATGTAAGTAACTTTGAACATAATGTCAAATTGGAGATCTCATCGTATGAGCCAACGTTGTAGATCTGTCCAATTGTACCCTTGTGAAGAATAGTATCAAATGCATCAGCTGCATCACCAGCGAAAAGATATCTTCTGGTGGGAGTTCCATCTCCATGTAATACAACTGGTTGCCCACGTTGGAGTAAACAACTGAATTTTGGAATAATTTCTATCTACTTGTTAGCTGTGAATTTCGAGATTTTGACAAAAATGCTCACTCTCAGGGTATTGATGTGGACCGTAAACGTTGTTACTGCGTACAATCATCACAGGTAGCTTAAAGCTCTTCTGGTAAGAATGTACCAGCATCTCAGCTGCTGCCTTGCTCGCAGCGTATGGGTTTGTGGGTGCCAAAATGCTGGTTTCCAAAAGATCATCATCGTCATCCTTAACTTCTCCGTAGACCTCATCTGTAGAGATATGAATGAATTTTTTGATCCCAACCTTTTTGGCACTCTCGAGAAGAACGTGGGTACCATAAACATTTGTATGTGTGAAGGCATATGAATTTCCGAAACTCAAATCGACATGAGATTGTGCTGCGAAATGAAAGATTGTGTCGATGTTGTATCGCTCCAAGCAGTCTACGACTTCCGATGGGTTTGTAATATCACCATGGTAGAAGGAAAAGTTGCGCTTGTCGTTGAGTGCCCGGGTGTTGTTCAATGAAGCACAGTAATCCAACTTGTCGAAAGAAACAATATTATAAGCATCGGGATATGTCAATGTCAAATGTCGTACCAGCCAACACGCACTAATAAAAGGTTAAAGATTCGTTCTGTGCTGCACAAACAAATGTGTCCTTACATAAACCCCGCTCCTCCCGTAATCATGATATTCTTAACATCTGGCAATGGCGTGAATTTGGTGCTTCCTACAAGTATAGGAGCTTCCTTCCAGACGCCGAAATCTTCGAAGAATTTGTTCTGCTCTTCATTGGCAGAAGAGGGAGCTGTGAATGAGACGAATTAGTGAATGATTCTCGACTCAATGGCAGAGGAACAAAATAGTCCTTAGGGAACTCCTACCTGTACCGTTCGTAGCCATTATATTTGAAGGGCGATATACGCAAATTCGAAAGTTCGACTGGGAAGAAGGGAGACGTTTCAAATGATGTTGAATTGAAAAGAATGGATATACGAGAACACAAGGAGATGTTCGCCGGTCCTAAGAATGCGCAAGGAGGGTATGGAGGAGCTTTATTATTTAAGGAGGCTGCAGGAGGAAAAGCCAAGGAATGTTTAAGAGACCAGACGAATTGGCAGATGCAGGGAGATATGATTATGATTAAATTTTCGCAAAAGCAAGACTGCAACAGTGGTAGATCCAATCCTAAACAAGGCTATGCTTTAAGTAATAATGAAAAGGACATGCAGGTGAGAGTGAGAGTGAGAGTGAGAGTGAGAGTGAGAGTGAGAGTGAGAATGAGAGCGAGCGCGAGATTGGTAAATGGCGGCATCTGCAGGGAGATATGGTGGGAGACGGAGTCGGAATTTCTTCTGGATTATCTTCATTGCCACGGATGGGGTGGGATCTGATTTGTTATACGAATGGATGTGGATGGAAACGAAAGTAATAAGCCCATGTTTGGATGCCCTTGAGAATATGGTTATTTAGTTGTCAACGTGGGTTGAGTGGATTGAGTGGGCTGAATGGTGGTTTGAACGGATTTAGTGCATGGATCATGATGTGTTCACCCTAGCTAGTGAGGGAAGCTAATATCTCAGCACTAATAGAATCATCAGTTACAAGTTACAAGTTCGTACTGGACAAAAAGTAGTCTTCGCTGACTTTGCTGGTATAAGTAAGTGCATTCGAGAACAATACCTCGTATGGTAAAAACGTTACAGTGGGGTGCAAGGAGTTTTCTGAGGAGGAGGAGGAGGAGGAGGAGGAGGAGGAGGGTACCTTACATCAGCATCTACTTGAGTGAATGCATATCTTGGATACTCTGCTAATGTTTGACGATAGATATCTCGGTGTCCAGCACTCGAGGCTGTGCTATTATGCTTGTACTCTGTATATCAGATATCTAATAGCAAATAACCGAATAGCTATTCGACCACATACGTACGAGAGACGTCTCCTCGATGTCAAAAGAGATCAGCGACGAGAGACCTCGAACAGATGAACTCAAGCCACACTTCTCGCACATCGTATTATGAATTTGGAGAATCTCGATTACTAATCAGCCTTTTTCGATAGGGTCAATCCAGGGCTCCAATCAAGATCTCTGGGAATATGATACAAGATCTCAGCCACCATGTAAAAGGAAGAAAGAGGATTCTGATATATATGACCTCGGGATTGATGGATTACATGATCTGTCATACTTTAGATACTTTGTCAAATATAATCAATCTATTTGAGATGAGATGTTTCTTCGTTTCTTATTTGCCATCTAGATCGATAACTCTCCTTCTTTTGGCATATGAAATCTACTCTTCCAGGACGCGTATGTACGACCGAGCCTTGGGCAAGAAATCCTTATAGGATTAATATGGACTCGAGTATCCACTGAATTAAGTAGGAATATAAGGTTTAAGATTTAAGATTGTTACAGAAGTTCAAACCAAACGACGTCGACTACGCGGTCTCACAATCGAGGGGAGGGTTCTCGAGGGTTGTACTGCGTAGGTAGGTTTCTAATGGATCTCCAACATCAAAACGATCTTGACACCACAGTTCAATCGTATAGTTACACCCATGAGAATAGACTCGAGTACCGGTACAACAGACTCTATGGCATAGATGAAGAAGGGAAAGATCTACATGGTAAAAATGTAGCACAACACAAGTTCATTCCATAGGGATTTATTTTGATTTCTTATCCGATCTATAATCACAACTACCTCTCTAGGGACATTCATCTACAATACCCCTACATTCAAATCATAAGCGTGGCATGTTTTAGAATTAGCCTGCTAGCTACCCACCCCGGCGATGTGATTCCAGTAATATTAAATGCTTATGAGCTTTTTTTATTACTCAAAAGGCTGTTTTCGATATTAAATTCATCTGTCTCCGGATGAACTAGCTGAAAAGATTCCCTGAAGAGTTCACTCAGGATTCTACGATATGTCATGATAAATTATTCTCCTCTCTTAAACCCTTCAACATTAAATATATTACATTCTAATTAATTGACCATCTCTTTTTGATACACTTGAATTTGATCAACTCTCTACACGTCTCTTGATATTGCAAAACCCCAAGATATACATACATTATGGCGGAAAGATCAACGGATCGTTTGCCTTCGATCAGCTCTGCATCGACAGAAGAGAGATTTGATGATAAGACCGAAAAACGTGCTTTGATGGGTTCACAGGATGGAGACTACAACTTAAGAACACCAGAGGAACTGGAAGAAGATATTGAACGAGCAGATTTACTGGCGCCACCACCAGAAGATAAACCCAAAGCACCGGAAAGTTCTGTGAGATCTTCAATAATTTGGATGGTGGTAAATACACTTGCGACAATCGGTATTGTGAGTTTTTTTAACATCGAGAACTTCCTCACAAAGTCTTAACAATTTCTTAGGTCTTCACCAACAAGGCAATCTTTTCAGATCCTTCATTGAAACTCGCACAACTCACATTTGCTGCCTTCCATTTCACAGTAACATGGCTGACGCTCTTCACACTCTCGCGACCACGGTTCGCTTTCTTCACACCCAAAAGAATTGCAGTCAAGGACATCTTTCCACTCGCTATTTCCATGGCATTGAATGTCATCCTCCCGAATTTATCTCTTGCCTTTTCGACAGTTACCTTCTACCAAGTAGCTCGAATTCTCCTCACACCAACTGTCGCTCTTATGAATTTCGTTTTATACCGATCCACCTTACCTAGGAATGCGATATATGCTTTGATACCAGCTTGTCTCGGCGTAGGAATGGTTTCTTATTACGATTCACTACCTGCTGCTGATGCCAACATCCAAACCACCAGTACCTTAGGAGTTATCTTCGCATTCTCCGGAATCTTCGCCAGTTCTCTCTACACAGTATGGATCGCCAGTTATCACAAGAAATTGCAAGTCAACAGCATGCAATTATTATTTAGCCAAGCACCATTAGCAGCTTTCATGTTGCTCTACGTTATTCCATTCGTCGACACTTTCCCTGTTTGGGCGGAGGTGCCTGTCAACCGATGGGTTATGATTATGATGGTATGTGCTCTCGTATTAATGTTAAACTCGTATATGCAAATTGCAATGTCAGCTAACAACTCCATCTTCTAGTCGGGCGGTTTCGCATGTCTAATTAATTTGTCACAATTCTTCATTATTGCCCAAACTGGTCCGGTATCGAGTACTGTTGTTGGCCATGTTAAAACATGTTCGATTGTCGCTCTTGGATGGATGACTTCTGGACGCGCTGTGGGTGATAAATCAGTAATTGGTGTGTTGATTGCAATTGCAGGAATTGTTGCGTAAGTTTGAACCCCTTTTCTGTCTTCCAATTTCCCTTGGGCAAACTCCAAATCATCCATTCTCGGGGATCCTAGCCGGATAATTCTTGGCGAGCAGTAAGCGGCCAGCACCCGTTTTTCCATGCATTTCTTGGTGTCAATCTATTTAAAAGTCTGCCCCTAAAGATTGTCATCCGAGTTCGTATTGAAGTATCAATCGAGAATTTATCTTAAATTGGTTTTTATGTCAAATGTCGAACATTCTTGTTAACGAAATTCATGTATCAGATATTCAATGGTAATGATCAAACACAAAACCCAAGCCAAGAAATAAAGTGGCGAACGTTATACGTGCGTCATCTATTTATTCCACATGGTTATGATTTCTCATAAGAAATTTCACGGCCTGCTTCAGTAGGCGTTTCGAGCTCAGTGCATCCATCCATCGCTGTCAGTCGGTGTTTGTTCATCCGAAGGATCGCCTTATCACGCATTCACTTTCCTATCTGTACTATGTACAGTGTTACATCACAACGCCTTACCAAGCGGGGTTATCGACATGCGGAGGATGTCTTATCAGGATTCTCGAGAACAGAAACGATCTTCGAGTCCGTGCTTGTACTACATTTTTTCCAATCTTTGTTCAATTAGACAGACTTTTTTTCTTTCTTTCTGGATTCCCTTCTCTTGTCTGGGGCGGAAAATTGCCAAGGCGATGGATTGATTATCTTTGTATTATTATTATATTGTGTTTTCCACTGATAGGAAAGTGATGGGTTGATTTACGCGATAGATACCAAAATACTTATATGTATTACTCTTTTTTAGTCTTGCGAGCGTAGACTTCTCTCCTTCCGTGTTATGTATGTATATGTGTTTGACGTACAGTTTTGATGCATTCATTCATTCATTCATTTACCCCTTCATCATCTCTACAATAAGATCCTTCTTCGGGTATGCGAAAATGGGGCATAAATGAATGAATGAATAAATAAATGTCTGACCATCTAATTTTATACATCGCCACCGCTTTCCACCCCTTTTCTTACCTACAATCATCAAATAATTGACTTGTTATTTTCAATCCAATCTTTAATTTTCTATGAATATGCTCCCAGGTAGGTAGGTATCTATTCTCCAATCTCAATCTCAATTCATTCATTCATCTATCTATACTTGTTTGGCATCTTCAACTCCCTACCTACTGTATTGTACTTGATGAAAAAGCTGGATAATGTGCTTGTGTTTATCTGGGTATCTACCTATTCTTACTGAGTTGAGTTGAGTTGAGTTGATTCGACTACCTACTTTTGAGATTCTCACAGCGGAATGGTTGAATGGCTAGTTGGATGCTGGATGTTGAATGTTGAGAGGATGGGATGGGATGGGATGGGATGGGATTCACAATGTCGTATTTTGTTTGAGGGCTTTTTTGGTTTGAAAGTCTTTCATATAAAGTCGGTCTTGTATGTTTTGTTTTTTGTGTGTGTTTTGTGTTTTGGGAGTGATGGTGTATAGATAGGTAGGTAGATAGGTAAGTGGGTAGGTGGGTAGGTAAATAGATAGATGGGTAGATAGATAGATGGGTAGATAGATAGGCAAATCAGATTGATGGGTTGGGAGATAGCGAGGAGAGAGATGGTGAAAGGGGAAGGGGAAGGGAAAGGCAAAGTAAGTGCTTTGTTGATGATTGATTATTGATCATTGAGATCTAACTATGATTTTTTCTATGCTTCTTTTATTAATGAGTCTAAGAGGGAATGGTGTGCTGATATAAATTTATCGCATTACATTACATTATAATGTTGGGATAGTCGTCTCGAGAAAAGTATCCTCAGTTGAATGTATGTAGGTATGTTTTAGGAGATCTTCATCATTGAAAATTTTGTATTTGTTAGTTTTATTTGATCATTTAATACTGCGATTACATTCCCGCTCAAAGATTGAAACACATATTGAGATCACAAGTCTGAGTGAATGATCGAACAATTGAATTTTTGATACCCATTTGGGAATGGAGATGTTTTCACTATTGAACGCATTTTGATTTAGATAGTTGAAAAACTCTTGGTTTCTATTTCGCGCGATGATTCACATCTTTTCAGTCATCGGGTCGGATTCAATACTCGCGTTATTCATAACGTCAGCTGACAATATTCGAGGTTTGGAGATGGCTATTATTTTAATAGTACGGTATTGTCGAGTATTAAGGTGGATTGTATTTGTATATACCATAGTATGGTATTGTTTATCACCACAGATGCTTTTCCTCAATTTTCGAAGCACTTCTTATTACTCTGGTATCCGCATCGTGTTTCCCAAAGTTGGGGGATAATAAGCAACAAGTAAGTCAAGAGTATTAGTTGGATGGGTGAAGTTGTTACCAACTGCTGCTCTCCTCCGATCGAGAAACGGATCCGCAAATTCCGAAGCCCTTAATAGTTGCAAGCGAGGTATGTGGGTCTATGACAGCCAGGTTTGTGCTCTTACAGAGCTGCACCTATGAGCAGTATATTAACAGATCGGTTCTTATGATAGGGGCGGCGCCTATTTTCAGTCAGAGCATTTGTTTAGAGGGGATCGCAGCCCACGGTTTTGTAAATAGCGGCCAGGTTGGTTTCAAGGTGAGAAGAGCAGTTTTGATAGGGTAGAGCGAGGGAGACCGGGTCTCGATGGGGTGCTGACCAATCTTGCAGCTCAGTTTAAAGAGCTATTCGAAAAGAATTACTTCGTGGTAGAAAAGATCTTCTCAAAAAGAAATGAGCAGGAAATAAGTTTTCTCACGTATTCATGGCCCTCGTACGTATTGCGCGGGAGTCTGCTGGGCTTGGCTGGTCAAGAGTAAAATCTCCTAGTCGAGATCTTTAGAAGAATAAGTGCTCGAGCGGTTTGACTATTCCGCAGGGGTGTTAAAATTCCGTGTCCTTGTGTTCAAAGTGTTGGTGACACAAAGTGAAGTCGCTAGAGGCCGGCAGCGTCTCATGTCCTTTAACCTCCGAAAAAACAAATCAAACCCAAGTGGATCCTTATGCCAGTATTTCACCGGCATCGCACACCCAGCCTTTCGAACCGCGAGTCGATAACGGACATCCTTTACTGCCCATAACAGAAGATAAAACATGATGGGAACATAAGGATATAAACCCCTCCCAATCATACAGAAGTTATGGGCAACATATTCAACTATAAGACTCGATTAGAGGATAGGCTGGGCTTTTTTGCTGGCATAAAAGATATTGCTACAGCTATTCATAGGAAAAAGGCAAAGAAAGGCAAGAGAAGACAATCAAGCGCTGCATGAGAAATAAGACAGATTAATTGGAGTAGCGATGCTGCATATTCTGTGCCGCAAGGTTGATGAATATTGATTATCCACTAGGCAACAAAAGTGATCTTCCCCCAGCACTCATTTCGAGCCCCAGTCAATCAATACCACAAGGCATCAGATAGTCTCGAACTGAAAAAGGACTTTGGAAGGAGATTGTTATGATAATACATATGTGGTTGTTCATGATACATCAACGAAAATGACCTCGGGAACCCATCATCTCACACGAGCGGGGAGCTCATCCATTTGTGCCGGTCTAATAAAGAACGCACGAGGCTTATGCTGAAGAAGCAGCCTAGGCTTTCCAAATAAAATGGCGCAGATTGTGACCTTGAAATCGTGTTTTTGAAATTGATGTTGCATTTGTTGGCTGTTAGTTGGTGGCGTCAGTGCGTCCGAAGTTGAGCTAGGAAGGCAGGCGGCTCAAGTCTTGAATAAGCTTGGAATACTACTCCACTCCATGTAATTCTTCACAAAATTGCGATATCTATATTCATGTTTCTGAAATAAAGAAGACTAGTCGTTAAAATCAAAATCCTCACTGAGGGTTCCGAAACAGGTAAAAGTGTCAAGAGGTAATGTATTTCACCAAGGTAGAACTAAAATGAATTAACTTCATCGCATTGCCTAGCTAGCTCCATGTAGAATTTGGTAATACTTGCCCCCCTATAGTTTTCCCTCTACATATCTTACGTGAATGTCCTTGGGATAAAGCAAATATCCAGCCTTTCAGAATGTTGTTTGAGTTGATCTTTCATATCTCTACACACAGCAAGGCCATCCTCGTTTGGTCCAAGACTGATATCATATCTCGTGACAAGTGTGACGACGACAATACACAGCTGCACGAGGAATAAGTTCTTGCCGATTCCGCTGTGGCTTCTATTTTAATTCAAGGTTAGCCAAATCTTGATATTTTTGAGATGAGAGATCTTCAACATATCCGTCGAGAATGGCGAACCCCCTGATTTATCCTTTATCATTCCTGGGCGCAAGTACCATTCCTCGGGTATGGAATCTGGCGATTGCTCGTAGGAGTCTTGCTTCCTAGTACATAGGCATCGGCTATGGTTACTTCCTGCAATGAGCTATCTCTGAGGCCATCTGCTGTTCGTACTGGATGTGAACGCAGGGTTTCATTGATAATAGATTAAGCTGATCTAACAGGCAAGAAGTATTTTCAAGTGAAAATACGCTGCGATCTGCTGCTAAAAGGCGAAGAGAGGCTCGTCACCTTCTGTTTTATGTATCAAGCTTAATTAGCACTCTTCGTGGGAATCTCAATTTCGAACTTCAGTTCTGGAAAATATTTCCATTTTTTCTTTGGGGGAAATTGTTTGATGTAATGTTGTTATGACTCAATCATGGCACTTCTTGTGATGGACAGAACTTACTGTGAATGCTCAAGGAAGCATTCGGTGATCACACCACTAGACGCACCCTCATCAACTTGAGTGTGGGGATGCATTCAAAGAAGCGCCGATAACCGATCGGATATTGCTGAATCTGGTCGAATAGCCGTCTGATGCAAACCACCTCGGGACGTGTCGTTACAAGATCTGCGTGTCAATTGGGAAGATTCACTGAGAACCAACATTTATATATCGTGCCTCATGCCTGCCTACAGGTCCATATACCCATTTTTCCAAACGTTGTCAATTTTTTCTTCTCTTGCCCAGACTGGTTTGATCGACTTTTCAAAACAGTGCAATTTCATCGCACGTCACCCTCGCCATCGAAAAATAGAACTTTGCAAAAATGGCCCAAAATCCTTTGAGCGTCGTGATTGTAAGGAGATAACTCAGAACGTGATTCACATGCTGACAATTGTTATTCAAACAGGTTGGGGGTTCTCTGACTGCTATTTTCCATGGAATTGTGCTTCATAGACTTGGACACAATGTTCGGATTCTCGAACGCAATCCTCTTTCTCAGCAAATGAGTCTCGGGGCTGGTATAGCTGCCATGGAACATGCCTAAGCATTTATCAACAAATATGACGAGACCAAGACGCCATATTCTGTAACGAGTCCCAATGTCCAGTATCTCGATCAGAATGTCAAAATTAAAAGCACGTGGAATATCTCTATTGCAATGACCAGCTGGAAAATTCTGTACAACGTCATGAGAGCCAATTTTGACGGTTTGAAGAGTGACATCTGCGCTCGTCCTCACAAGGAAATGGAGCAGCGAGGCTCGGCTATCTACGATCACGGGAAGGAGGTGACTGAAGTCGAATACAAAGATGGGCTAGTCACTGTCAAATACCGAGATACGGGAACTGAAACGTATGGGACAGTTCACGCTGATCTTGTCCTTGTAGCTGATGGATCTTCTTCAAAAGTACGCCAGGCCTTGCAACCAAATTTAAAGATTACTTATGCCGGGTATGTGGCCTGGAGAGGAATTGCGCTAGAAAGTGAGATTTCGGAGAAAACGAGAACAAAATTTGCGTACAAAACGACATTTTTCGCATACAAAGGCGGCTATATTGTTCTGTATGTGATTCATTCAAGTGCTTGTATTTGTAATCTAACCGAGCGATAGCTATACCATTCCAGGAGAAGATGGGAATACTTCCCCTGGCCACCGACAACTCAATTGGGTCTGGTACAATCAACACCCTGAGAGCTCTCAGGAGTACATTGACGTGATGACGGATGTTGATGGGCGTAGACACCGCAGTGCTTTGCCCATTGGGAAGGTAGCCCCCCAAAAATGGGACAAGCAGAAAGCTCTTGCGCTCGAGATCCTCCCCTTCCCCTCCGCCGAAATGGTCCAAAAGACCACCAAACCATTCATCTCCGCCATTAACGATCGATAAATCGCTAAACCTTCCATGTTTGATGGAAAAGTACTTTTCGTAGGTGATTCGCTGGCGACGTTTCGTCCGCACGTGGCTTCGAGTACTGATCAGGCGGCGCTGGATGCGCAGCTGTTAGAACAGTTGATGAAGGGTGAGATTAGTGCTGAAGAATGGGAGGCTAAGGTTCTCGCTTTTGCATCTTTTACGAAATTAGGAAGTGAGCTTTGGGGGGCTTATTATGTATTTGGGGTTGCTACGCCAATTTTTGTGTCAACGTTCTTTCGATATTGGAAGACGGTTGCTTTGCAAGCTTTCTGGAAGCGTCTCTAAGGTTGGCTTTTTACTAGATCAATGAATGACGAATTTCATTTCGTTGGTTAAAAATCTTCGTTACTCATCTGCCAGATGTTTCGTGGATAGAGTTGAAATTTGTTATGCACTTTTGAACCTGATTTTCCGTCTAATTTTGTAAGTGAAAGAGCTGATGACTTTGGATCATTGTACGCTTTCCTCCGAAATCGAGGGCTTTGTCAGAAGATTGAAAATACAAGACCTCAAATATTGAATTACGCACTTTGAGATGGCGTGCAAATGGAAATTTTATGATATTGGCCCCATTACTAAAAAAAAACTTGATATAATCGTATGGCGAGATTTGCACTTCAAACTGACATTCAAGAATCTGTGTCCAGAAGAATAACATTGGCATAGATGTGAAGCATCTGCGCTACTTGCATGCGAAGTCAACGAAGGGACCAGAGATATATTCACAGATCAAACAACACTTGCGCTTACGAAAACGGTCAGAAAATTCTCTATCCTATTCATAGATATCTGCACCATCTTTACCTCTTGTAGTTTTAAGGGAATTGTTGAATTGGGTACAGTATACGTCGATTGCTCTCTTAATCATCTTCCAGAAATAGTTTGCAGAAACTATGCTTTTTGTTTCAATTGCGCAAACAATGATGTGCAAAAGTAGATTGTGGGTAATGCAGTGGAGCATATAAAGACGTTGGAGAGGTATAGGGAGTTAGCGAAGAAAGAATGAGAGGAGGATGAAATGGGATGGAAATGCTTCGGTTACCTCGGATGGAGGTTTCTTGAAATGCATGAAATGTACTGCCTTTCAAAATGTGTTCCCAAATAAAAATTGATACATAAGTATCAGCACCAACAATGGAACCTCAAACATAGGCTTAGATATACAGAGCACTCAAATATCTGACTTAGAATCAACATTCAGAAAGCGTTTGGCTGTTCATTCTGAAGCGTTATTTTCAAACAGTTTGATTACATTCTCGTTCATAGAGAAATCATATTCCGAATATCTAACTGTCCAATCCCAATATTCAATATTCAATTTTCAACAATCAAAAACAATAATGTCATGATAAATACAACCCACCTACTAAATTCAATCAACCTACCAACAACCCACCTAACCATCCAAAAATAGAAACCTACTCTTTGACAACCTAAATCATCCCTCTTCTATCCCTACCCCCAAAAACAAATCCTTTAAACATCAACCTCAAATGCGGCGTCCGGGGTGTAGCAGTCCATCCCTAGAGTAACATTGGCATCCAAGGGGAAGTCTCGCCACACTGCGCCACCCAAATTATAGCTGAGACGCTGATTCTTATTCTATGTAAGGGAGGGAAGAACAGAGCTACTGGTGAACTTGGAGTGACATTCGGATGTAAGGAGGTAGCTGGGTATGCTGTTGATGTGTGTGTGTTTTGAATTTAGAGGTACGGGAGAGGGTTTTCAACTGAGGTAATTCTGCGAGGTTATTATTCGTGTATTTAGGATACCACGTCTTAAAAATTGTTACAAAAAGATCATCCTGAAAGTGGTGTGCAATGAACGCCACTCTGATTTTAGATAGATGGACACATAGTCTCATGGATATCATATTTGCCATAGCTCCAGCTCCATTGTTAGAAAAAGCAAATTATTTATGATGTGTAGCCCATACATATGTGATGTGATGTTACCCAGCCCCATTTTCTATATCCCATCCCAACTCGCGACGCTCCAGTAAACGTGTAGAAGAAATACCTAATATTGAAGTAGAGATTGATGAAAAAGTGTCGTGAAGGAATTTCCCATTCACGTTACCAGGGTACTAAACCTGCAGGTAACATAGGATATTCCACCCCATCAATGATTTCCACATTCTCATCTACCTGATCGACACCCTCTTGTCCCATATCCCATCGTTTCCAATTCGAATTGCAATCCCCTGGGACATATTTGGCGGCATCCATTTTGAAGATCATCTTTACCTCAGGACAATAATCCCAAATATGTTTTCTCTTCTCGGGTGTTCCCCAAATCCCAGCATGAAGTGTGACTCCACTCCCACCAGTGTGGTAACCCATCGGTTCATAAAATCCATCTCTCCAATCATCAACTCCCTTAATCAATTCACCAACTTTTGTCCCATCATTGCCTTTCCCCTTCTTTTTCTCGGCAGCTACTCGCTCTCCTTGTCCACTGTGCATTTCTCCCGAAAATGTGAGTGAAGTCGTTCCATTTGCAAGTTTGGCCTCAGGTCGATGTCCCAATCGATCGGTAAGCCATACATCCTCTGCCTCCGAATCATCTACCCGTACTTGATTACGGAGAACATCAACAATGGCGCTCACGCGTCTTAAACTCAATCCTCCATTTCCTCCAAACTTCCCATTAGGATTCCAGGGTGCTCCTACCCAATCGTAATCCAGCCAATTGTTGAGACTTTGTCTACTATTTGCGCAGAGCATGCTATCTGTCTGAAAAACAAGTAGCCACTCTGCAGGTTGTAGAACAGTCTCATAGAGCCATAGATTCGTCAGGAATCTGCTGATCTCTTCCTGAGACCCGGTGGACATGTTGGCGGGAATATACGTCAGATCGAGTTTTCCTGATTTGACATGCTGGCGAATTGCCCGGCTGGTATTCATGAGCGCGACAGATTCGAGACTTCCCATAAAGCGGAAGCGCCAATCGGGAGGTACGACGGACATGAAATGTAACATGAGAGGAGAAAGAATTGGATTGACGCGATTCTCAATCAGAAGCGCTACTTTGGATTGATTGAATTGGGTGGGTCCTGGTGCACCATAGTCAAGAGTTACTTTGGGGATCGTAGGTAGTGAGGGGAGTGAAGGACTCTCTGGTATCGAAGGTCTAAAAAGCAGAACGGAAAGAATACTTAATTAAGAACATGGTGTTAGTATATTGCATGTAATTGAAATATAATATGGGGTTGACTTACAAAAATAAAACTACTCCACCAACAACCCGCATCCGTCTTGTGCTTTTCGACCATGCGACCACTATAGATGATGATGTGGTGGCCCATATATCCTCCACAGTCATCCCACCATTTGGCGACGACATGATTGTGTTTTTTAGTATCAATTTTGCCGCAATGGGCTCAGAAAGAAAGCTCTTAGCTCCAGACAGATATGAATTTGGAGGGCCGAGAAACGAGCAATTTGATCATATACAGATTGAAAACTGGCTAATTGTAAAATTCAATATTAGACACGAATTCTTGTAGATAAAAAAGTGTCAAATCATAGCGATAAGAAATTCATCATTAGCATGACGCGGCCTGCAGTTTTAACTTTTGAACGTGATGTTGTGAATGGATAAGAAGCTTTTTGAAGGGAACGGATGCTACCATAGATTCAAGGGTTCTTTGCTGGTACAGTACAGAGTAGTATGGAAGAAAAGGGATCTACATACATTTTTGGATTGATAAATCTTTGAGGCTTGAGCAGCGTGGAGTAAAAGACTAGAAGCGTGGGATGAAAAAGTTGGTATCTTGGTAGTATCCTAGCTTCGGCTTAGGTGGACCAAGAATTAATTAGTAGATCGTCCGGTAAATATTGTTCGCATAGTGGCACTTAATTCATCGTTTCTATCCACCCTATTAAACGATAGAATTGATTGCGTATGTTCTATTCCAGTTTATTCTTATAATCTCACACGCTTTTGAAGTACCCGGTCAAACCGGGAAGTAATAGACAGGGCTCATTCTTCCTTCTTTCCTGCTCTTTTCCTATCAAATCGATCATATCCGATCATACATCCTTTCGGAATTAACATCTCGTTCCGGCTATACTTTCGTGATATGGGCTGACTCTGTCCTCTCCTTCCTTCGTGGCTTATTTGCCCGGCCAGAAAATCAGCTCGTTTGAGATGTGCTGAGATATGATGTGGGATGAAATGAGGGGGAGATGGATGTGGTGATCTCCCTTGCTTGATGTGTTTGTGGCATATAGGATTCCGAAACACGGCTGATTTTGAATGCCACAACCATCTGCTTGCAGGACTCAACTGCTGAAGTTTGTTTTCGGAAATTTCAATTTCCACGATGGCTTTTGAAATGCCTGGTCTTCAAGTCGTAAGGGAAACGGCGCGTTGGCGACATCGATTCTAGGAAAAAGGATGTTCTGAAAGTTCATGAGCATCTCATTGCACTATCGAAATTTCTATGCTATACCCCTTTTTCAAAGCATGAAAGATGGCTTTTTGGATATCAGTTTTGCCTCGAGAATGCCTCATTAGAATCAAGGAGAAAACCAAGAACTCAATGATTTGTGACGATCGTTCTCATACATATTTTCTTATCTTGCCGAAAGCATGTGAGACCTCATTAATTATTTTTTGATATGCCCTATCTCATATCTCATGGCCAAGCCTTTTCTTGCAAGTACAGAAAAGTATTCTTTTCAACATCAATTGAGCTTCCATAGCTTGTCAATTTCGTTTCAGAGGTCATACATATCCGACTCGATGCTTCGGTAAACTTCTCAGAACTGTTTGTAGAAGGATACATTCATCAATATTTGAGAAAATCTTCCGATCAAGATCCTTTGAGAGAGGACGGCAGTGTCACAGGTCATGTCGGTCGATATACAGCAACGTCAAGCTCGAAACATCGGGTTCGGGGCTCTTATTCTCCTCATAATTATCTGGACCGTCAAACTCTCTAATCCGAACCATGATGCCATTAACTTCTATTCGAATCACACGAAAAGTTTCAACTCACCGAAACTAGCTCTTTCCCTTCCGAATCTGTTCTCTGGAGAACATCCAAATGCTACAACACAAGCGAATCTTGTAACGGATGAATTCGGAGATTACTTCAACGGAACAATTTTCAATAAAGTGGCGGTGATCATAGAGGATAGCTATCGTCCCGAAGTTATACCTCTAGTCCTGCATTTTGGCAGTGTTCTTGGTCCAACGTGGCCCATACTTATATATACTTCAATCGAAGATGTGGCTCGGTTCTCCACATCTGCGGCACTCTCGCGATACCTTAGACAAGGTCTCATTCAAATTCGAAATCTCCCACAAACCGTTCTTTTCACAGACCTCAAAGCAAGAAACAAATTCATGACAGATACGTGGTTTTGGGAGAATCTCGCACCGGCAGAGCACATCCTGCTTTTTGACAGCGATAGCATGTTGTGTTCTAATGCTGCAACGAGTGTTGATGATTTTTTCGCTTATGACTTGGTTGGGACGCCTGTCAAGGATAAGGGTCATAGGGGAGGCTTGAGTATGAGGAAAAGAAGTAGCATGTTAAGGGTTCTAGAAAATTGGGACTTTGCTGACGATATGAAGAGAATAGAGGACGAGAAGAAGAGAAAAGAAGAGAAGAAAAAGAAAGAGGAAGAGCAGAAGAAGAAGGAGGAAGAGCAGAAGAAAAAGGAAGAAGCTCAGAAGAAGAAGTCGGAGGAAGAAAAGAAGAAGAAAATGGATCAGGAGATCAAAAAGAAGCTGGAAGACGAGAGAAAAAAAGTCCAGGCAGAGAATCAGGAGGACACCAAGAAAGAAGACAAAGGCAAGCAAGTTGATAAAGAAACACAGTTGAATGGAAACGGAAAGGAGAATGGGAAGCAGAACAACGAGAGAGAGAAGAAAGAGGAGGAAGAACCAGAAGAAGAATTGGCAGAAGATCGATGGTATCAGGAAAAGTATGACAAGATTTCTCCACTCACAGGCGTGCACTAACGATATAATCTAGATTACGAAAGTTACAAGGCGACGAAGCAAATATTGGCATTGATCCAGAAGATGATGGTGCAGTCAATTTGCCCACCGAAGAAGTCACACGTACATTCAGTGTTGAATCAATCGACTATCCACACCCATTGGGATTACATCGCGTACACAAGTGGAAAGAGGATCAAATGGATAAATTACTTGATTGGTGTCCGGAATATAGACTATGTTCTGTATCGCATCACGGGAAGGAGTTTCCAACTTTTGCAAATGGAGGTGTAGGATGGTAATATGGTATGGCATGACTGGTAAATAAGGATAGGGGTTCGGTTATTTCATGTGAAAAGGGTTGTTGTTGTATGTATATGACGTGGAGTTACAGGTTGTTAGATAGACTGATTAATTAGTAGTTTTAATTAATTGTAATTTTTCTTCCAAATTTTGCATCAACTTATAATCGTTATGTTTGTCATGAATTGCGACTTATCATCTCTTCCCACAAACTACACTATCACTACTGACTCATAAATGAAATTCTTCATGGTGGCGGGAAGCCAGACGTCTGAATGAATGGGCTTCCCACATTCCTCATGATAGCCATCATGTCTTGTAAGCAAACCCCCACAGGAACGCTCCGGAAAATGATATCTTTTTCTTCCTCACACCACCGGAACTGGCAATCCCATCGAATATATTATTTCCCAATTGGTAAGATGGTGGCTATGTGTCTATATACTCAGAATATATATTTTTATTTTCAAAAGGAATAACTAACAGTTGAGATATATTTCCTATAATAGATTATGGTAGCACACCAAATGTCCATTGTAGATGGATGTCGGGACCAGTATGAACACCGACCTAAGCCAGCAAGAGCATACCTAGATAACAAATATTGGGGCATATCAGAAACACAGAAATCGGATTAAATTCTACGCCCTCCATAATATTAAATGCCCAAACCACGTTTTAAATCTCTTGGCTGGGGAGAATGGTAATCCAGCTTCCTGTCTTCTCGTCCCATATCACATCATATCTCCTCCATTGAGTCTCCTTCTTTTGGTATATGAATCTACGGTGTCTGGATTGAAAGAGGCGTCATCATGCACATTCATGTAAGGTAGCAGGTCGAATCAATTTCTCAATTCTAGCCCGCTTGCATTTCTTATGTTTTGATCTTTGGCGAGTTTCTCGTTTTTTTATTACTATTGCGGAAAACGAATTGGCTTCTTGACATTCACTTATTTGGAATATATTGGAGCTATACCTTCTCTTCTTCTTGCTGTGCGAAAACAATGTCGACGTCGCCCTCTCGGTCTAGTCCTTTGGGTAATGGAGTACTGGTAATCAATAAACCCAGAATTTTGTTACTGGTAGCACTGATAGCAACGTAAGTCTTGCGCCCAATTCAGCCTTGTCTCCAGAGACAAACGCACTTCGCAGATCAGAGAACATAACCTAATTATTCATGCTAGATGGTGGATGGCATATTTTCTCCCACGCTATCGACCAGTTGTCGAAGGACACATCAAAGACAAACTATCATCTGCCGCCGAGAAGATTCCCGCCATCAAAGTAGACTGGTATCCCAACCACGACCCGCGCGCGCAATTCAATGCCTCCAAAGTTGCACTTCTCATCGAAGGCAGACCTATTCCTCATCTCGTCCCGCAAATCCTACATATGATTTCCGTTGTGCCACCGGATTGGCGCTTTGCGTTCATCGGCACGAATAAGAGTGTAGAAGTTGTGTCTCGCAGTTTCGCAACACAATATCACAAGGCTAATGGAAAACTGGACTTAATTGTTCTTCCCAAGCCGTGGAAGGTGGATAGCAAGGAGGATGTTTTCAGGGTGCTCACAGATATTCGATTCTATGACGAATTTATGCCGGAGGTCGAATGGTTGCTCAAATATGAGTCGGATAGTATTATGTGTGGAAATTCGGAAGAAAGTCTGAATGATTGGCTAGACTATGATTGGGCTGGCGCTCCTAGGTAAGAGATACTTTGCTCTCAAGCAATCTAATACCGTTCGGGGGTCAAGATTGACACATTCGTATAGAATCGCCGGTGATTACTTCGCAGGCAATGGTGGGCTTTCATTCCGAAGAATTTCCACTGTAAAAAAGATACTCGGGTTTCAATCCCGAATTAATGATACGACCCCCGAAGATGAGTGGTATGGGAAACGTATCACGCTATTACCAGGAGCACGAGTAGCCAGCGGTGAAAAAGAAGATCATTTCTCGGTCGAAGACAGATATCATGAGAGACCCATGGGATTTCATGTACGAGATGGAGGAAAGGTGCTTCCGGAGGATGTCTGGAGGGACCCTAATCAGAGGAAGAAGATTTTCGAGTATTGTCCTGAGTTGGCAATGATAATGCCAATGAAGTTGGAAAGGCAGAGGTGCCCAGGCGACAATCGGAAAGGCGAGATTGCAAAAGACAAGAAATATGGGCAATGAAGTTGAATTGAACTAGACAGAATCGACTAATCCAGATGGCGAAAAACATGGGATACGGTGTACGGAATTATAGATTTATGTGATATATTAGCGAAGGATGCGTCATGAACGAATACATGATCGACAGGGAAATGTGGATGGTAACATGCCTCTACGGAAGTATATGGAGATTGGCGTTTGGAAATATATACCAGTTGGCGTACTAGTTGATGTACATCATAGAAACCCGGCTTTTTCAATCAAATCATGTTCTTTAAAGGGTCCATAGCTACCCTGAATCACATATCATTGGTTTCAATGATATTTCACATATAATTGCACGTCCACGACTAGTCATTTCGCTACACCTTGGCTCCAAGTGGAAGTTTCGTGTAAAGCATCTTCCTTCGTTCTAGTCTATATAAATAGTCACTCACAATGCAAGTGAACAGTAATCAGTCTGCCAAATAAGAAAAATTCAAACATTCTATTTTACTCTTGTTTTCCGTCGGATACTGATTCCCCTATCTCAATACAAAGAAAATCTAACTATATCTACAAGCTGCATCTCCTCCCACTTCCCGAATCTTGCAATCCGTACCCAGTGGTATGAGCATAAGTCTAGTCTAAATCTATATATGATGTAATCTATGTCATGGTATCGTTAACCCCCAAAAAGCCCAGCAAAAACTTCTGTAAAAGAAAACATGAAAAACAAGAGCACTGCTCAGAAAGGAACTCAACAGCCTAGAAGCTCTCCAAAATCATCCTTGTCGCAACTTCAATATCTCTTCTCCCCCCAGTGACACTAACCACCTTCCCATAATCGCTTCTACCAAAATGAAAAGCACATTGTGTTCTCTCTCCGATCTTTCTCAATCTCCTCTCGTGATCCTTCACCAAAGCTATCCACTCATACTCATTAATTACCACCTGTATCGTCCTCCAACTTCCATTCCTGATCAACTCAGCTGGCTCTCTAAATCTTAGGTACTTAGTCGCCCACTGTCGAACATTTTTTCTCGCCCACGCAAAAGCGTCTAAATCATATTCCCATCCCTTGCCAAGCGGTATATAATGGATCTTCGCTTTCTGGGACTCGCGTGTTTCCCGCTCTGCTTCATCGCGCAACGAAGCCAAGATCTCCATATCCCCATGATCAAAACAAATAATCATATCCTTGGTCCCGAAATCCTCACGATGAATTCCTCTCATCTCTCTCGTTCCCACGCGCGCTAAGATGGCGCGCTTTTCGGAGCTGTCACATGCTTTGGACTGTTGGAATGCGTGGAGAGAATTGTTGCTTCGGTCTTCTTGCTTGGGTCTGCGGAGCTCATGTCGAAAGAGAGAACGATTGTTTTTGCTGAAGTCAGTGGCGAGATAGAGTCCCGCGGAGAAGATGTCATTGAATATCCAGCGCCGGTCTGAGGAACAGTTGGCTTGCCAGAGACGCAGACATTCGAGGTAGGCTTGCACGAAGACGCCGCGGCCGTCGTTATAGTCGTCGATACAGAGGATGCGGGCGCCGGTGGAAGGGGCCACGGCGATGTGGGGGGATCGAGACTCGAATTTCATGGAATTATTTGGGCGTGGTGGTCAAGGGTTGAAAAGTTTCGATTCTTGATATTGTGATTTGAGGATTATTAGATTATGAAATTGATTATTCGCTTCCTTCTTTGCTTTCTAGATTTCAGAAATAATGCGAATGGATGAATTTTCGTCTCCCACAAATGAATGAGCGTTCGTTACACTGTCAAAAGGAATGTACGATACTACGATCTTCAAAAGAGCTTTTACAAACTGCGACGACTTTCCCTCAATATATACTCAGCTCAAATCTAGCGATTTGCATCTCAATCTGGAACATCAGAAAATCTTCATACAATAAAGTTTCTAGATACGTGCAGACCCAGCCACGACAGGCTTTGAGAAAGGCTGCCCAAGAACATGGGACTCAAATATCATGAACCACTCACGGAACGACCTTTCCGGAGAATTATGCGATGAAAATCTCGCGGGTGGCCATAGCACCTCATCTCAACCTTTTGGTTCGCAGCGGTGAATCAAATAAAATGAAATAAAAATAATTTCCCCTGGTAAAAATTGATGTGAGATCATGTTTTCCAGTTACGCCGTACCTTGAGAGAAGTTTTCTCGAAGTGCATCTCCAGCAAATAGTAGAGAAAATGCGGTCTATAGTTTAGTCGCTGATTTGCTCGCCACTTTTTATGCCTAGAAGGTATACGGATTAGGAATGCTGTCACGATGGTTGGCTGGTGGTTCGTTACTTCCGGAGTCCTAGTGGAAGATGGGTTTATTCTCCGAGTGGAGAGGGAGAGGTTTTTACCTTTTTATGCTTGTTTCTTGTCAGTAAAAGGTACTGGGGAGTTCTGCGTATATTTCCTTCTTTATGAAGCCGATGAAGGGGATATCGAGGCTCTGGTGATTGTTTACAGGGCATGTATGGTAAGTTTCATGATATAATAATTTTGTGTACCTACGTAGAACGCTGGTAATATTGTTCAAGAGATGAGTCTATGTGGTCCATTTCTCACAAAATTATCCAAGAAACTACTGTTTCCAATGGGCTGTTCGCAAAAATTATATCCAATATGATTCAGCAGAATTCTATCAAAGTTCTAGACCAAATATATCCTTGTACATCATATTGGGCATAAGGCTACTAGGGCAAAGTTTCCTCAGCCCTGTGGATCTATTACTGTGTGTGGACCACGACAAATTGCGAGGCTAACCGCTGGCTATGAAAGTCTTTAGCTTAGCATAGCTAGCTCTATCTTAATCCTTACCTATCATTTGTTTCATACAAAAACTCACGCGACCAATTTCCAACATCATTCCATTGGTTATCAAAAAAGCATTTGGCTAGATTTTAGCTCCTGTTCCTGTTCCTGGATCGGTAGCTGGGCACGCAGTTATCCTATCATATTGTTCTAGTGGAACGTCTGCCGGGGGCCCGGCTCGCATGTCCCACTTCTGGACCCCGGGACTCTCGAGTGAAGAAGAATGCTGGGTACGCACAGATGTGACATGGTCGTGTAAATTTTTCGTGTCAGAATCTTCATATATATGGAGTCGGCGCTCTGGAAAATGCCTAGAAGCTTTTGTTCTAGAAAAAACCTTGGTTTCGGTCTTGCTTTAGAAGGGAAATTGGGAGAGGGAAATAGTCGGTGTGAGGAAGAGTTTTCTAGGGGATGTGGGTTTGGACGGTTTGAGGTTGTTGTTACGAAATATTTTGGGGGAGAGATGTTGCATTTGGGGTGTGGATGGATGGACGATTTGGTGCATTGGGGTTTTACTATCTGTATGCCTAAAATGCAAGATGGGAATTGGGGATAGATTTTGGTGTGAGCTGTTTACGCTCTATACTTTATGCTTAGGATGCCTTGCTGCGGCTCAAAGAGAAGGTAAGTGGAGACTACTAAGCCGCATAATTTGTCATAGTCGTCAGTTCACCCTCTGCGTTGAGAGAAAATTTGAAGTGTCTTTTTACATGGGATGAATGCGAGGTGTGTCGTCTTTACGAGCTAGTGTTTGCCAATGGGTGATATAGTTGACGAAATGCTTTATCGCTACACACGATATTCATTCATATTCGATCACTGTAGCATTATCGATATTGATTTTTATCCTCCTTAACCAATAGTCAACACTTAAAAAGAACCATATGACTATTCCCACACGTAAGGAATCCAACACCATCCCATTCATCTCTCCCTCTATTTCTACAAAGACAATTCTGCAGATAAGCCTTCTACAGGAATCACTCACAAACTTCATCTTCACACTCTAGAAAGTCCCCAAACTTTTCTTCCTCCCCAACATTGCAAAATTTTCAATCTGCAGAAACCCTACCCCACGGTGTCATACCTAGATATCAATGCCTGGATGGGAGATCCACTTCCCGCTTTTCGATGGGAAGTGGAGCTTCTATGCAGGAACGAGCGGATGACTACAATATGCTATTTCGATGATTTGGAAGTGTTTTGCTTTGTTTTGTCTGGAGCCTGGCTTTGCTATGGGAATTCTATGTGCAGTGGGAATTGTACGTGGGAAGTTCAGAATTTGGATGCAAGTAGCACTTTCTGACGTGGGAAATCTATACAAAGTAAAAAAAATATCGGAGGAGTATACTGTAGTTATGAGTCGATAGCTAATCATCTCATCTCTACTCTCCAAATTTCTTCTCTATTAGTGCATAATCCACGCCATTCAAGTATATAGACAGAAAGCCAAGTCGAGCAATCATTCACAGTTTCTAGAAGATTCAAGTAACCACTTACACATGTGGTGAATCACACTGTGTATTTCAATTCCTCGAAACCCGATGCTTTACCCTATACAATCTCCACTAGAGATTTTGTTACAATGGCTGATGAACTGACTGACTCACAAGAGAAACATAACAAGATACTCACGTATCACAGTAGTCCATCAGTCGAAGATCCATCCTGTCACCCAAATTTACAGCCTCAATTTTGAATCACCAGCTTCTTTATCCACATCCAAAATCTAACATACAGTAAAAGCAGAAAAAAAATTCTCTCACATCTCGCATCTCACCGAGAAAATCTCACAAGAAATATCTCAATCCCCACATCCACCCACAAATCTCATCAAACCTCCCACTTCCCACTTCCCATCTATATTCAGATAATCTATCCAACAAATCAATCACATACATACAAACCCCCTCACACTCAAATAACCTCCGAGAAGGAAGATTCTTCCCTTGAATAGCTCTATATAGAGTAATGCATAGATACCTTATGAAACTTGTATTATGGAGATTCAAGGATAATTGTACCCAGACCAGATGTGTGGCCTTTAGATCAATGGATCGATGGCCTAGAACGTGGAACTATCTATATCTTTAATAATCGCTCGCTATAGTTGGCCACTAGTGAGATTATTAAAAGTATGCGAGCAGCAAAAAACTGGTATAGTGGGTGTGGGTGAGGGGATGATGGGATGTAGGAATGAAAAGCTTGCCGAGATTCTAGTTGAATTTTTTCTGAAGCGTAGAATGAGTCTTTGGGACTGCCTGCGTTTCGTTGATACGTGCTTATCATCAGCAGCTGTCTCCACAAGGAGAGATAATTCCGTGGAAATGTTGTAGCGTTGAATATAGAAGCTCTACGATACATGTCACAAGAAAGCTCATCTAATCATCTGAGAAGGATGAGAATCATCTAATTCTATGAAGCTGTGTATTCAAATTAATAAAGTTTTCGCTGTTTCCAGTAGCAGACTGTCGTGAAGAATAACGTCTCCGTTGACGGTTCTATACACTGCTTTTTATGTTGTTGATAATGTAACCCATTTCGCTAACAGCACCGCTGGCGGCAACTTCAAGCCATTCAAGTAAAAACCATCCTCCTACCAACCGCCAATTATATCATACCTATGCACATGCGATCCTCCATTGTCATACAATGTGCTAAACCCACATCCGCAGAATTGCGCCTACGGGCGAGCACCAAAGATGAAATTCAAATCCTAGAAACGCTATTCATGCACCAATTCTATCGACTGGTCAGACCCATCTTTGATATTTTCGGATCTGGAACTTTCTGATGATGAGTATCTTCTCATATCTCTTAAAAATCTGTTTCTTCGAGGTGGTAAAGGTTGAGATGAGTGATTCGGAGCTGTACCGGCTAATCGACCCATGTCCTCTCCCACTGCTGCAAGTAAACTATAATACGATCGATCCTCTGTCCACTGCTCCCCAAAGCTCCAAATCCGTTTTTTTGTTATCTTTCTCCTCTTTACAAAATCTCCCCAGTCAGAAAAGCTCGAAATCTTTCGATCCTGTGCTTTGATTTTCGATACATCGTCCATTTTGACTGCCGAGCTCGCTTTAGTCGAAAGATTGGAATTTGGATGATGATGCAAAGTAAATGTAATCAACAACCATAGATGACTTACCCAAAAATATCAAAGAACGATGACGCCACCTCATACTCAATGGGTAAAGAACAAAAAGAAGTACAGCCAAGCCTAGAAACAAAAAATGCGACAGCCTCCTAATTTAGGGTGAACACCGCCGTCGAACTTCGCGGTACTGACGATTGACCTTGCAGATCTACACGAGTACAATAAAAAAAGTCAGTAAGCAAGAAAAATCAGCTGAAAGACCGAAATCAACTGACGTGCTTTATAGAAATGGCTAACTTCGAAATAAAACCTTCGAAGGCCGACTCTGATGCCGTAGGAATGAAATATTCCTGTAGTGGTTGGGCTTTGGTGCTCGATTCTGAAAGTGAAGAACCGCCAGTCCTCAAGGGAGAGTTTGGTGGAGATAATTGTGGTTCGTAGTTCGAGCACATAAGTGCTTGCTGGGAGGATGATAACTCGTAGAATAAGAAATATTGTACCAAGAAAGCTGAGTTGCAAAAGGGTTATCAATCGTGGGACCATATTGTATATCTTGATGGTGGTGAAGTGGTGTGAGTAATGAAAGAAGACAAACCAGTAGATTGAAGACATCTAGGTATTTCTCAAATAGTCAATTTTCTATCATTCTAAGAAGGAACATGGTCGTAGTTGTGGATGGTAAGAACATGTGAAGCTTCGTACCTGCCAAGTCAAGATCGAAATTTCATAGGCTTGATTATGGTCACTATTTGGAGAAGATAATCACTTCAATAGCTCAATGACTTTGCTTAAACTTATTTCATTTGAGAATGAATAATGCTCATATCCTTTACAGTGTGGCAAATTACCCTAGTAATAAACGAGTGGAACCCGCACTGGACCCTCTAGTATCTTTGCTCTAGAATTAAATCCTTTGTCCCAGAGTACTCTCCTTGACATGCAGGGCCCCTTCAAGCCATATGAATTTTCAAATCAACCGGTACTTTTAAGATGTCGTGTACTAGGACGAAGTGTTTTCAAAATGTCGATAATCTTATGTCAGTCATGTTTGTCGTTCATTCTGGCTTCAAAGCATATATCCTGACAGGATACAGCCCCTTCGGGAAACCTTTCGCCAATTCCGTCTTCATTAGCTTCAGACCAGCTTTCTCAAAGAGTGCACGGAATTTCTCATCAGTCCTGACACTTCATGTAAGCTTGCTATCACAATATCTTATGGTTTTCACATACCTAGTGACGCTGCTATCCAGCTCGTCAAACATATCATTGCCAGCATGCGTGCTCATGTTTTCCTTCACTATGATCCAACCATTTTCATTTAGCATCTTTCCACATTTCTGAAGATACTCCACCAGTTGAGAGTCTGTCAAATGTCCTAGACACCATTGGTTCCAGATCAAGTCATATTTGGTTTCTGCATCTGGTGTCCACGCTTCCAGACCAACTGAGTATATTTGGCCAACTCCAGGTTGATCTATAAGCGCGGAAGAGAACTTCGTTACTGGTTCCACAATATCCACTGTGTCAGCGACACTAAGAAGCAATGCTTTTGTAATTCGACCGATTCTGGAAGTCGTATTAGCTCACATATGTCCAAGCTTCTATGACCAAAGAACAGCCCCAATCCATGATATTATTTGTGATTTAGCACTGAACTTTCAGTCATCAAACTCTCATCCTTGATCAGCTGATAAAAAGACACTACACGCCGACAACACCACAAGACAACTTAATCCACACCCAGGAAAGAGACAAAAACTTCCACAACAAAGAATAGCTTACCCTGCCCCACAATCCACCGCCCTCCCCAATTTCGCACCCTTTACCCCCAGCTTCCCTAAGAAGTTCTTTGATCCCTGTATATCCACTCGACTGATATACGGAAAGCCGCCCAGCATTCCATCATCACTTGCTTCTATGCCTTCCCAGCTGTGCGTTGTGTCAGTCTTATCACTTCTCATACGGGTTTTTCTTGTCTCGTCATTCGCTTTCCAAAAGAACAAATTGAAACGGATGTTGAAGGAGATTTCGAGGAAAGATATGAGGGAGGAAATAATACGCACTAATTGATAGCATCCGCATGATTAATCTGCGAGTCCGCCGCTTGAGTTGTCATGTTCACGGTAGGACCTAGAGCTTAACAAGGAAGGTTGCAAAATCTTTTAAGCTGTAAGTTTGACCTGTGAAATTGATCGATGAGTATAAGATGGGAGATATATATATGGATATAGATAGGGGCTTGAGTTGTGATGAGTTTATCAGGTATTGATATCGAGGAGGGATCATTTTTTGTTTGAACCTTTCTTTCAGATGATATTCGGTAAATAGTGGTGTGTATCTAGTAAAAGCGTTACTCGTTATAGCTTAGCGTTCTATTGGCTTGCTTTCGACCGGCTGTAGCAGGTCACTTTGATTGATTAAAACTTTGAGAATCACTGACAGTTCCGTGATTATAAAATAAAAATAGGGAATCCTAGAGGATTAAAGTATCATCATCGAATCAATTGAACGGTACTATAGTGTCGTGTGAAAATGGCGGGTCAGGATACTAATTGTCTGATTTAGTATCGAATTTGGCAAAGGATGTGTGTATTTCTGATGTGCCAACTTATTTCGTCCCGTCAAATCTTAGATGATTGAAGGTGTGTATTTAGTCTCTGACGGTGTAACGTACGTCTCTCACTTCTCTGCTGTTTGAATTTCCATCTATATGAGATATGTATTGTGAATGGATCTTTACGGTCGCGCTTCAGACGAGAGTTGGATCCAGAGCGATAAAGCACCCTCACAATATCATAAGGATGCTAGGAGCCAGGCCATACTCACGAGTCACTAGGTGTACCAAGAGTTCAAATATATAGTAGGTAGCCTTTGATGTTTTGCTTGGCTTTGTTTGAAGGATCTATTAAACAATCATTAAATTGTATTCATAAAATCACCCTGATTCCCTCCATAGTGTTATATTTACAGTGAAAGTAAAAACTTTTCCAACCTCTATTCCATGCTCATCTGAATACCCCCTAAGTACAAGTGCCGAAGTTCTTTTGACATCCAGTACCACAATAGTCAGTGGTACTTCCACAGTATCCATATTGACTGCAGCAATTGCCAAAGCTAGATCCGTTACAAGTGGTAGAGCTCGAGCAGCTTCCATCGTCTGAAACCTTTTGGGTGCTGGTTGGCTTTGCAGAAGTTGAGGATTTAGTTGCGCTAGTTGAGGACGTAGATGATCCAGAGCATGTTCCGCTAGCAGACTGACAACCGGTACTGCAATAGGCATCTGTGGATCCGCAATAACCATTGACAGAACAGCAGTTTCCAAAAGTGGAGCCGAGACATGTAATATCAGTATTGCAGGAACCGTCATCGGAGATTTGTTTACTTGGTGTAGGAACAGGAGCATTAGCATCGCCACTTCTGTACCAGTTCTCTGATGGATCTCCAAGACACTCTCCCACGGTGACAGATTTAAATCCGTGAGAGTACATGGAAGCGAGAATGTAGTCTGTAAGATTGTAGACAGTTTGATAATGGATGTCGTGTTCAATTTCCAAGAAGTTTTCTGTAGTGGCATCTGCCTTGGCAATGGCCTTGTCCCAGATGTTTTTGGAGTTCTGGATGAGAGTTGCAGCATCGTTCAAATATCCTGCAGTATCCAAATCGAAATAAGTTACATGGTATCCCAAGTCTGCCATGAGATCACCGCAGGTGGCGTTACATTCGGAATAAGGAGGTCTCATATATGTTGGAAAATATCCAAGGATGTTCCTGAAAGCCATCTCATTATAGTACATTTGATTCTTGAAGGTTGTCAGATCGAGTGATGTTAGATTTTGGTGACCCCAAGTGTGGGATGCGATCTGATGACCTTCCGCGACCATACGTTTGATAACAGCAGTGTACTGTGCAGTGGTATCAATTGCACCTTTTCCAAGATTGTTACCGGTAATCATGAAGGTAGCCTTGGCCCCATAAGCTGCAAGTTTGTCTAAGAGATCATTAGTGTAAAGATAAGGTCCATCATCGAAAGTAAAGGCGATATCTATCAGAATACAAAAGTCAGCCTTTTTGAAACCCCTAAAAAGCACAGGAAGCAAACCTCCAGCAACTTGACAATCGTAAATGCCAGCTCCACCATATGGAACAGTTCCAATGTGTGGGCGTTGAATGTTTGATGTAGAAGCACCGGCTGGAGCTTGGAGTGTATCGCAAAGAGGTCCGTATTTATATTGACAATCCGGAGCTGCACAATACTCTTGCGTAGTACCGCAATATCTGGTGAATCCATTAGTTCGGGTCTGTAGGGCTGAGATAAAAGTGCCTACCCTTCTGGAGAGCAGCATGCATTTACACAGCTACCAACACCTGGACCGCAAGTATTTGGATCGTTCGCTCTTGCTGCTACCTTAGGCGATCGATCTTCTACATGCACAGGGGATGTGATTGGAGCTGGCATAGCATTGCGACCCTTGACGGTTTGGAGAAATTCCCTGCCGCCCATCAACTTTGGCATGGCAGGCCCTGAATGTGCACTTGACAACGAAGCCAAGGCCACAGTGGCGAGGATCGAAACAGACTTCATGTTGATCGTTTCTTGAAGGAGTGTGAGGTGCAATTGCTTCCAATGGGCGAGTTCGTTGCAGGATTATAAGTAGTAAAAATTATAGACGCGAAACTTTATACCCAACTGCTATTATGCCGAGACTAATGGTAAAAGAAAGACTGTTCTCAAGAAATTGAAGCGACTGTGAGGGTCATAAGAACCGATGAAGAAGTGAAGAATGTTGCAAAGTGGGAAGCAGACTTCCTATTAAACCCTCAAAGCAGAGGCAAGCTGACCTGATATGCAGCGACAATAAGTAGGGGAGTAGAAGCGTAGGGAAGTGTGTAAAAGTAACATAGCTTTCTAGGGTCAAAACTTTGAGTAAATCCGATTTGTATGGGTACAACCGTCAACGTGCAGCCTACCACAGCAAGGATTCAGGATTTGTGCAGCCATCTTATGATTCCCATCACTGAATGAGACAAATGGGACGGTTTTCTTTCTTTTTTGTATAGTTCCTACCAACAGATGCAGGTCCAAGAACTGATTATACTGTTTAAAGAAAACATTCATGTAGGTCACAACGACCCGAGAGTGGAAAGGATAGCAAGTGGGGTAAGAGAGGTCTTAGAACCATGCCCGATTAAGTCGATAACAAGAAAAAGCGTGGAAATGTTAATGAACATGAATGCTTCCATGCTAGATATTTCGCTGGACGGCTGAACGTGCGCACGGTACATGACTTTCTTGCATGATCCCTTACAACTGCTGCTAAGAATGTTAAAAATTCGGAAAATTTCGAATGAAGGGGTCTTTAAGACTTCGTGGTGCCAATCATGATAGCCATACAAATGCAATGATTTTGTGATAGCTGGGTACGCATGTTTTGGTCACAACCTCCTTTTTCTTCTCACGTCGCTTTTCTTTTTTCTTTTAACGTTATATGGAACTCCCTTACCATCGGTGGAAGTGGTGGAATGGGAGAAGGCCTGCTGTGGAAATTGCAGTTTAAGCTTTCGAGAAAAACAAAGTCGTCTCGAGATCATCTCAGTCATGGCTCCTCCCGGATGACGAGGACTTGGCGTTATGCACGTCTTTTGGCCCCTAATAAAATCATTATCTTCGCGAAAGCCTTCACCAGTTGGAACATTTGTTGTGGAGCTTTCGCAGAGCGTGTCATGTAGCTCGTACTCACAGGCAACTTATGAACAAACGGAAAACAGCACTTTGGTCAAATCAAATCAACAGCCTTCACGGTTTAAGCATAATCAAATCTCCTTGTGCACCTGGGCATTGATAAGGAAGCGGATGGATTTAGCCGTTGCAACTTTCGATTCATTATTCTTCCGATGATGACTATTATTAGTGTCTTGTTTCCTCCCGAGATCGTCAAATTTTCTGCAGTTAGGCCTCGTGCAACTGAGCTAGAGCTGAGTTCGGACGAGTCTCACCACTTAATATAATGCCTATAGATCCGAGATCCCGAGTCCAACACCGTACTCCCTGATGCGCGCGAGGACATAAACGTCGTGTAAAGTTCTATCTCGTGTTTTCGCAGACGCGCAACTTAGATATTAATGCTGGATAGTGCATTCGGTCCAAGTTACGTGACCATAGATGGATACTGGCGAGCGGAAGCAAGAGCGGACGATAATGTCCAGTTTCGATGTGGCAGCTGGATATTGGTGTTCAATGCCAAGGTTGAAACAAATAAAATATATTCAATGTACTGCGAGCTTGTGATGGGTATACTCTCTTGTCATTGTCACATGTTTCTTGAAGCCTCAGTCGATTCCAAAGTTTGTGAAAATGTGACTGGCGAGAGGAGAGCTAATATCTCGTTCATAATCTCCTTCCTCCGTAACGGTACTTCTAACTATCTTAGTGCGTGACTCCTAAAATCTCATTTTCCTCCACGTATTTGTAGTATCTTCCCTTCGTATTATTTCTCCAACTCTTGCCCCATTTCACCACCGCAAAGAACGTAAGAACTTGAGCAAGACCAGCAAAGGCAGCCACAATGAAAGCATTTTGATAACCCATATTAGTAACCCAGGGTGTGACACCGTAGCCCATTGCAAAGCTCATTGTATTTCGTATGATAATTACAGTAGCTGTGAAAGACATTAGCTTGGACTTGAGGAACGCATATAGGAAGATGTAAGAAAGTACATACCCATAGCTTCACCACTCAAATCTTTATAAGAATCGATACAGTACGAAACAGACAACTGAAGACCAATACCGTTTGAGCCAGCAATAAGGAACATGGCAACTATCAGTCCAAACCAATGTATATGATGGGCTGCTCCGACACCCCAAAGAATCAAAGAGGCAGGTATAAGAATTATTGATGCTGAGAACAGCCAAAGGCGGTACTCTGCTTCCAGAACCCCCTTGTTGCGACGGGCGAGCCATAATACGACTCTATCTCCTATAACTCCTGAATAAAAGGAAGCACAAGCTACTCCAAGTAAGGGAGAGACATAAGATAATCCGACCATGGATGATGAAAAGTTATAGGGCGGAGCACTCAAAATCAGGGAGGCAGTCCCATTGAGGACGTTAAACCAGATTAAATTACTGCCATACGAGAATCCAGCGTAGGCAATCGATGGTAGAGACATAAAGATAAGAGGTCGAATCATCATCCGGAAGAGCCTGAAATCTCTTTTCTTATCCTTTAAAGACAACTTTTGGATATATGTCTTCGGCTTGTAATGCACAGTTCCGAGCTCAGCATTCTGATTGGCTGCTCTTGAGACGTCGGTAGAAGTACCTTTCTCGGGATCAAGTGGCTCTGAAGAAGTGGAAGACTTCTCTTGGAGCACCCCTCCTGTTGGTGTGATCATTCCAGGTGTGTCATCTCCGGAAGTTGTCTTTTTTTGAGGTGCTCTATCGTAGTTTGTCTCCTCCATAAGGAAGAAGCAAAACACAAATCCAATGGCTAGAAAGATAGCACACCAATACATCACCCATTTCCATCCTTGTCCGTCATTAATAAAGCCAGCCTATGAAATTGTAAGCTCAAATGAGGGACAATTATCACCTCTTGACGACTCACAAGTATTGGAGCTAGAAAGTTACTTCCAGCCAGCATGAAAGCATATAATCCCATATAGGAACCTCTTTCGTGGGCAAAATAAATATCTGTAATCGAAATTTCGCAAAGTGATTCGATAGGGGCTCCGACAGCACCTTGTAAAATCTTACATCCAATCCAGGCAGAGTTTGTTGTAGCATGCGGCACCCATAGCATGGTACTCGTTCTGTCAGTACTTCTACAAGCAATATGATGGATTAAACATTTACTGACCCCAGAGTTGCTAGCATAGAGAACAGATACACCGGTCTTTTGCCATATTGTAGCGCCATGGGCTGGGCGATTAAAGTTCCCCACTGGACTCGAAGTACAGCATCAGCGACTGAGTACTCAAAAATCAAATATGTTGCTTTGATCCCGTAAAAGTAACCTTATTCTGGATGGAAAGGAAGAAAGGGCTAGACTCTACTTTGAGACAAACTTCGATTGTTCCTCCATGCTTCCTTAACCAATCTAAATCTTCCATTCTTTTATGCTGTGAAAGGAAGCATACGAGATAGTGTAACTCACTCCGAAGAACAAAAACATATAGCCCGTGCCGGCGTTTAACTGATCGACTGTCAAGCCAGTGTCCTCACTTATGGGCTCCAATACACTGTAAACTGCTGCAGATGCTATTCCAACCATCAAAGTATACATAGACATGCATGCTGTTGATAGCATCTTCCGTTTCGGCGACCAATTTAGCGGATCGTCTGGATCGCTGGATGGCGATGGAACAAGGACAACATCTTGTAGTCGGGATGCAGATGCATGCTGCCCCTTCATTACACCTTCGAGATCTACCAAGTGAACAGTCCCTGGGACCGCGCGTGTGTCCAGTTCATCACCTTGATGATTGGTGTGCTCCATCGTGAAACAAGACACAATTATAAACTGCAGAAGAGATAAAGAAAGGTAGCTATTGCAGGAATAGGTTTGACTTTTACCTTTTTGACCGTAGCAGACGACAGAAGGTACTAATTGTTTGGCCAGGTAACCATTGCGATGATCTCTCTGCTTTTAAGACATCTCAAGTGGTCAAGGTGTATAACGAACTTATCACGAAGTATATCATGGCTGGTGATCATATAGATATGAGATTATGCAGTGTACCTAGACTCTCCACTTGGAGGCCCAAAGGAGCAAGTGTATGCAATGGTGACGACCAACTCTGAGCTCTCATTCGACAATTGAAATGTCACTGGCTACTACCCCGCGGCCTGGTTATCATGAAATATCCCGATAACCATCAATGGCAAGCTTTATCAGTGAAGTATGATAACGGCAAAGCTATTTGCCTTGTTAATTTAGGTACTCTCTAATTGGAGTCTGGAGGGAAAAACGGTACACTAAATCATTAGATAGGATGATCACCTTTGCGTTGAGATTACTTACATCTTGATATCCCATAATCATGTCAATTTACACTGAAATTCAGACTGTACGATATTAATAATAAATTCAAAGCTTATAAATATATCCTTTCTATTTCTAATTCAAGATGATGATTTCATGAGTTGATATCGAATATTAAAAAGAGTGTATAATATTCATGTCTCAGCATCTCTGATTTTGTCGTTTTGTTCATCGTGGGTATGATAATGTTAAGGTTGGCTTGATAAGGCAATCATTTCTAAGATTGGAAAGAATCCGTTTGTGTAAACGTCACCCCACTCTTTCAAGTCTCATTTGATTCCATGGGATAGATAACGATCTTCGATTTATGCAGAATATAGAGAATGAGATAAAGTTATCTCTTAAGCTTTCCATCATTGAATACTTGAAGCACGGGAGCATGTTCGGCTATCGATATCCAAGGAACAAGGTGTAGTGCAGTCTCGAAGGCTCTCGACGCTCGAGTCTTGAATGATTTGCGTGTATGACAACTGGGGGAGCTTGTCTCCGTGCTTTTTTCTACTGCTTCGCTGAGCTCCATCGATCTGGAGATGATCAGGTCGCGTAGCATTCAGATTCAAAATATCGCTGGATCGCTTGTAGCACAGCATATTAAACACGCCAGACACTTCCAGTAGCACTTGATGCCACGATGTTATCGCCAAAGATACTTACATCATGAGTATCCCGAGAAGATTTGAAAGCGTTCTCTCCTCTCAAGAAGTGGCCACTCTCTATAGGATGGTAGTTGGCATTCTTTCAAGAGATGTTCCCTGGTATTTTGAGCCATCCACTCCCCTGCGTCAAATTAAGAGCCGCGTATCTGATAAGTCCTTTCAGTTACTTGAAGCGAGAATTAGTGTCCAGTATTCCATAAATCATGGTCTCCATGATACAGCCAACCTCATTTTCATTTCGAATGGCGAAATTGATATTCATAAAATCATCCCCGCCAAGAACAACATCAAACAAATCCGATCTATGATTTTGGCTGCTTATTCTCTTGAAATGAAAACAAAACTTCTTTCCTTCCCAAAATGTGCTTACCAGATTGCCGCGCCAGCTTGCGAATAATATCACACTCGCACTGGACGAATCAGAAAAGGATACACCTGGGATCATCAACTGGTTCCGTAGCATCAGTGGTGCGATTAGTGTTAGAATAGGGCGCTGCAGCTTCAGTCAGTGCCGCGCGATATGACGTCGAAGCAATCAAGAGTGCCGTCAACCAATTGGGTGATATATAAGACCAGGATAAATCTGAATGAAGAAACGTGGTCATATGGCCACCATCGTAAAGATTCTGGAAGCCATGTAGCCGAGAAGCAGGATGCGTTATCTGGCATAAGATGGAAATACGAGAGATTTTGCACAGGAAGAAGATGGGAGATGTTTTGATCGAAGGGCTTATCTCGGGATCAATGTGAGTCCGTTTGAGGCGGTCTTTATCAAGACCAACAGATATATTGATCCGGCCGCTTTGGAGAAATCGACGAATTGGATGAAGGGAAATAAGTTTACCATTTATGAGCACTGCAAATCGTAGTAGGCCAGCGATTTTGATTCTTCCAAAGTAGTGGATTCTCTCTTCATGGGCTAAGAGTTACAATGAAAATGTGGAAGGGTGGAGAAGACGCAAGCAACTAGGAGTATTCCGGACTTGAAGACTTGCAGGATAGAAACACCATGTTGGATGGCACTAGTACATATGAGGGTATCAAAAATAATCAAATTATGTATGTATAGAGAGTACCATAGTAAAGTACCACAAGGCTAAAGGTTGAACCTTGTTCTTTGCTTCTCCATTCCAGCCTTCCATTGCCATTGAACAGCATCATCACCTTCACTGCCTGCTCTGCCAATTCCCTTATCAACTCTTCTCAACTTCAACGTGAATCGGGGTCCCAGCTCCTGCAATCCAGCTCTAATACCCTCTACACCTTCCACGATTTTTCCATCCGGTCCTACTACGCTCTTTTCTGTTTCTCGCTTCTCCCTAAAAACATATCGATGTCTTCGGACAAAGATGTAATCACGTTGATTGTGCAACGTAACTACTTGTCTACCCTGTAATTCTGGTTGTGGTGGAAATAGCGTCAAGAATAATCTCGCAGTCAACAATCCCAATGGTGTGCGAAAATTGTTCAAAATGAGTTCTGGGTAGTGATTTGTTGGGTTTCCATGACCAGGCAACTTCTTGCCTTCAACCCAATTCTTGATCGAGAAATGACATGTGGGACCAGATGGTAGATGGACGATGGTCAAGCCAGTGGGCACCTTAGCGTCTTCTTTAAGCATGACAACAGATGTATACTCGCGATTTGTAGCAAATTTGCAGATCTCTCGTAGAGAATATTTGTGTCCATAGCGATGGGCCGATCGGGGAACGTAATTGCTATTTGGAAAGAGAGTGCATAACAGATGAGCTTCTGCATGGAGTGTAGAGTTTAAGGAGGTTGTGAGGAGAATTTTTGGAGCTGGCGGAGGCTCATCTGTGAAGAGTGTGGGAAATTTGAGGGATAAGGAAGATGGTGTAAGGTCCAGATTTGTGCTTGTTGTTGAAGGCGCATTGCTAACTGCTCGAGGTCGGCTTTCGGTTTCTTCATCCTCGTCGTCTGATCCCTTCTCAGAATCCGAATCCAGCATACTGTCGGCATCATCGTCCTTTTCCTCTGGTTCTTCATCTAATGGTTCTTGCTCTGCAGCCTCCGCCTCTTCTATGCGTCTTCTCTTCAATTGCTCGACATCTACGCTGATATTGAGGTCGTTTCCATCGCCCGATACTTCATCCCAAACACGCTTATTATCAATTGTATGTGGAATGTTCTTCGCCAGCCGCTGCCTTCTCAATTCGGGATCTCTATCTTCTTCTCTCTTTCGTTTGAAGCGTATGTCTCTGCGATCGTTATCGCGAGCCTTCTTTTGTTTGATATGAAGATCTTGTCTCTTGAATTTGTTGCCAGTTTTAAAGGGTAATGCTGCCTTCGAAGAGGCTGGGTGCACACGTTTGGAACCCATTGTGAGATTATTATATGTCGGTAGAACAAATACCTGGAGGAAAGGATGTCTAGAAAAACCTAAGAGGAAATCCAAAAATTATTTTAGCTGCTATCGGTATGCGGCCGCTTCTTCCCGATTGGTGGATGGATCTACAAGGCTGTCCCCCTCGCGACGAGTCACACAAAAAGAAATTCCCCCACGACCTTGATAAATCGCAAAGTTTTGAAAAGTTCCCCAGACTTTCTTTGACTCATACCTATCATTGGATGAGTCTTTGGTGAATGCGATCTTTTTGTAGCCTTATAAGAAATATTGTTGTCAAACCAAAACTAAAACCACAGCTCACATTTCGAACCTTTACAGCTACAACACCCCACCATAAATACCAAACACCAGCACAAAAGAAGGACAAAATAATGTCGACCACTACTACGCTTAAGGGTCAGCCCCTTGATCGTCAAGTCCTCGATTCCATGTTGAGGCGGCGCATGTTCTATACTCCCTCTTTCGAAATCTATAATGGAGTCGCTGGTCTTGTAAGCAACAAGTCTTTCATACAATGCTCCCAATGTCCAATACATTCTGCATGTTTCGACTTCTACAACCCTTTTACTTCCCTTAAAACTCCAAACTCTCAGTTGATTCTAGGAAGTTTTTTTCTGGGCAATTACTGACTTCTTACGTAGTATGATTATGGTCCTCCCGGTTGCGCCTTGCAGGCGAACGTTATTGACTTATGGCGCAAACATTTCGTCTTGGAAGAAGATATGTTGGAATTGGACTGCACAGCGTTGACTCCAGCCGAAGTTCTCCAAACTAGTGGTCATGTTGAGAAGTTTGCAGATTGGATGTGCAAAGACCCCAAGAACGGCGATATCATGCGAGCGGATCATTTCGTTGAAGACATACTTGAGTCGAGGTTGAGAGGTGACAAAGAAGCTAGAGGTGTCAAAGTTGTCGAGGAAGAAGAGGACCCATCAAAAAAGAAGAAGAAGAAGAAGACTAAGGGAATTGAAGCTGTGAAACTCGATGATACAGTTGTTCAAGAATACGAGCAGATTTTGGCTAAGGTACATCCATCTAATGACATTACAAGTATGAATATTAACTTTTTAGATTGATAATTACAATGGAGAAGAACTTGGTCAGTTGATCAAAAAGTACGAAATGAAGAACCCAGAAACTGGCATGGAGCCTTCCGCACCAGTAGCTTTCAACCTTATGTTCCAGACTGCAATTGGCCCAAGCAGTAACACACCAGGTTATTTACGTCCAGAAACTGCCCAAGGTCAATTTCTCAACTTCGCCAAGCTTCTCGAGTACAATCAACAACAAATGCCATTTGCTTCTGCTTCCATTGGCAAGTCATACAGAAATGAAATCTCTCCCCGTGGTGGTTTACTGAGAGTTCGAGAATTCTTGATGGCTGAGATTGAACATTTTGTCGATCCCGAAGGCGGCAAGAAGCATGAACGTTTCAACGACGTCAAAGATGTAGAGCTTGTTTTGTTGAATCGCCATACTCAATTAGCTGGTAAAACTGATGTTGAAAAAATGGCTATTGGCAAGGCCGTCGAAAATGGTACTGTCGACAACGAGACCCTTGGCTACTTTTTGGCACGAATTCAGCTCTTCCTTGCAAAGATTGGTGTTGATCAATCCAAAGTTAGATTCAGGCAGCACATGGCCAATGAGATGGCTCATTATGCTGCAGATTGCTGGGATGCTGAGCTGCATACCAGCTCTGGTTGGGTTGAGTGTGTTGGTTGTGCTGATAGAAGCGCTTACGATCTTAGCGTACACGCAAAGAAGACTGGTGCGGCTTTGATGGTCCGTCAAAGATTAGATACTCCAATTAGTGTCGAGGAGTGGCAAGTTGATCTCGACAAGAAGAAGTTCGGCCCTAAATTCAAGAAGGACGGTAAGGCTGTTGAGGCTGCTATTGAAGCTCTGTCGCAAGAAAAGCTGGAATCTCTTGCAAAGAACCTCAAAGACAATGGAAAGATTGTTATCGAGGTCGATGGAATCGCTGATGGTAAAGCCGAAGTTGGTGCTGATCTTATCAAGATTGAGCTCCGAACCCGGGTTGAAAACACCAGAGAATATACTCCAAATGTAATTGAGCCTTCATTCGGTATCGGTAGAATTTTGTACGCCTTGATGGAGCACAACTACTGGACCCGTGGTAGTGAAGGTGGCGATGAAGCACGTGGTGTAAGTTATTGTTCTTTCTCATGCATTTGTAGCGACTAACGAAATATAGGTTCTCTCATTTCCACCAATTGTTGCTCCCACTAAAGTACTGCTCGTTCCCCTCTCTTCCCATGAGAGTTTCAAGCCCTTCCTGAAGCAAATCTCATATAAGCTCCGATCCATGGGTATTTCTAGCCGTATTGATGATTCTTCGGCATCCATTGGCAAACGTTATAGCCGAAACGATGAACTTGGTACCCCTCTGGGCATCACTGTTGACTTCCAGAGTGTTAACGATAGTACATTCACTTTGAGAGATAGAGATTCCACTAAGCAAGTCCGTGCATCCCAGGAGAAAATCCTGGCGGCTATCAAAGAGTTGGTTGACGGCACCAAGGTTTGGGCAGATATAGAGAAAGAACTGCCAATCTTCGAGGGTCAAGAGGCTGATCTTCCTACTCGTTAAGACACAGAAATGTCTAGATTTTGCGAAATGTTATCACATGTTATCAGATAGGCATGTGGAGATCCTGTAGACACCTCCTGGTTAATCCTTGAGGAGTTCGGAGAATTCGATGTCACACATAGATTATGAATTTGTGATGTTATATCGCGCCAAATGATAAAAATAACAATTCATTTACGTTCAACGGACTTTCTGCTCAATATTCCCGATCGTAGGAACGACTTATAATTGATACGATAAACCACATGTTTTAACAAGATTTTCGTGCTACGTAATAAGTAACTTCAAAATCTGGGAGATCAATGCGTGAGCTTCCATCATCCTTCTTTTTCGCTTCTAGAAATTCCATGGTTGTTAGGGGGCATTTAGAAAGGGGGAAACACACAAATCAATCATGTAAGAGAGAAACACCCCGTAGAAGTGACCAGTTCCCTCTTGGGGATGATCATAAACATTTGACTTCATCGAAACCGGAAATACATAGCCCAAGAAATTGCTAAACCGTGCGAGGGTCTAAATCTGTTACAAGATCCGTTCATTTGGAAACAAGAACTTGTAATACCTAGTACCTATGACACTAATTTTCGAAACAAAGGATGCTCATTTGATTAGTAGGCTCGGTAAGGGTAGCGCTTAGGAGGAACATCAGAGGGGGCTTTGCTTTACTTCCCGACAAGAGACCAATGCACATTTTAATTCATGTACAAAGCGTCTGCTCGGGAGAAAAACTGGGAATTCTCGCAATCCATTTTGTAGGAGACGTTGCCGTTGCCGTTGAATTGTTTTATAAAATTTTCGAGAGTTTTAAAGTTCATGTTTAGGGGCTTTGACAACTTGTAAATAGCCTTTTGTTTGTGTCAATCAACTAAATCTATGAAACAGTACTAGGTGGTCTAAAATAAACAACTGACTCTACCTACTTCTCACTTGATCAAGATACCAAATTGTCCAGATAACATATGCATTGGTAGTGGGTAGAAACTTGGCAGGCTTAGTTGGGTACTGCTAATCATAGAATCATAGCCTATGATGATGCTATGCTCTCAGCTAAAGAGTATCTAAGGTAGCTAGTAGTCCTGAGTCCTAACTTTGATGGATCGTTCAGTTCATCCCTGAGTCAAAGTTCGTTTCTTTTCTTCCTAGTCAGCCTTTAGGACTTTTCCCATGATTGATCCCCGATAGGCTAAGGAAGAAGTAAGATAGGCCGGAGGGAGGCTTGATAGAAAGAAATCATCTTTTCAGCATGACTTTGTGTGTGTGTGTGTGTGTGCGTGCTTGTAGTAATACTTTTCGTAAGATGTAATATCTTGGTATTACTTTCAGATAGATATGTATAGATACTGTGTTCAGTAAGATATGTTCATCCTAAGACATACAGGAAGTTACTACCCGTCTCTTTCTCTCTCCCCCCCATCAATCTTCCAAAGACACCCAGGTATTCGACAGGCGTATACAATAAATCTAGAAAGATAGATAGACAGATATCTTTGAGACAGAGCACACTTACAACAGGTAGACAGGACAGAAAAGCAGTGCACTTATCACTCTTTTATACACCACATTATTCTACTAATATATATATATATATATATATATATACACCGTATTCTCTCTTAGTGAATTGTTAATAAATGCATCTACATTTTCTCGAGCATGCACTCATCCGTGAACTCTTCTCCTACCCTTATTACTCTTATTAAATGCTCTTTGGCGAATGTGAAGGGACCTTTGGTGAATTTAGTGAAAGGATTCGGCCTCTTAAAAGGGTGCACGGGTAAGGAAGGGTATGGGGGTCTCATTAGCGTCCTGTAGTTACCGCTTGAGCAAAAGGCGCTACTACAAACTCGATTCCTAAAACCTGCCCAAGTAGATCTCAATCACTTTCAATACATTGAACAACTGCATCCAAAAGGAAATTCCTCCCTCTTATAACAAAGTTGTCTTGTCAACATTGACAACATAATACTGCAACACTGAAAACCATATAATATACTGAAAGCTCCATTCACCACCATTTCAATAGTACAAGAAAAAAACGCTGGACGTTGTGCGACGGCAACTCGGTCTTTGTTGATCCCCTGGTTTGTGACCTCGAACAACCTCGAATCTCCAACTGTCTATAACGAATAGATCAGGTGGAGTTCTTACTCACTCCAGCCCAGACTTTACTTTGTATGTGATTGTACTTTTTTATACTTTCTGCATTCAAAGAGTAATAATTAAATGCTAATATTTATGAATACAGTCATTTTTGTCTTCTCTTTCAACGATACCCCGCGGCTTTCGATCTGCTTGTTCCCTTTCAGAATCTTGCATACATTGTTCTTTAAGTTGTAATTCTGCCTTCTCATCAAAATGGCTTCACAAAATAGGTATGTAATTTCCCATTCCTTATTCATTTGCACAGAGCAGCTGCTTGGAACAATTCAAACTCTCCATATATTTCCGAGTTTTGGTTTGGACAAATCTCATTTGGCCTTTCGAGGAACTTTTATATGTTTTTGCAGCTGCTGTTGGATGATTGTCTGCACTCACTTCCTTTGTGGATCCATAGAAGAATACAGCTAATGAATAATTTATCAGCATTTACACACCAGGTCAATTCATGAACCCGGGACCCGCGCCTCGACCTCCTGCTGGCCCTCGACTAAATTACACTCCTACTACCGCGAATATTCCAGGAAATGTGTCTGCCCCTAACATTTCCCAGTTAAGCATCAATTCTCCAATCACCAGAACCGCCACATCTACATACTCTGGCTCGACCGTCTCTCTTCCTTTAGCTCGACAACAGACCAATATGGATGGACAAGGAGGAGTCGCAGTGATCAAGGAGGGATGGGCTTCAGTCAAGGAAGGAAAGAACTTCATCAGTCCTTGGAAGAATAAGTGGCTTATTCTTCGAAAGGAGGCACTCGATTTTCATAAGACTGAAGGTGGTAAAGTTGCCTATCAAATTGTACTCAAGGATGTTCTTGGAGTTTCAAGAGTTGAGGCGGCGGGAACTATCTTCGAAATCAGGAGAACCATGAACGGCTCATCAAACAACCCAGGAGATGATGACAGTACTGGGAGGACTCTCCAGATCAAAGTGAAGAGTGACGACGATTTGTACGAATGGATTGACTTTATCTACGCCCGTTGCCCTGGAATGGGCGGTGTCAGCAACCCAACTAATTTCAGTCATTCCGTCCATGTCGGTTTCGATCCCAACACTGGAGAATTTGTCGGACTGCCTGCAGAGTGGTCAAAATTGCTGAACTCTTCAGCTATCACCAAGGAAGATTATGAGAGAAACCCTCAGGCTGTTTTTGAAGTTCTGGAATTTTACTCTGACATCACCAAGCGTCAACAAAATCCCCAGCAATTTTCGAGTTTGACACCTACACCATCTGTCGCTCAAAATCAAAACAAGCAACTTGGTTATATGCCAGGTAATTCTATAGCACCCCCCAGGCCTCTTCAACCCCAGCAGCAGCCAAGCAACAATGGTTACGGTTCGCCACAGCAGCAGCCGCAGCAACAACAAAGAAGACCCACACCCCCAGAGCAAAGTCAGCAGCGCAATCAAATGCAACAAATGGCATCAAACTATGTTACTCCTGATCAACGTGAGGAACAGAGACAGATGCAACTGGCTGCGCAAAGACAGCGAGAATTTGAGGTCGCCGAACAGAACCGACTGGATATGGAGAACTATAACGCATCAATTCCTCAAACTCGCACGCCAATGGCCAAACAGGAGATTGGCGGCGGTGGTTATTCGAGCAGTCCATCCCAAGATCGCTACAACCCGACTAGGGTGGCACCTTCTGCCCCTCGTCCACAGCAAGGACAACAAACCGCTGCTCAAAGACCAGCCCAGAGACAAGCTCCGTCTGCGCCAACCTCGAATGGCCCAGCCAGACCACCACTTACCACTCAGCAAAGCTCTTCTTCTATGAGGGACCAAAATGAATCCGAGAGACAAGATCCTCGATATCAAAATGGCCAAGCCTCAAATGCGTCTCAGCCACAGCGACCCGTTCAGCAACAACAACAACCAGCGTCTAGGTTGCCTGCCCCAGTCAAGCCACTTAATGTTGCACCAAAACCAGCTGCTAATGGCGCTCAACAAAACGACGCGGTCAAGGCTGCAGAGGCTGCCCTTACCGCCAAGCCAGCCGCTTCTGAGCGTACAAAGGATGTTAGAATGTCAACCATGTCGGAGAACGAAGTTATGGCTAAATTGAAGGAAGCTGTTTCTAAGGATGACCCCAACCTTTCTTACTCCAAGCAGAAGAAAATCGGTCAAGGTGCTTCAGGCTCTGTATATGTTGCGAAGGTCAAAGAAAACCCAGCATCTCCTGTTGCTCGCGAAGTGTTGCGTCAACAAGGCAGTAAAGCTCAAGTCGCAATTAAACAAATGGATTTGGCTCACCAACCGAGAAAGGAGTTGATTGTAAATGAGATCATGGTTATGAAAGATAGCAAGCATCGCAACATCGTCAATTTCCTCGATGCTTTCTTGAGAAACAACTATACCGAACTCTGGGTAGTTATGGAGTATATGGAGGGAGGTGCCTTGACCGACGTTATTGACAACAACTCGAACATTACTGAAGACCAAATTTCCACCATTTGCCTCGAGGTATATTCAAATCCGATAATCTGTACTGTGTATCTATACTAACTTTTTGATAGACTTGTCGTGGACTCGAGCATCTTCATGCACAAAGCATTATCCATCGTGATATCAAGAGTGACAATGTTCTGCTCGATGCACGTGGTAATGTCAAGATCAGTAAGTTCATCCAAAATGATTAATATTTCTTTGTACTAACGTGCTTGTAGCCGATTTCGGATTCTGCGCCAAACTCACGGAATCTAAATCCAAGCGCGCCACCATGGTTGGTACTCCTTACTGGATGGCTCCTGAAGTTGTCAAGCAAAAGGAATACGGACCAAAGGTTGATATATGGTCTCTTGGTATTATGGCTATTGAGATGATTGAATCTGAACCCCCATATCTCAATGAGGAGCCTCTTAAAGCTCTATACTTGATTGCCACAAATGGAACCCCTCGTCTCAAGAAGCCTGAAAAGCTCAGCAAGGAACTCAAGGCTTTCTTATCCGTTTGTCTTTGTGTCGATATCAGAAGCAGAGCATCTGCAGATGAACTGCTGATGCACGACTTCTTGAAGCACGGTTGCGATACTGCTAGCTTAGCTAACCTCCTACATTTCCGAAAGAACGCCAAATAAACAACCAAAACTTTACGAGAGTTTATGATACACGTTTACGAAAAGCGAGCAATTGGTGGCATTTCGAGTTCGTATTTGGAAGCAGTTAAAGCTGGTTTAATTTTATTTTGCGACATAACGCAGGTTACATGATGGGTTATATTGTGTGGTACCCATACTATACCAACAGCATGAATGCCCGGAGTTTCTGGGAGTTTCACATTCTGTTTCCTTTGCGCGACATATCTAAGATCTGAATAATCGTGGTCACATGTCAATGACATTTTGGAGGCATATAAAAGCTGGGCTCAAAGGAACAAACTTCACGTTCTGCTTTGACCTACTTTGGCTTCTCGATGATCTTCCAGTTTGTGGATAGCTAGGTATCTTTGGGATCTTTCGAAGGTAGGCCTCAAAATGAGGATATACTTTACGGAAAGATGGCCGGAAAGGGCAGTAATAGGCGTCAGGCAGATTATTTGAAGAGAAATAAGAAAAGTTCAAAAGATAACAAATATTATAATGATTGTGATTATGAAGAAAGCATGATGCTACTATCTAATCCATGCGCAGGTAGTTTTGTTTTGATACCGGAATTACTTATATGACATGAGAGAGAATGTAGGAGCATAAAAAAGTTCATCCCGAATCTTGACCCCCAAAAAGCTTCTAGAACTACTAGGCGCGACGGGTAACGTAACCTTACTAGTGTTCTATCTAGTCTAGCCTCGGTCAGCCTGACAGATCTGGCCTCGTTCCTATATCTAGCCTTGCAAGACGCAGCCCAACAATTAAGTTTAGAACGTCAGTTCTATTGCACAAAATCGGGCATTTCGTCGCACAAATTATCTTAAACATTTCAAAATCGATTTCAGAAGATGGCGCCTTTAATACCGTCTGCAAAACTGACCTTGCCATATCCATTGTATGCTTGCGACTTTGATCCGATAGATTCCTCACGACTAGTAGTTGGTGGGGGCGGAGGTGCAGGAAGATCAGGTGTGGAAAATAAGATCGTAAGTCTGAGACTGTGTCTTCTTGAGAGAGAGAGATTCATATTGGAAACTGATTTTCTCTTATTTATCTGCTAATTGCTATACTTTCTAGACCCTTTTGGACACTTCAAATCCGAACGAGCTTGTTGAAGTTGCCGAGCTAGACTTGAGTAAGGAAGAAGACAATGTCGCCAGTCTTGCAGTCGGCCAAACTGAAGGAGATACAACCTTATTATTCGCAGGAGTGAATTCCAGTCCGGCAGACTTGGCTAGAGGGACGAATGCGCACTTTCGAGTTATTGGAATAAGTCCTATTTCAAAAGGAAAGGGAAAGGCTACAGAGCCTGTTGCGATAACAAGCAAACTATCCGAGGTTTTGAGATGCCCATTGTTTACCAACGTCGAGAGGGATTTATACCAAAGGGTCATTCGATTATCGCGACCTTATACAGGACAAGCGCAATGGGGTGCGATTGCGACTGGGTTTGCAAAAGATTCTGAAATAGTGCTTTTCCAACCTGCGCAGACTGGGCCTCCCATTTCGAGGAGTGCTATAAAGTTGGCGAAGGAGGTAGTTGACATGGATTTCATACAAACTGGAAAAGATGATTTTTTTTTCGCGTACGCCGATGAGCAAGATATATACGTTAAAAAGCTTGGCTCAATAAATGATGGGGCAGAACCTGAATGTGTATATATTACACCTGCGTCAAGAAGTGGGGAGCCAGTTACGATACCGTCTTTCCGATCGATTAGATGGCTAACAAAGGATTTTATTATCATGCTCACGAATATCCATAGCCAGGGAGGTGTAGTACTACAAATTCTCAGATTACCACCTAGTGGCAAAGGACAGTGCAGAATTGCGCAATCACACAGACTGCCATCCAGTGTAAAGAAGGCTACTGGACTCGCAGTTGTCAACCTTACACCACCATCAACTCCCGATGGAGAGCAAGGCTACACTCAATTCGTGATTGCGGTCGCTGGCCACGATATTTCCATTTCCCTCTTCAAGGTTGATCTCCAGCACGAAGCAAATAACTACCTCGTCACACCTATCAGACCTTTCCGAACATTCAAGAATGTTCACCCTGGAGTGATTACAGGAATTACATTCTCAAACTTTACACCTCCCACCCAGTCTGTTACTGCAAGCACTCCTCCTCAGCACCTTAAACTCGCGAGTACAGGTATTAGTAATACGGTTATCGTCCACACCCTCCCCCTATTTCCCGTTCCTCTATCTGTCAAAAGAGGTCAATCAAGCACACCTCGCTACGTCGTCGCTCTTCCTTCAAGCAAAGCAATTTACTCTTTTGGAATCATCTTCTCCATGCTCCTAGCGTTGTTAGCAGCAATCTTAACGCAAAGTGTATTGGAGATCAGGGGGGTTGTGGAACCTCATTTGGGCGCCGCAAAGTATCTACCGGTGCCCTTCCAGGAGGCAATTGGAAAACCATACACGTTTCCGTCTAATTATCACGCACTCAATACACACATCTCCGCCGCTCCGATCTCCACAAGCCTGTCGAACACACCATCCGCATCTACCCCGGATTTTTTCGCGTCCCTCCGTTCCCCCTCCCCTAATTCTGCTTCTTCTAAGATCTACCTCCACCACGGAGTTCCTGTCCCAGACGTTGAAACCCAAGAAATATCTCCCGATATCACGTCGCCAGAACTTCCTTCATCTATAAAAGCAGTTCTTCACGACGAGAAAAAACATGAAGGTAAATCATGGGATGAATTGACGGCCCCACAAAAAGAAAATTGGAAGAGAAAATTAAAGGATGCGGGACATTGGGCTGAAGAGATGGGAGAAACGATTTTCAAGGGGGTCGTTTTTGGTGAGTTGGGGGGTTTGGTGGGAGCGGCTGTTGTGCAGGCCGCGAGATAGAAGAAGTTTTCAAGATGGAGCGATTGCGAGAAGTAGAAATTGATAGTATGAAATGACGAGAGACTCAAGATGATTTGGAAAGGCGTTGTATGATAGTTCCATGATGTGCTGGATGGCAAAATTGTGAGCAATTTCTTACCTTTCTTCTTGTTTATTCAATGTGGTTTGTGTTGCGACATGGCGCAGTTACAGAGACGTTATGAGATACAGTAGATGGGATGGATGTAAACTACGAGACACACATATTTTGTTTCTCTCATATTTAATAATAACTACTACATACGAAATTTTCCCGATTGAGATCGATCTGGGGAAACCATTTGAGACTTTTTTTTTCAACAATGAAATCTCGTAACTTTTCAATACTTTATGTTTAATGCTCCTATCTGATGATTCAGAGTGTTGTAAATGGCAAAAGTGCTGTTATATGCACCTAGTTGGTTGTAGATGGTGAAGAAGGGTTGATCTTGAGCGCGATGTTTAATGCCATCTATCTTGTAGATGTGGCTGTATTGATATAAACAGTCTTTGTTTCCGATCAATCATACTGGATTGTAAAAATCCCGTATGATGGAAGTCTCGGTTTCGCTAATTTATTACAGATCGTCAAACAGCCTGTAGTGAAAAAACCAAAGATTCTCATGATCCATCCATAGCCAAGAGGTGTGATTAGTTGTTGAAACATGACTGGGAAGATCAAGCCTCCTGTAGCACTAACACAGGCGCATATGCCGACGGCTAACATTTTGTTCTTTGAGAAAGATGTAGATGCAACTGATAGCGCTGGGCAGAACAGACACCCGATACCAAGGCCACAGCAGATTCCCTGAGCGAGGAACAATTGCCAGTACTGTGTTGATAGAGAGGCCATAAACCTGCCTACCACGCTAAATATAGTCCCGACCACTACACAAAATTAGCGTCGTGCTTTATTTAAAGCAAATCTCGAGGTAGTTCGACTCTAACGAGTGGCGGTAAAATATCACATGCTAGATGAAATGGAGCAAGGAAGAAAATTCTTTACTCACAAAAGACTAGACGAAAGTACCCAGCATCGGTAAGACGACCAGTAAATGTTCCAATAAAGAATACTAGAAATACCTGGATACTCCCAATCCATGATACATCCGATGGGGAGCGATCAAGAAAATCGATACAGTACTCCTGAAAGACACCGAACTAGTTGATGAAACCCCTAGACTAGTCAGTATAAACATAGGTTTCCAATTGACATGAAGCATGCCCAGACTCTCCGAGGAATTAAAGGAGAAAGTCATGGATACGAAAGACTAAAACCTACCAGTTATTCATAATGATCAAGTGACCCACAAGACTTGTGTCCATGCAACAACTGCGCCATCGGGAGGAGGACCTGGATCTCGAGCTCGCTGCACTCTTGGTTCGAGAAAGCACCCTCAGGCTTCTTTCTTTGATGCTCTCGGGCTTGGTAGTATCTTCCTCGGCTTCATTCAGAGCCCCTGGATATACTTCGAATTCTTCCTTCTCGGCCAATTTGATGAACTCGATTGATGAGATAGTGCCACTTGGTCACTAGAGTGTATAGCATAGATATGCTGATTCACTTGATTATAAGAATTCTTCTTTGACAAAGGTGAATTGAGGAATCTTTGATACTAAATCAGTCTTCCCGAACGTTCCAGAAGAAGAGCCCAACTCACCTGTCAGTTCTCCGAAAATGCCGTTTCTAGTCGAACAACTGATATTCACAATCAAGTAAGAAGGAGAGAAGAGTCAAAGGAAATGGAAGCATACGATTCAACAACCTCGGTGATTGCATCCAAAACGGCAAAAAAACATTTTTCCCATGCACCTATTTGAAGATTCTCACACTTCAGGATCCAAATGTATCTTAATCGGCTCATCAGCGACAACGCCAATTCCAGTACCCATCGTACACAGGCTTTCCGATGTCCCAATCTCACTAACCATAACGCATATACAATCTGAATAAATACTAAACAACGAGACAATGTTACTTTCGTTGCTCACCCTTGCATTCCGTACAGTCTCGATCTAGATTCTATGATAATCACATCTTCTAATACTCACAATGATGACCTGTCCTCACACGGACTAGTTTCTCGCGTAGAGTTAGAGCACCGTAGTGGGTTTTTACGCTACGCACACTAGCGTTCCTGGCACAATGTTAACGCTGCAGCATGCTGCTGCGGCTACCCAGGGGAAATGAGACCCCTACAAGGATTGTATATCCCGGGAGATGATCTAGATGTGGTCTGTCTAGGTTATGTGCGCAACGCATGCGGGATGTACATCGGGATGGGGAACCCCTCATTGGTGGCTCATGGCGTGCTTTTCTCGATTCAAAGCCAGCTGGTCTATGGATAGGGTTGCAGACAGGTCCAGATCGAGGGGTTCCATATTCCACCAATAATGCTATTCAGATGCGAGAATGAGTTCTGTGTGATAATTTCAATGGGCGTCTATTTCGTGGATGCGATACTACTTCCAAGTGGCAAAGAGATGGTTAGAATGTCGGTGAGGCTTATGGTACTTACTTGTTGCAATTTGCAAAGTGTTAATAGATATAACACATATTGTTTGATTCTATGATCAATAGCCACTGCATAGCACGTGCTATGCATGTTTCCAATCGGGTATAGTGCTTACACTGCAACCCCATCGCCAACAATTAAACGAGAGACTTTGTCCCCCGCAGGCTATAATACGTGTTCAGGATTCTGCGGAGGTAAAGACTCAGTTACTGCCGTGAGACAAAATCCAGCAGAGAGACAAACCTCTCATCGAATTTGATTTGCAAAAAAATGGCCGCACCACAAATCATTACCCTCGCAGTCTCCCAATCTCACACGCTGTCTACCACTGCGGAAACGCTCCGGGCTTTGTCTCGACAATGTCGCAAGGCGTCCAAGCAATCCCCCTTTCCTGATTTGATACTTTTCCCAGAGGCCTATCTCGGTGGGTATCCTCGGGGGGCGGATTTCGGGGCTGTGGTGGGTTCGCGTGATCAGAAAGGTCGAGAACAGTTTTTGAATTATTTCAAGGATGCCGTGGATATGGGTGATACGCCTGAAGGGGCGGGAGATAAATGGGTAAAGAGGGAGTTGGAGGGACAGGGAGAAGGAGGTAGTCATGAGAGAAGAGGTGATGGGACACGGGAGGAATTGGAGTTGGTGGCGAGAGAGACGGGGATTTTTATCGTGACGGGGTTTGTGGAGAGAGCGGGGGGGACGCTATATTGTGCTGTGGTTTATGTGTGTCCGAAATTGGGAGGTAGGTGTTCTTTTTTTTCACGAGAAAGATTCTGTGAGAAAGAAGTAGCTAACATGGCGATAGTAATTGGTAAAAGGAGGAAAGTGATGCCGGTGAGTCTTTCTTCAGAAAATAGCTTCATGTCCCGGATAAAATCGCTTACAATATACAGACAGGAAGTGAACGCTTGGTATGGGGCCAAGGACAACCATCTTCACTCCGCGCCGTATCCACCACCATCAAAGGCGTCAAACTAACCCTCGCAGCTGCCATCTGCTGGGAAAACTACATGCCTCTCTTGCGCCACTCCCTCTACAGTCAAAACGTCAATCTCTATCTCGCCCCCACCGCCGACAATCGTGATGCCTGGACGGCACTCATGCGAACGGTCGCGTGCGAGGGTCGATGCTTTGTCCTCAGCGCCAATCAATGCATCAAGAAACAGAACCAACCAGCGTGGATCTACGGCGAGAAATCCGAAAGCGAGGAGTTTATATCTCGAGGAGGTTCTTGCATTGTTTCTCCGCAAGGAGAGATTTTGAAAGGACCGTTGTGGGAAGATGATGATGGGTTGATTACGGTGGAGGTTGATTTTGATGATTGTGTGAGAGGGAGATTGGATTTGGATGTTGCGGGGAGTTATTCAAGGTATGTTTGTTCTTATAGGATGGGTTGGGACGTTTCTAATATGATTTATTAGAAATGATGCGTTTAAGTTGACGGTGACTGGACTTGATATCAGTCCTCCTCTCTGAAGGACTGGTGGGGTATCTTGACTTAGATTGAATGATCTTTACTTTTAAATACTTAGATTGAGACCCCTTAAAAAAGCGTATAATACAAGTAGTTAGTAGAAATACATCCAGATCAACTATGGTGCTGATGGGTATTTATATATAATTGTGACCTTTTTCTCTAGGACACTTGAAGAGTGTATTAGCCTTAACTACCTACCCTTAGGTACTATATATGCTGTATGTAGTAAGCTGTAACCAGACATTTCAGTAATTTGATGCTCCATCGCATTACAAATGAACATATACAAGAATAATCATTCCAATTGCCAACACAATAGTCTTTATTCAGACTTTCAATTACCACTAGTCAAAATTGAAGTTCTCATTGAAAACAAAACGACCTATATAACTTTGTACGAAACCCTCGTCATACCCTTCGATCGCGAAATCTTCTTCACCTCAATCCTTCCCACCTGACTACAATCATGCACACGCGTCTCACCACAAGGATAACTTCCCAAACCCTCCATCTCCACCACTCTCGCCATAACCTCTCCTTCCGGCAACGCAAAATCCTCCGCAATCCCACCCCACTACACTTCTCCCTCACCTCCTCCATCGACCACCAATAAATCATAACCGATCTCGCCAATTTCACAAACTCATCTGTCTTCGCCTGAATCACATATTTATGCGTCCCCTCCATCGCACCCCCACACACCACGGCCGCCGAATCCGGATACTGCGACGCCTTGGACTCCGTCAGCGGCGCAAGCACGCACGAGCGCAACAATCACAAGACTGAGAATACGTCCCGCGGAATGGAAGCGCGAATACAGATTCCGTTTCTCGACATCAACATGCATGTTGATGCACGATTTCTCCGCTCTCGAAATGCGATATTCCGACCGGGGAAAAGCGGGGAGGTGGAGAATTTGGCTTCTGTGAGCGGGCTGACGCACGGATTGGACTTCGAAGGTGAAGGTGCTCTTACTGCGGATGTTGGATGTCATGGTTCCGATGTCGAAGGGTTGACCGACGCCTTGCACGTAGAGATGGTGGAGGCGGTGATTAGGGCATGTGAGATGTTGGAGGAGTCTTTGAGGAATGCTTGGTCTGGGTCTAGGAGGGTGGAGATGGGGATGATGGAGAGGATTTTGGCGGGGGTGGAAGAACTTGTCTCCATCTTGTTGGTAGATGAGTTTGCTTGGTGCGGATATCTAGTGATTTGCCAGTTATGTGCGGGAAAATCCAAAAAGGGAAACGTGAAGACTTGGGGTTTAGAAATACGATTTGGAAGCCACACGTGTAGTTTCTAACACCCAGTCGCTTACGGTATAGATTTGCCGAGGACGAACAATGCAGAAGAGCATACGATCTTGCGAATCGAAACAACTGCATACCTATGCGTTTGTCCGAGACGTGAGTACAGGTAAGAATACATGTTTTTATATATCAAGCTTACTTACGCACCCAGGCACGTCCGTAACTCAAATTTGGAAACTTGAGCTCGGGGGGGGGGGGGGGGTAGAAACCCCTGCAATGGCGCCATGCATATGCACCTACCCAGTTGAGGTAGTTCCATGGTCCAAGCTTTGAACACACCACACTCCACAGACGAATACCCTTGTTGATTGCACCGGTCTGTTCTATACCGGATTCCCGACTGTAGGCTTACTATAATCTGACAACCCCGTTAGTCTTATGTGTTGATCTTACCCTTGCATGGCGGCTATATGGACCCTGTCGTTTCTACCCCTGGCATCACAACATTAACAACACTCGCAAAAGTATTCTAGACCACTATCTGTAGGAGGTGTATCAAGCTAATTTTGAGAAGCATCGAAAGTATTGGATCTATTGAATGATGAACTGAAAGAAACTACAAAAGAAAAAAAAAACATAGGTAGCCTATGTCAATACAAACAGCACCTCAAAAATAAACATTCCCCATTTTCACCCCTGATACCCCACTACTACATCATACTTCTAACCTCACCAAGTCCTTGCTGAGCTCGTTCCCATTGATCCTGATCTCTCACATAGCTCGGATTCTGCGCCTTAATAGCATAAGGCAAAAAACGCATAGAATCGATAACGTAAGTAACAGTACCACCGACCCCATTCAAAGATGCAGCAATAGCGACATCACACATGTTATGACACGCGCTTCCCCAATGACCCGCAATAGCTTCCCGAGTCCATTTCTGTTCCAGCTGTTGCTTCAATTTTAGAGTTTTGCTTTCCAAAGTGGCAATCTCGAGAGATCGAAGCGCTTCCATGATGATGGCAGCAGAACCTTCTGATCTGTGCTCAGAAGCTCAAGCCCTACAAATCGACCGTCACCATATTTTCCTACTTCATTGTCGAGAAGCGCGATAGCTCGGATAAGAGTGAGCTTTTTCCCGTCGACAGAAATGAGATTTCCATTTTCGAAACCTAGTGCGAGTTCTTGGGTCGCGTGCTCTTTGTAGCGTCTTGTCCAATCGTATGCATTCTCCGGAATAGAGAACCCCTCTGGGTCATCCAGAAGGCTATCCTCGAACTCTCGACACCATAGATTTTTATTACCGCTAAGCTTGCCCTTAGACATGATGGACAAGCCAGCTACAGAAAGTTCCTCAGCCTTCTTCTCTTGCGAGACGACAGATTGAGGATAGGGACTCCCGAACTTTCCAGGATAACCAAGACGTCGAATAAAGTTATTGAATCGAGGCAAGCTATTCTGCGAAAAATTGGCAGTATGGAGCAGTAAAACCCGCGTTCACAGACGTTGACGCGAACTACGACTCGAAGAAACCCTGCTCAAGGAAAAGGAGCCTCACGGGTATGAGTATCCATCCCCTCCTTTCCCCACACAATTTCGAATTAGATAGAACGAACCGTTAACTGCATGCGAATGCGAATAATGTTATATTGAAGAAACAAAAAAAATGCAGATCCTCAAAAACTTTTGAGATGAATATAATTTACTCTTTGCATGGCTGTCTCAAGCCACTTGATCTTCAAGTGATTCACTCCCAGCGTAAAAAGCATAGACTGGATATTCTCAGAAGATCCTGCATCGGAGATGAAGTCCAAGCTGTCAGAGGATAAATTCGTTTAATGTCAAAGCTAGCAAGCAAGTCAACCACCTGGCAATGTAACTTATTTGTTCTTGTACGAACTAGCTCAGATCTAAGGAAGCTTGAGAATTCTCGGACCACCCTGCAGATACAACTTGATGCGGTCCATACCCTTGTTATATATGAAGCTTAGCTAGCGGAGTAAATGTTTTGCAATACAACGATATTCATCGTTCACAGGATGATTCAGACTGATGAGATCTTCATAAAATCAGGGAGATAAAAAGTCAAGCCACCAATACCTTCGACTTATCTTGAAGCTAGGTGTTGGCGACATAAGCTTATTTTGTCGCTTAATCTCATAAGCCATGCCAGTTAGCGTAGGAAACGTGAACAAGTCGAGTTTTCCCGTATGCAAGACCCCTCGGGCCTGACTACCGAGACTGCGAGATCGCGTAACCTGGGGACAAATCATTTATCTAACCTGCAGCGCACTTTGATGTCATGATTGTGACGTGGAGTAGAAATATGAATGGGAAAGATTTGGTTTCTAACCCCAGCTGCCGCTTAAGCGACTCTTCTTTGCAGAACCCCCACACCCTAGGATACCACGCAATGCAACGCATCATTAGATAGGCGATCAAGGGGCTACATGAGCTTTCTTCGATACTACCGTAGTATTAAAAAAATACGCTATTATCCAAGCCGCATACTCTAATGTAATGTTCAATTATACTCGCTCTTAGGGCTTATCGGACGACAGTTAGTGTCGAACAAAGCTTCAGTACAGAAGCGAGAGCACCCTTGAAGAACGCACGTCTGAATCCTTCCAGTGGGCCACAACGATCACACGATACCATGGGCAATTTGACCACTAAGTTTAGAACATTCCGTCTTGAGTAGCATCGTCTCGCACGCCATTTGTAGCCATGGTTTGACTGCCAAACATCGTGAAGTTAACGATGCAGTCAGACCTTGACGAACGATGTGACATGATTTGACAGTCAAAGTCAAGGGAGTTAACAGTCAGAATAAGTGTGTGTGATGAAGGAAAATTCCTGATGAGAGCACTCTGGCGCACGCAGGCGTTGACCGAAATTAATTGCGTATCTAAAGATTCTTTCCTGTTTCCAACTCTGTACTAGAAGGTTGAAGAATGGTTTAGACATGCGCGGTCCGGCACTACATAGTAGTTTCAAGAATAGACTCATCGAACATTTGATTCATCTCAACCCTGAATGTTACGATCCTGACTCTTTTAATATGACAATAGTATCCAGGAGGCGAACATGGCATGATCTGACACTGCAACTTCACTGTCATATCATATCCTCACATGGGTGAGCTCTTGGCCAGCACTGGTGATGTCTTTAGATGCGAGAGCGGTCATCCAACCACTTGCTGAAGCTCATCACGATCTTGCCCCCCTCCAGCTATATAAGATAGTCTAAAGCTGCAACTATTTGGATTCAGACCATCACTCCAATCAAGATCTTCATAACTCCATACACACTCCTATCAACTTTATCAAAGCTTCAAATCTCCAGCAATGGCTATCACTGACCCGATCATCGTTTCAAAAAATTTGCCAACAATTTACCTCGATCTCCTCCGAGCCGAGAATGAAGCAGAGGGCAAGAAGTTGCTCGACGCTTGTTGAAGCTATGGGTCCTTCTATCTCGATTCGACCAGCGACCCAGAGTTATGCAAGCTCTGGGATGAAATGCTCCTAGTGATGAAGCATTATTTCGAACATTCGCTTAAAGTTAAGAAGCAGGACGGTCGAGGGGATGACAATTTTGGGTAGGTTTTCTTTCCAAGCCTTTGGAGCTCTCAGGTCTGTCGCTAACCCTTCCCAGTTATGAAGGTATGGGTACCGAAGAGTGCCCCAAGCCCAAAACAAGAGACGGCCGCGAATCTCTCAAAGTACAGAACACTCTTCGCTCATGCCATCTCTCAGCCCAACTAACTTCCCTTTCATAGATTTCCCGTCCAGCATTTCTCAAAGGTTCAGCTTTTAACGTATTCAAGAGCCCAAGTACCTTGGATGCGAATGGGCAGTTTTTGACGGGTATGACGGCGGAGAACGAAAGGTTTGTGGAGCGTGATAGTAAGGTGGTAAAGGATCAAGGATCGCCTGAGGATCAGATTAAAGCGCGTATCAGTGGCTAGTGAGCATATAGCCCTGGTGGCTGGAGGTTCCTAGTTGGTGGATGATGTGGCTGGTGAAGCTGAAGTGACATGAATATCTAGGTATCCATGGAAATCGTCACCTCTGTTAGGTAGCTAGACATGCTGATTAGAATCCGAAGAATCCGAGACAAGATACGATATATAACCTATCCCTAGGTCAGGTTAGTATCTCGAATTGGTTTTATACACAAATGTTGTTACATTTCATTGTTTCCTCGAATAGATCCAGATCCCTTTCCCTTTAGTCTCTCTCGTACAAAGAATCTCGCTATTTGATCAATTGATTAATACATCCATACCATCAATGGTCACAATGGGAGAAGGTTCTCGAAGCTTCCATCACTATCGATGCATCCCCTGTCTGATGGAACACCCAAATTCCCCACTGTTAACAACGTCACCACCCAATCTCTGAATGGCGGGGAGGGAAAGATGGAAGATTCTTGATTCTGTTGGTGGATGAGGGATGTTGATGGAAGGGAAGATAGATATACCAGCTGGAGGTCCTTTGCGCGGAGGAGGTATGGACTGTAGATCAATAGTAAACTTTTAAAGCTTCCAACACTCATTCACACCCTTTGATATCTACACACACACATACATTCAAAGTTAATCAAGACTGGTTAACGTTAGCCAATTAATTATAACAATTCAATCTCTCATCTCAACTCAATTCCATTTGAATACCAAGTACGTAGGTACATACTTACTTGACAAGAACAAGAAGAACAACAACAACAACAACACCAACAACAAAGGATTACAATTCCATTCTACATATCCTCTTCTTCCGACAACACGAAAAAAGATAGAGCTATCTAGGCAAAAGACAACAAGGAGGACGGACTCATACCCAGACTAGCCAACAAATTAAGGAGGGGGGTGTGAATACAACTCATAGCTCACAATCACAATCACAGTCACAATCACAATCAGAATCACAATCACGAGATCTTTGGAAGAATCTTATTAAAGTGGTATGTAAATTTCACAATTCACCATTTCCTTGTATTCTCGTGAGGAAAGAACAAACGAACATCATTTTTCCTTGCTTCTATCCGTCAAGTCTCACCAGATCAACCAATCCATCAATCCATCAATCCATTAATCCATCAATCCAACCACAGACTCGCCAGCCACCACTAGGAAAAACAGCACATAAATATCCAACACACAACATTCCTTCGAATCCTTTGAGAGGTCTTTTATAATCCGACCTTTGTCTGCTGTTTTTTTCTTCTCGCGATCCTGGTCACTGACGACATACATTCAAATTCTAGTGGACGACCGTTTTAAAGCCTTCCTACAACCAATTTGCAACTCATAGTCGATAGTCAACATTTTCATTGGACCAGAATTTGCAGTTTGTTGTTGATCTTTGAAGTTGTGCTCAGCTCATCTAACAACTTCACGACTTTTTGCTTCCCTTCTCAAACCATACTTCGACAGCAACATACACAACATACATTCGAAGAGTAGCAAGCATGGTAGCAGAAACAAAACTTTACGATGCATTAGGCATCACGCCTTCTGCCAATCAACAAGAAATTAAAAAAGCATATCGGTATGTACAATATTGCAAAATTTCCTCCTTCATAATCAACTTATGTTCATCCCGTCCACCACTACTCCCAGCTTATTCAAAGAAAAATGAAAACTAACACACCAACAGTGCAATGGCCCTAAAGCATCATCCTGACAAAAACAAAGATAAGCCCGACTCGGCTGAAAAATTCAAAGAAGTATCCCAAGCCTACGAGATTCTCTCGGATCCCGAAAAGCGCAAAACTTACGACCAATATGGATTAGAATTTATGCTTCGCGGTGGTCCCCCACCACCCGAGCCTGGTACCAGCGGCGGAAACCCATATGCAAGCGCAGGAGGCATGCCTGGCGGTTTTGAAAGCTTTAGTTCCTCTGGTGGCATGCCCAGAGGAAAGACATTCCACTATGACTTCAGTAGCGCGGGCGGGCCAGGTGGTGGAGGATTTAGTTTCAGCAATCCAGAATCGATTTTCAGTGAATTTTTGAGAGGTCAAGGAGCGGGAGGTGGTGCGGATGGAATGGACGATATTTTCGCAAGTATGGGAGGAGGAATGCCACGCTCTAGTCCTGGAGGAGCAGGCGGACGATCTAGACCTGCACGCTCGGCATTCCAAGGTGCGGAACCAGCTAGACCGAGGGCGGAGACTCCTGAGGTGACGACGGTGGAAAAACCTCTAGCGTTGAGTCTGGAAGAATTGTTCAAGGGTTGTCATAAGAAGATGAAGATTAAGCGGAAGACTTTCGACCCGGAAACAGGCAAGAGACAAACCACCGATCGCATTCTAGAGATGGATATCAAACCCGGATTGAAGAAGGGAAGTAAGATTAAGTTCAAGGGTGTGGGTGACCAAGAGGAGGGAGGACAGCAAGATTTACATTTTGTTATTGAAGAGGTATGTTATACTCTCCCACCACGGCTTCCCCCGTTTTACCCATAAATGAGAAATATAACTAACCCACCCACTAGAAAAAACATCCCTACCTAACTCGCGACGGTGACGACCTAATCATGACCGTCGACCTTGATCTTAAAGAAGCCCTAACAGGCTGGAATCGCACCGTCACAACCATCGATGGTAAAAACATCTCTCTCGACAAAGGAGGACCCACTCAACCCGGCTCCTCAGATTCATATCCCGATTTGGGCATGCCCCTGAGCAAGCAACCAGGCACGAGGGGTAGCTTTATCGTGAAGTATAATGTGAAGTTCCCGACGAGTTTGACGGTGGAGCAAAAGCGGGCTTTGAAAGATATTTTGTAGGCGGATTTTGCGTTGCTTTTTGGGGGGTTTCGGCGTATGGGGAGGGATTTCCTATTGTTTATATTAGCTAGCGGAACTGGAGTGAGAGCGGGATATAGCAAGCGTGCATGATTTGGACTGAGGTTCCAAGTGTCTTGGGATGCACGGATGGATGGAAAGAAGAGAAACATACTTCCTTGATTAGGTTGAATGTTATATGAGAAATGAGGAATGAAATGACGATTCATAATAAATACAAATGCTATTTAGCACTCCACAATATATACTTTCACATCAGCCAAGGAAACCGTAGGCACAGATATTTTAACATTTGTAATTGCTTCAATTGGGTATCCTACGAACATCTCTAGTCTACTGAATCATGTGATCCATTCCTGATGCATCATGCTTCAAAATTTATGCCTCCAGAGTATTGTGCCTTTCAATATGTACATGATGAGAATATGCACTTCAAAATATCATCCATCTATCTTGGCTCATCGACTATGCGAGAAACCCAAAATATCATTCGAGCCCAAACAAACCTACTCAGCGAATCCAACCCGTTTAGCTGTAGTGCCGTCATCTTTCTGACGGGTAGGCAGTTTGACGTCTTCTTCCTCGCGCTGAATTTCATCGGTCTCGATATCTTCAATCTCCATGCTATCATTAATCACGCCTTTCTCGACAGAGTTGCCAGTGAAGTTTTGTAACATGCCGCTTCCACTACGTTCTTGCATTTCTTGTGGTGTGTCGTTGGGAAATGGATCAACACCCACAATGAGTGGGCCACTCAGAGTGTAACGGGTCTGTAGAGCCTGCGATTGAGACATCGCCCACGAAGCGTCAGTGTACGGAGGTTCATTTTTGACTCCATTTCGTTCGTCATTCACCGAAGTGTTTGAGTTTCTAGAAGTGTTTGAAGAAGATCCAACTCCATTCCATTCGTCATTGTAGGCTGAGGTAGATGTGTTCTGCTCACGCTTACGCTTTCCTGGCGATCTTGGTGAGTGCTGTGATTCGTCAGGAGAATTCACTGGAGGTTGAGCCTTGGATAATTCCTTTCTAAAAGCGGCATTATCCTGAAAAATGAAAGACTAAATATTGTTAGTAAAATTATGAGGGCGCATAAAGGAACGAACATACCCCAAGTTCGTGTGGTGTTGAACGCGTAGCCGTCTCCATTGCCGCGTCAGAAGCATAGACTAGAATTGCCGTCTCATTCTGGAGTCTAATATCCTCCAAAACTTTCTCCAAGGTGGTTTTCTAATGGTTTGTTAATGAATTTTCACAAGTTCAATTCTCATAATACTCACTTCCACTGTTCTTGAAGGGGGAGACGAGGTACTGAAGTGCATTCTCCACCACTGACCATCACTAGGAGGAACACGCTCTTCTTCGCTAGCGGCAAAATCGATGAGATCCGGTGCTATACGGGTGCAAACGTATGTCGTCTCCTTAGTCAAGCTTACGCCACGAAGAGTATATCTGTGCAATATCCGAGAAGACTTGGCGGGGTCTGTATACAACTTCGAAAGCTCTCTCCAAGCTTCTTTGGCTTTTTCTCTTTCATCTTGTAGCTCTAATTGCTGTTAGCTGGATAATCATTGATCAGCCTGTGTGAACTTACTTTTCAGCTTTGCGTTTACATTATCCATCAACTTTTTGAGTCCTTTAGACAAATCTGCGCTCTTTGATCCGCCCATAGAAATCTCAGAGGTAAGATCATCCATGCTCTTATTGCTGGGTGGAAGCTCATTCTGATCATGATTGAGTGACAATTTCATAACATCTTCAACTAGAAGTGTTCTTCCATTGTGAGTGGTCCATTTTAATTGCCTCTCTTGGCGAGAAATATCCTGAATTTTTAGCTGCAAATTTTGCTTTTCTCTACGCATAGCTAATGTTTCTTCAGATACGAACTGTAGATATCTATCAGGATACCATACTACTGGCACTTCAATTGCTTTCTGATCATTCTGCTTATCACCTTTGATTCTGAAAGAAATGACGTCGCCAAGATGATTCAAGAAGGGCCAGTGTTCGAGAGTAAGAGGACAACCATCCCATAGAGCTCCATCTGCAAGATCATAAAGATTATCGATAAGAGAATCTTTTGTAGGAAGATGAAGGTCGAATATGGCAAATATGGTGTTTCCATCAGAGTCGGGATCTGGAGCATTAGTAGCTGAAGAAAAGATATGTTTCAATGGTGCCTTGCCCTGCATCAAATTCTTGAAGCACAGGAAGAAATCCGTCTCAACATCGTTCCTAGCGTTCTGTTGCATATATGGAAGTTCGGTAATAACATCCACAGAACCGTAGCTTCGCTCTGTCTTGTCTAAGAAAGCCATGACCTTCTGGAGCTCCTGGCCAAATCGTCGATCGTCAGCTACAAAGTTGGGATCTTCTTGCAACGATGCGATGGGGTGTTCTATTGGTCTGCCGCTCCACCAACCAGCCTCGTATGGATAGTAGGTCTCGATGTTGTCTCTTCTGAGGAATACCTCACGGGCAATGGGAATGTTGTAATAGATTGTCAGAAGAGCACCTAGTCTATGTGCATCTCCAGAAGGCTTAAAAAATGCAGGTGTGGTAGGCCTTGTGTCTTCCCAGATTCGCATGCGATCCCGAGGTTCTGGGTCTTCATAGATTTCCTTGACAGTTGATATAGGAACCATGGCCCAATTGTCTCCATAGTCGGATCTTGTAGCAGGACCAAAGTAAGGTTTGTCTGTTCCCACTATACCAGATTCTTGTGGGGGCAAGCTGGAGTCTGCCATAGAAGCAGCAAGCGCTTGCTGGAGTTCTTTATCATCATTGTCGACATATTGGGTAAAGGCAGTGGTAGAATCTGCCGAATAATGCGTTAGAATATGCAAACCGAAGGTTTGAAAGAGGACATACCATTAGTCGTGAGATCCACAGCTTTGCTCAGAGGCGACTTGTTGTTACTAGTTCTAGATGGTGGTCTGGAGGGTGCAGCACTTTCGAAATGAGTAAAGGCGGGGAATTCATCTGGGCCTTGGACTGCAAAAGCTGCAGGGAAAAAAGTCATCAGTAAGAGTCTTCAAATGTTTGATTCGAAATAAGAGAACACACAAATACCATGTTGTGCACCACCTCCATCACGATCTTTGTTGAATTGGCTGTCATCCCAAGTGTACTGCCACCATCAAATCAGTGACTATATACCACATCGTGCGATTTCATACTGACTCGATTAGGGTTCCTTCCAGTTTCAAGATCATCATAGTACTCGTTGATTGCTTGCTGAACATTATTATTGTTGCCCTGTATAAATTAGCATCGCACTTTGGAAGAAATTATCTAGCTGGAAGGACCCCACCTTTAACCTCAAGATAGCTTCTTGTCGGTTTGTCTGTCCAGTCATGTCCAGAAAGGATTGCACATCTTGAGCAGCTGGTTGTGCTGCCATGGTCGCAGTGGTAGCAAGCTTCAAGTTGATCTTGACTTTTGACCTTTGCAGCTATGAGATTCTTGAAGGTTCTGGTTTCTCCCCAGGTCATAAAGCAAAAACGAAGAAGCAAAAACCGGTAAGTCAATCAGATGTTTGAATAGATAAGCTGGTCTGCCAATATGACAAACAGGGTCCAGCTACTAGTAGCCTTTAGGGTAGTTTGCTAAAGAAGGTTAACAAAACAAGATGGGAATTGTTTGATGGTCGAGATCTGGGGGATGTTAGGGCTGGGGAGCATATACGTCCGAGCTTCATATCAACCCCACCAGGACCACAACCTTTACTTCGAAGAAATATCACGCAGTAGATCATACTAAGCCCAACCTGGAAATGAATAGTAGTGGCGGAGCTTATTCACTACGGAAAGAGGTTGTTCCTCAAGAAGGGTCATCTCCGAGCTCGAGGGTAATCTGATAATCAGAATACACAGGTTTCAAATGACCTCTAATTGAATACTACCTATGTATACCTGAAGGAAAATCAACCTTATAGCAAGACTGAACAATATATTGAGATGTCTGTCTGCCGTTCTCATGAACCATCAAAGAGCAGTTATAGTATAGAAGCAAGAGTGTTATCTATATCCCTTTCCCGCCAAAAGGATTGAGCTTTATATGACGAACAGTTCAACTGTCTATCTCATTCTAAAAACGATGAATGAATCATATCAAGTTGTAAAGTAAACAAGAAGGAACCCTCATGCCATCTCAAACACAATCTATAAGAAGTTAAGCAGTCATATCAACGTGAGAGTTCTAGAGAAACCTAGAGACCCTCACTAGCAAGACTAAAATTTGTACTAGATGATGATCTATTACATATTCCTAGTTTCCAAAGGTTTCCTTCAGTATGTTTGTATTACTTCCCATATCTTATTCTAATCGAAACTTCTTGAATCTGGAGGAGGAAACTAACCTAACCCATTCCCTAAGAGATTAGAGGTATAGTGAGTAGGAAATGCATAGAGGAATCACGTCAAAGTACATACCTATGTATGATAGGATTCTCATTAGTGTATCGCTTACTGCGGATGCGCTACATTCATTGTTTTAGAGCCTTTAGAACTATATATTTCTGGGTGTGGAAGTGCAGGCATAAAGGGGAATCCCCTCATGACCCCCCTTCACCCAGCATCAAAGCGTCCATTGTCTGATACTCATAGAACATTTGAGCTACCTACATTACCACAACCATATGATTTGGCGTAGCATAGAAACCTTACGCTATGCAAAACCCTTTCATCAAAAACTAGGCACAATGACTGTCTCGCAAGCTTTAAAACATTTCAGAGAAGGGGAAGATTGGAATCACTCTGAATTGGCGAAGCCTCATGCCGCCACGGGCAGAAAATAGATGACGTCCATCTTAAGTGCGAGCAGTATGAACTATCAACACCATTTATTGCGAACTTATCTTGTATTGAAATATTCCTATTCACTGCCTGCAACTATTTACCCTATCTCACTGCCTACTGCAAAAGCCATAGACAAATTATGCCCTCCAAAATACGTAACACCCAATCCATATTCCCCATAATCTAAAAGCGCTAAGATCCATCAATGTAAAAAGCATGTTATACGTACGCCTGGAATGCAAATATGCTTGCATTGTCCTTTGCGCCCCCCATGTAAACCGAGCGGACCGCCGCTGTGCTATGCATTGTAAAATAGAATAAAATGACCCTCCCTCTATCGCAAGTTGTGACCATATGCAACTTTAGCAAAGTAGCCAGTATCGAAAATGTTTGGGAGGTTCGAGAGAAGCAATGAACTTGAAGAACGAGTTAGACTTGATAGTTCTTCCCTATTTAATCTTCCATATCTTCATCGTCCTCTTCTTGCTCCTCACCATCTTCTTCCTCTTCGTCTTCGTTCTCCATTTCTTCATCCGAGCTATCGCTGGCGCCAAAGTCGTCCTCTTCATCACTCTCGGCCCAGAACGCGTCGTCATCTACAAGTTTCGCAGGAGGGGCAGTCTCAAGTGTTTTCGGCATTTCGAAACCAGCCGGAATATCCTGCTTCGAAGCAGCAACAGCCTCTTTAGCCTTCTCGTTGTATTTTTCCCTAGAATCACGGTACATAACCCCAGCATCGACATTGGCGGGAGAATTGATCTCGGGATCATCAAGGAGCAGAAGGATGGAACGCAAGACAGATTCAACCCCTTGTAGAGGTGACCAACGTTCACTGGCAGATTCTCCGGATTGCTCGTCTTCTCCAGGTGGGTGCAAGATTGAGATACATAATTTACCGTCGGGATAGATATTAGGGTGTTGAATGGGTCGGAGGAATTTGAAGGTAGGAGGGCTGTAAGGATAATTGTCGGTGAAAGTCATTTCGGCCTGCGATTGAAAATCAGTGGCTGTAAAACATAATAAAACAAAGAATTCTCACCTTAAAGTAAGCACCGTTGAAAGCACTCTCATCGTTAACAACCATCAAACCAACTTGCCATTTAAAGAGGGAGTCTTCATTCATCTGTGCAATAAAGTTAGTGAGTTTCGAGAAGAGCAGCCATTATGCAAGAGTCTCCTACTTCGATATTGACCCATTTCTCTTTGGCCAGTCCCTTGTACTCGGACATCAAACGATTTTTCGCAGCAACGGCAGACATTTTGACGATGTTCTTTATTCTGCACTCTCAAATGAAATCGATAGAAATTGAGAAGTAGATTTTTGCAAAGGACTTTTGGAGTCGAGACAGGTTTAAATAGTGTGGTAGTTATAGTAGGATGATTTGAACCAGAAACAACTCGAGTAAGACTGAATGAATGTGAATGATGGAGATGAGGTTGTTTAAGAGTGGATGACCGACAAGGTATGTGGGTGTCGAAAGTGAGACCTTTGTAGAATGTCGGGAGTAGAGGATTGAGTGTGTTGAGTATTGAGTGAGTATTGAGTAGTCAGGAATTCAGATGTAGAGATTGAACTAGGAGGGTAGAGAAGCGTTTATAAGTATCCTTGAGGAGAAAAAAAGTGAAATGTTGGATGATGGACCGTAGAAAGTCGAGGATTATGTACGGTTATGTATGGTTTTGTAAGAGTTTAAAATAGTTTCGCTGGCTGATTTGCCCAAGGTACGTTGCGCTACTACTCCGTAGTCTGCAGAATGTTTGCTACGGTATTTTTCGGGCACCAGCGACTCGCCTTCAGAGAGCAAGGATTGTGTGACAAAATGACAAAATGAGTGAATCAGTGAATACCCCAAAATGGTTTTAAGCTTTCGATTATTGTGGATTCCAAAAAGGGTCAGGATAATAAAGTCGAGTGAGCATCTTTGCGCTTATCTCCAAAAATAGTTAAAACTCGAGTCGCATGATTTTGATATTTCGAGACTTCGGCATGGCACAATTCGTACAGAGTGTAGAATCACCAACAGTAGCTAGCAACTTGTCTGCCCGGCGGTCAGGATATGATGATGCTGTATCATCCAACGCCAACTGATAATTTTCGGATTCGTTCAGCAGTACGATATGTGTCCTACCTATGGTGAATATTAACACAAACAAGTACGTACCAACTAGAGGTTTCAAGTGTCTATGTTGGCAGTTCCCATTTTTATTCCGTGTCATGAACGGAGCCACCGAGAGGCGAGGGGCACGGAGTAGATGCTACGATAAGCAATCACAAGGACCTAAGTGGCGCTAAACAATAATAAGTGGAATGCGATCGAAATCTTCAATTATCTGCCGAATTGCGGGTACGATGTCATATGCCGATTGAAAGGCAACTCCAACCCAAAGTTTAGGTTTGTCTATCATTCATGTCACTTCAAGAATTTCGCAATTACATATGCACTTTTATATAACGTGCAGTGGTCGGGATCATGTTGAAGTGTAGCCACTGTAAGCGAATATACCCCTTTTATACTACAGTCCCATCCTATCCCCAATAATAACACCACTACTTGATTCTCTGAAAATTGTGCAAATATTGGACTACTAATAGCTTGGGCACAAATATATCAGATTTTAATTGAGTCTAGAGACGCGGACTACAAATCTTCACATCTGTTTCAAAGTCTTTTCATGATAAAAGTGCGACGGATTGATGCGAAAAGTGAAAATGTATATATCTTCGAGGTATTAAGGTACAAATTTTGCTAACACAATGTAACGCCAATGCCATCCCGTTGGTATTGCCATTAATAAACGCCAAGAATCATACTTCACATGGATTCAAGTAGAATCAGTATTCCCACTTCCAAATTTGTAATGTGATACAACACTCAAAACGGACTAGAATTATCGAATGCTGTTTGTCCCTAATGCTTGAGCTCTTCTTTTCTCGGCATTCTTCAGGGCTAGCCTTGCTTTGGCAGCTGCAACTCTATCTGGAGGCAAGGCACACTTTGATGGACTGGATCTCCGGCTCGATGCAATAGTGGTCGGACGAGGTACCCCACGTTCATTGTTTGACTTCAACTGGTCAACAGCTCTGGATCGAGACACTGTAGCTTTAGGAGGACTTGAGGGAATGTTATATATCTTTGGTCTAGGACTGTCTAGACACCTCTCGCGACTAGTTCGTGTATGAAGAAGAGGCAAGGATGGGACTTCGGCTTGCAAGTTTATATCTGATGAATCGAGGGAAAGATCCGCATATCGATTGGCGAGAGGAGTATAATCAACCTTCTTCGATTTCTGGAAAGCATATTGTTCCATAGATGCAAGGTTAGTAATCTCAGATAAGGCTGCATGTGATGATCGTTGTGTGATATCAGTAGATGCTTCAAAATGAGTAGGTTTGGTAGAGGCAACTGTTTTGGATGGCCGTGCAATAGAATGACTCAAGACTGGAATATTACTTGTAAAAGCATGTGACTTCTCAGTTGGATGGCTTCTGGTTCGGAACAAATCATAGCCCGATCCTGTTACTTCGTCATAGGTAGAACCACGAACAAATTCTCTCAATTTGGCTATCTCCTTCTCGTATGCATCGACCATTGTATCGTATTCGATGGACTTTATGTGAAGAGCCTGTTCCGCATCTTTTATAGTCGATTGTTCGCCTTTCAAGGATGCGATTTCTTTCTTAAGTTCCACTACTTGATCATGACGCTTTCTCAAGAGCTGCTCTGCGTCGCGTCTTGAACTCTTTGCCGTTTGCTTCATGTGATCGTAATCTTTTTGAAGAGCCTTTAAGCGATCCTCTTTCTTCTGGCGTTGTCCTTCTACGAGCTTTAAACGCTTCTCCCAGCTTTCTGTATGCTTCTGGAACCGCAGTTCAGAATGTTGCAAATCTTGTGAAAGCTTGATGTTTTCCCCTTTAAGCTTAGAAACAGTTCTATCGGCGGTGGCTAAAGCTTCTAAGGCTTGCTCTAATTCATTTTGGGTGGAGGCCGTGTCTCTGGATTCATTCTTCGCACTCCTCATTTCAGTCTTTGGGACAGCTGCCGAAAGACTTCCATCCCCTTCCATAGCTTTGCGAAATTCTTCGACTTGGACGCGATATTGAAAAGCCAAGGCAGTCTGACGAGCAAGTTCCCTCATGAGTGCCGGTGAAGTATCTCCTTTGGCTTTCCCATCTGCTGCAATCTGCGACATTAACTCAGTGATATTGTTTTCCATTGAGGCAACCTTGGCTTGCTCTTCCTTCAGTTTTTCTGCGAGATCGAGAGCTTCTGCATCTTTTTTCTTCGCATAAGACTTTGCGAGCTGCTTGTACCCTACTAACTTCTTCATTTGAATCTGTGCCTCATCGTGGTACTTTTGAAATTCAGATTTCCAGAATTTGCCAGATTGGGACCGAGGATCGTTGATGTCAATCGTAATATCTGCATCACTGTCGACTCCAGACACTGATTCTTTCGCCAGCTGCACATCATTTGATCGTGAATTTTTCGGTTCCTTCGTGTCCTTTCGTGTTTTTACATCCTTCGCCTTGGTCAAAGCCGAATTGGATAGTGTCGAAGAGGTGGTAGAAGGTTGATTGCGCTTTTTGAATGCACTGTCCGATCCACGAGAGTCTTCTAAAGTTTTCAAAAGCGAGGTCTTTCTGCTTGGCTGTGATAGTTCTTCCGGTTGGGCGATCCATGAATTGAGGGCTTTCCCTGGTGTTGGTGCCCTGCCAACAATTTTCTGTGGCCTGTCCTTTCCTTCGTTATCATCGACATCTGATCCGAAAGACACAGTCTTTCTTCGAGTCGCCGCAGTTCCAGGGGTCATTAGTATTCCTGGTGGTTTCGTTGGGGAAGCTGATAGATAATGTGGCAGCCGATTATCTCTGCCTGCTATTGGATCGTCCTCCTTTTCGAGTCCATATAGTGTATCGTCTTGAGGAAGGCCAGGTGTACCAAAGAACGCACTTTTGAGTGCGCGAGCAGCAAAGACCGGGGCTGGAGTCTCCGGTGCATCTATCTCAGGGTCTGCGCCTATGAAGTGTAAGCATTTTATATCTTCTATATACTCAAATTATGATAAGTTTATACCTGCAACGCGCTCGGCACCATCTGGCCTTCCCAACCACCAGTTGAGCATAACTAAGGTAGCAAATTGGAAGAAGTTGATAAACAATCAATGGCTATAGAATTTCCACCAATTAATAATTCGAGAAGTTGGTTATCAAGACTATTAAAAGCATTCACACAGTACATCCATAAACTTCCTTTGGAAAGCACAATTAGTGCCTGAACCCTTTTTGTTTACTTACAAGGATTAGATCGGACGCGAATATGCCAGGCAACCGCAACCGCAACCGCGGTTCCCCGCGTTTAAGCCTTGCCCTGACATGGAATTCACTGATGTCCTTAGCATCTAATTGGGCAATTGATGATCAAGGCTATTTCAAGGTAGTAAATCCCTTAATTAACACATAAATTTGTCTCCATCCAAATGCCTGTCCGGATAGAGATCAACCTTCAAGCTCGCGATGAAAAGAAAACAACAAGACGAGAAGGAAAGAACAAGAGGCAACAACGACCTTCATGTGAAACGAACTCGATCAAGTAATCGAATATCGGCAGAAGTACATCATCAATCCGAGGACGTTATTTCATCAAACAACAATATTGCAAGTCAATCTCCTACAGGGGAAAAAGAGAACATTATCGGCTCAGAAGATTCGGAGGAAGACAGAGAAATAAATCTCAACAACAATAATGCTACGCTACCAGAATCGCAGTCGAAGGCTGATAGGTCACCGAGTCGTCCTACCTTAAGCCCAATCAAAGCTCAGAGTCAATCTACCCCCAAGTCCTCACGGTATGGCGACAAATTATTCGCAACGCCTATCAAAGTCAAAGGTATAACTGGGACAGATGAAACTCCACGCCTTCGACGCAACATTGATCGCTCGGCCAGAAGGAAGAGTACTAGAACCCTTATTGAACGTACAGTATTAGGCCTCAATAGCGACAATGATGATGAGGAAGAGGACATTGCGAACCAGATATATGATTCAGACGAAGATGGCGAAGTCAGGATAGGCAACGGCGATACAATTCAAGTATCGGAAGATCTACGCGAACCTTCTACTCCCTCTAAGCGTGGACGGGGGCAATTGAAAGGAACAAAGGCTCGGCAAAGATCATTGACACCACCTCAGGACCTTACAGCTCACGAATTATACTTCTCTCAAAATAGGCCAGGGAGGTCCAAAACTGCGAATTCCAATCTATCTTCTCTGGCATTACTAGATCACGAAGAATACTTCAGTCTTGCTCGGAGCTACAAAGACCAGCACGAAGATGATATGAACTTTCTCCAAGATGTACATGCCAAATCTTTCAACCAATGGCAATTTGAGCTCGGCCAGGACTTCAACATTTGTGTTTATGGTTGGGGTTCAAAAAGGTCTCTTCTTCTCAAATTTGCTGAACACATCTATAACACCATGACTAATCATTCTCGGCAGAGAATAGTCGTGGTGAATGGTTATGTACAAAATCTCACAATTCGAGAGCTTTTGAATACAATAGCCTGTTCTATCTTTGGTCATGGCACGAAAATAGGTTCACAGCCCGCAGAAATGCTTGAAAATCTCACGAATATACTTGATGGAGACAAAAGTCAACATGTGACTTTAATAATCCATTCTCTCGACGGATCTGCTCTTCGTCGCCCTGCATCCCAAACGATACTCTCACGTTTGAGTTCTCACCCGCAGGTGCATCTAGTCGTGTCTGTAGATCACCCTTCCTTCCATTTGCTTTGGGATAGTTCGCTTCGCTCAGCCTTCAACTTTCTATTTCACGATTGTACAACTTTTCTACCTTACACAGTAGAAGTCGACGTTGTAGATGAAGTACATGAACTTCTGGGGAGGAGCGGACGCAAAGTAGGGGGTAAAGGAGGTGTAAGCTTTGTGCTCAAGAGTTTGCCTGAGAATGCAAAGAATCTTTTCAGAGTCTTGGTAGGGGAACAACTTGCAACTATGGATGAAAACCTCGTAGGTGAGCATAATGATGACGATGAAGATGGCGTACATGGAGCTGCTAGTAGGAAGAGTGAGCCTGGTGTAGAATACAGGGTGCTATACCAGAAAGCTGTTGAGGAGTTCATTTGCAGTAATGAAATGAATTTCAGAACGTTGTTGAAAGAGTAAGTTTATAGTCGTCCGATCGATATATGATGATAGCTAATCCTTTCTTAGATTTCATGATCACCAGATGATAGAGAGTAGAAAAGATGCTCTGGGGACAGAGGTACTATTTGTACCTTTTAGAAAGGAGGAATTGGAAAATATTCTTGAGGACATTGTATCGTAAGGGATTTTCAGCTGTTGGATATTCTTAGCAAGGTGTTCAGGGCTGCATATTGAGCATTTACAGGTATCCATGGATGGCATAGGAGGGCCTTTTGCCAGTCAATCAAATTAATTTACATTCAATTATTGCAATTCAATCATTTCACCACCCCTTTACAATTTTCGTTGTTCTGTCAGCTACCTACCTATGCATATACCCGCTCCGGATGATCATCTTGGTTCTCACAACTTTCAGGTCCAATACCTGGGTGATTCAAAATGCCCTTGGCGGGCAACTAATTTCGACTGTGGGTGTAGCCTTGCAGGCTAGGCTGACAAGGCTAACCCCACTAATATGAATACCAAATCTTTTTGGCTGTACCGGTGCCGTCATGTAATTAAGTTCTTCCTGATGTTACGCCAAACACACAACAAATACAGGAAATTTCTAACAATGGCTCGTGCAGCTCCTAAGAATCCCTTGATATTTGTTCTCGGTGCAACTGGTACTGGAAAATCACAAGTGGGTCTAGAAGTTTGTCATTGAGAACGACGGCTAATTGATCATTCTACAGTTGGCTATCGACCTCGCAAAACGATTTAATGGCGAAATAATAAATGGTGATGCTGTGCAAATGTATGAAGGTTTACCTATCATTACAAACAAGGTCACTGTCGAAGAACAGAATGGTGTTCCACACCACTTGCTAGGATTCATTCCCCTGGATGCGGAAACATGGACGGTGGGGACATTCAAGGATCGCGCAAGCCAGATAATTCAGGAAATTCGATCCAGGGGACGATTACCTATTGTAGTAGGCGGAACGCACTATTATACACAGTCTCTTCTATTTGAACATGAGCTCGTTTCTTCCGGGAAAGGTTCTGGGGTAGGGCAGGATAATCAACAGCTCTCCATAGAGGAATTATCCAAACGATTCCCAATACTCGATGCACCCACAGAACAAATACTGGATCGATTGAGGGAAGTTGATCCTATCATGGCTGCGCAGTGGCATCCTAATGACCGGCGTAAGATTCAGACGTCGCTGCAGATATTCTTAACAAGTGGAAAGAAAGCCTCCGACATTTATAAAGAGCAGAAAGAGACCAAGGCCATGGCCCAGGCTTCCTCGGACGGTACATCGGATCATCCAGACGCATTTAGCATAGGCTCACCATTGCTATTTTGGGTTCATGCGAAATCAGATACTCTCAAATCGAGGCTTGACAAACGAGTCGATAAGATGATTGATGTTGGCCTATTGGACGAAGTCAAGTCTATGGAGACAATTCGACAAGAATTCATTCGTGGTGGTATTGATCTTGATCTTTCTCGTGGAATATGGGCCTCTATCGGCTGGAAGGAATTTGAGCTGTACCTACGCGCCCTTGAGTGGGAGGACAGAGATCCCAAAAAGCTGGATGCTCTCCACGATGATTCGCTAGAAAAAATGAAGGCAGCCACTCGACAATATGCAAAAAGACAGATTCGATGGATCAGTCTGAAATTGATACCAAGTCTTGTTCAAACGAACGCCCTCGATAGATTATATCTCCTCGATGGAACAGATGTATCATCATGGTTGGAGAATGTGTCAGGCCCTGCTGTTGATATTACCCAAGAATTTCTTCTTGGCAGCAAGCTGCCATCACCAAGTGAAATGTCAGCTTTAGCTGGTGAATTTCTAAATCCCGAAAAGCCTTTGCAACACTCCCAGAGCAAAGCCCGTTGGGTGCCAAAGAAATGTGAAATATGTCATGTCGTCGTTATGACAGAAGGTCAATGGCAAGTGCATTCTACAACCCGCGCCCATCGACGAATGGTGAAGAAGCTGCAGAAAAATGGGGTAACTGGTAGGTCCTGTCACGATAGCGAAAGGGGTGGTGGCACATCGTCATTTGCTACTTGAGAGGCACCAAATGCTGTGCCCACAGACATAAATGACGCAGATCTCCAACCCCCACGCCAGGCCAGCAGTATACTTTGGTAGCTTTCAGAAGTCGTGACAGATCTTTGGTAACATGACCATTATCAAAATTGTAGCCAAGATCCAGCCTTACGAAAAATCGACGAGAATAAAACCAAGAGTAACCTGACATCTTACGCGAGGCTGTTAGTAAGACTCCTGGTTGTACTTGATGCTGCACATCAAAACGGAGATTAGGAACTACTACAAACGTAGAATTTCCCACGCCGGCTGTACCTCGAGTGGTAGTACTTCGTGGAGCACTTTTTTGTGTACACACGAGAACGAACTCACATCAGATCATTTCAACAACTTGTTCTGGGCTGTGAGTTTAATTTCAATGGGTTCGTCGAAAGCTTTTGAGTTCCCAAAAATTGATAAGATGGAGACCATTGAACATGGGCCAACAAATTTTTCAAGAAAAAAATATTTTTTTAAAAAAAAACAGGAGCTGGCTGTGGAAAATTGTCTCACTTGTTTCAATCCTGCAATGTTTTCTCAGCTACTAGGTATATATTATCGACATTTACATCCCGTGTCTTGATTGGAGCCCATCTATCTGGTAATCCGATAACGAAAGTTTGACTATTTAATTTGTCAATTCAAGGCGGCTTCGATAGCATGAGGAAATTTACGACTTGTTAGATGTGGGAGGAGAGTGCACTGCTAACAACGAGGGACTACTAGGTATTTACGTACCAAGAACCTAGTACACGGGATTCAACATGTCAACCTGCTTTGCCCCTTGATATGGCATTTACAACTTGTTACACCCACATGGAATTTAGACAACAACCGTGCCAACCCAGAACCCCAGCAATTTACTCGAGCTTATAACGTGCTCTCACAAAGCTTGATTTGAACGCGAATGACAAGGGAAAGCGCCCCGCAAACGTCCTTCTTAACAGACTGTTTTTAAATATATCTTCAATGATTACTACACAGCTCGATATATATTTCAAGTTCTTGAAATACAAATCTCGGTGTGTCGTACGACATAACTATTAGCAGTATCCTTTATATCACACAATGAAAGCAACCAATCGAATTCCTCGTGGCATCTTTTTAACAATCAATCAATCGAGCAAGGAGGCCCTGTTCGTTCCATGAGGGATTTATTTCCCAGATCTCATTTTCGCAGCTAACCTAACGTTGACCAGCGGACTTGGATCGGATTTTCACTACAAAGACCACATACATAACAATTCAACAACGAATGAATACGATTTTTATATGAGCGATTTGATACAACGTCTAAATTGCAGAGATTGGCTACCGCTTGCATGGGTGGTTTCAATTTTATTACGTTGCTGTCAAGATTGACAGGCTTCCAGATGCGCCTTGAAGTTACAGATCTTGACTACATTCGGCTTTGGTTTCTGGAATGCAAGTGAATTTGTATTATCTGTAGGTAGCTGTGTGGTGGAAACAGCTTGTGCTACTACCCACCTATCTATATCATTCTCATGAGATGCGAAATTGTTCCGCGCGATATATATCACAATCAGAAAATTTGTATATGCTCCCGCGCTTACGCCACAACCTCTGGTAGGACAATTCATTTTTTTCTATACAAAAAAATTGGGACAAGGTAGGTTTGTATCCATCAACTAGTCTTTTGGAAACAAAAAATAATTTGGCACTGCCCCATCTGCTTGCCATACCTACTCGAGCTTGTTTGTTGCTGTATCTCCTAAGTCTTTTGGTGCTTGCTCTTCTGATCTACTTAAAGTTGTTGTTAACCTCCCTCAACAATTCAAATCATTCGAAGTCGTTGGATTGCTTGACATCCCCAAACCGTTTATGTTTTTGGTAGCATCAATTTCTTCCACCCTTCTTCCCATGATCACTTATATTCACTTCTTTTTATCGTTGAACATCCAATAAGTGGTACGACTCCAAGAGCTCTTCTGCTTTGCAGCTGTACTTCATACCCACTCAAGTGGCAGTTTCGCATTAGCAAGACATTTCTGTAACAACAACACATCTGCAAAACTTTTAATCCGCAACCCCTACAAGACCACCACTACGATACTCTGAAGATCAATAACATGGACGAAAAATCCGCGCCTACCTCACTTGAGGACCACGACGATGAAATCTTTCACGTCCAACCTAGACCCGAAGCCCGAATCAGATTCGGCGCACGAGATGAAGAGACGGGCAGACAAATAAATACACTCCCTAGAATGACTCGGACAGCCACAAATAACTCGCAGCTATCAACCACAAGCTCAAGGCGCCGCAGAGTTTCCATCGATCCAGCAACTGCTCTGCCAATTACTTACCGCACAGTCTCTTTTGCCATTGAGGAAACTAAAGAAAAACAGCGAGTCGATGCAGACCGTGCAAAGAAGGGCGCTGCAGCTGAGCTTGGTGATTTGGAGTGGCATACTTTGTCGACAGACGATGTTGTAAATATGTTGGAGACATCACTTGCTCAAGGTCTCTTGAAAGAACAGGTTGAGGTTAAGACAAAAGAATTTGGAAAGAACATGCCTTCAAAGCCACCTTCAAACTTGTTCTCGAGGGGTAGGTTTAACTTCATGTCTATTGGCAACTCATCTATGCTCTCATTTACTTGGAACCTCCTCTAATCGTTTTATGCTCTAGTTTTTGGATATCTATTCGGTGGATTTGGATCGGTCTTGCTGATTGGTGGTATTTTGGTTACTATCACCTATGAACCATTAGGAAAACCAAATCCGGCACAGGCAAATCTTGCTCTTGCAATCGTACTTTATGCTGTATTCGTCATTCAAGCACTATTCAATGCATGGCAAGATTGGTCGTCATCTCGGACGATGGCATCTATCTCCGGCATGCTTCCCGACGACTGCTTTGTCCTCCGCAATGGCAACCGCGTAGAACTTGCCGCAGTTGATCTAGTTCCCGGTGACATACTTTATATAAAGGCCGGTAACAAGCTACCTGCAGATGTTCGGTTCGTTGAAATATCATCCGATGCTAAATTTGATCGCTCCATCTTGACTGGCGAATCGCAACCTATTGCTGGTTCAGTCGAAAATACAGACCTCAATTACCTGGAAACGCACAATATTGGTATGCAGGGAACTCATTGCATCTCCGGAAGCGCGATAGGAGTCACTGTGAGCACGGGAGACAAGACGGTCTTCGGAAAGATTGCTAAATTGACCAATACGCCGAAGACAGGCATGACGACACTGCAAAAGGAAATCTTGAGGTTTATCATAATCATCTGTTCCATCATGATATTCTTCAACATAGTTGTCATTGTCTGTTGGTCTGCATGGTTGAGACACTCCCACCCTGACTGGATTTCCACTGCTGGGTTGATTATTGGTATGTAGCTTTTCCTTCTCTCACTTATCTGGTTCATCGCTAGGAACTAGAAGGGGTTTTTGGCTAAGAAATTTTTACCGCAGACATCGTAACAGTGGCAGTCGCATTTATTCCTGAGGGTTTGCCCATCGCACTAACCGCTTCCCTGACCATTACGGCGAATATAATGAAGAGCAACCAGGTCTTATGCAAATCCCTAAAGACTGTCGAGACTTTGGGAGCTGTATCAGTTATTTGCTCGGATAAGACTGGAACATTAACAAAGGTGACATTACTGGCACTCGTCCTTATATATTCCTAGGAATCTTCCAGCTAATTGTCTCCTCAGAACAAAATGTTTGCAACCGAGTGTTCAATCGCAGAGAAAACAATGACACCTGAGCAAGCTGTTGAGTTCCAAAATCTCAATGGCAAGACTATCAATTCCGTGGCTCAACTGCGATCCCTTGCAGGTTTATGCAATGCTGGCGAGTTCGATGCTGCTACGCTCAATCTTCCTCTCGCGGAAAGGAAGATTGCAGGAGATGCGACAGATCAGGCAGTTCTTCGACTATCAGAGACATTTGGAGAGGTTCGACAATTGCATACTTTATGGAGAAAGACTTTCGAGCTAGCATTCAACAGCAAGAACAAATTCATGATCAGGACTCTGAGGCTATCTGACCCCGAGGGCTTGAGACTTGCGGTATCGCCTGAGGAGCTAGCCGAATGGAGAGATGATGATCTTCTGTTGACTATTAAAGGAGCCCCAGACATTCTAGTGGAGCGCTGTACTAAATACGTTGGTGAAGATGGACATGTGTACCCGATGAACCCGGAGAAGAAGGCGTCTATTGAAGAGATAAAAAACAAATGGTCAAGTCAGGGAAAGAGGGTGATTCTACTTGCAAGAAAAGTGCTTCCAGGCCACCAAAAACAGCATAGGCCCGAAAATAACACTTTTGAGGCCGAGATTGTGCGACAGGCTGGCAGCGATTTGACTTTAGTGGGACTTGTTGGCATCGTTGATCCTCCTCGAGATGAAATTCTAGAGGTAGTCAAGGTTCTAAGAAGAGCTGGTATCCGAATTTTCATGGTCACTGGTGATTTCAAACTCACAGCTCAAGCTATTGCTATTGAATGTGGCATCATCACTACCCCTTCTGAGATGATTCACGATGTTTCTAAGCTCAGCAGAAACGGTATAGAGACCCCAAAAAGCATTTCAAGTGGTGTCATGTCTGAGAAAGACGTGGACTCTAAGCACGGAGACGCGAGATCGATAGCTCTGAGCGGTCCGGATTTGATGAGTTTGAACGACAATCAATGGGATCAACTTTGTCAATATGAAGAGATTGTTTTCGCACGTACTACTCCTGAGCAAAAGCTACGCATCGTCAAAGGTATATTCTCAAATTTGTCTCCCGAACTATTTTGCATATGACTAACACGAATATAGAATTTCAAAAACGCGAAAATATTGTAGGTATGACGGGCGACGGAGTCAACGATGCTCCATCTCTAAAGGCCGCCGACATTGGTATCGCTCTCGGAAGTGGCTCGGATATTGCCATTGAGGCTGCCGATATGGTCCTTCTCGATTCTTTCGGTGCCGTTGTCGAAGCCGTCAAATATGGTCGTGTAGTCTTTGACAACCTCAAGAAAACTATCATCTACCTTCTTCCCGCAGGAACCTTCTGCGAATTCCTCCCCATCATTACCAACGTCATTCTAGGTCTTCCTCAAATCCTGAGCTCTTTCCTCATGATTATGATTTGTTGTCTCACAGATTGTGCTGGTGCCACAGTTCTTGCTTATGAACAACCGGAAGCCGATGTACTTTTGAGGAAACCGAGAGATGTCAAGAAAGATAAGCTGGTCGATTGGAAATTGTTGTTCCACGCCTACATCTTTCTGGGTGTACAACAAGCCATTGCGTCGTTTGCAATGTCTTATTGGTATTGTCAACGGAGAGGAGTTACATTTTCGATCTTGTGGTTGGGATATGGAAAGTACCCGCCTCATTTGAGTGATGAGTATGTACAGCAAGTGTTGGCTGTGGCGAGTAGTATTTATTTTGTCAATTTGGTTATTATGCAGTGGTTTAATCTGATGGTAAGTCGTTTTTCTTCGCTTTATCCATTTTCCCTTACTCTTCTTACTTTATCTTCTCATGTCCTTCCTAGCTAACCAAAAATCCAGGCAACTCGTACCCGTCGCCTCTCAATTTTCCAACAACCACCTGCATTCAATAAAGCAACACAAAATCTCTGGCTATTCCCGGCAATACTTTTCGCCCTCGTCGTTATATTCATATTCCTCTACATACCAGGATTGGCGTCTGCAATCAACAGTAGCCCAATTCCAGTGGAGTATTTCTTCTTGCCGTTGGCTTTCGGTATGTGGATACTTTTCACAGATGAGGCGAGAAAGTTTTGTGTGAGGAAGTGGCCAGAGGGTTGGTTGGCGAGAATAGCTTGGTAGAGGGACAAAGAAGGGAAGGCAACGTTGACGCTTTTGGGGGCAGAGGACAGGGGGTTAGAGCGGATGGGAGCGGTAATGCAAGATGATAGATGGTCTGGGTTAAAAATGTATAAATGGGAGGGATTCGATCTTGACTTCAATGGATGGCACTGGCACTTCTTGGTTACAGATTATGATCATGATTGTATCAAAATACGTTTAGATGAACTAATGGACAATGAAAGCATTGCAATTCACTTTGTATATGATTGAATAATCAATGCTTTGGTAGCATTATGTTCATCGTACCTGAGTTGACTATAAGCCATGAAACTTCTGTGAATTCTTGATCAGAACTCAGACTACTCATAGTTTGGGTATTGGAAGAAAAATTCTATTACTTTTGTGAAGACAATTGGTTGCTACTACCATTGTCGGTGAGAGCTCAATGGCTTTTTTAAGGCCGCCAATGTAGAATATTTGATTCCCGATTTTGAAGTTGGAGATGTGTCTTGAATAGACATATGATCATATAAATGACCCATACAAAGTACACCAGTATGAATAAATCATAACAAATTCTTACTCATCTCATATTTTCATCTGTTCTCAACATCTTGCATAAAAGGGGTACGGATTGACACTAGTGAAGCTCTACCCTTTGCTGACTCATCTCCATGCACCCAAAGGCCACATCTTTACATTAAGGCACCAGTCCCAAAATCTACTAGTGCCACCACCTTGAATTAACCCCAAGCTTTGAGATCTGTTCGGATTATTATTCCTGTCAACACTTCACAATCTGCGACATTTATTCAAATAGCAGAGCACAGTGCCAACGTGCCATTCTTTAACTCTTCTTCTCATTCCTTTTTTCCACTTCTGTGAGGTTTTCAGATATTAAACCGCCAAGATGAGTGGCCGTAAGTTATTTCTATTATTCGTTCACAGCTCGTCGTCATAAGTGTGGATGAGCTTCTAAAACTTCAAATTTCTTCCCACAATCAATTGCAAAATACTGACAATGTATCCTCATAGTTCGATTCCTCGATCTCATCAAACCCTTCTCGCCGTTCCTCCCCGAGGTTCAGCAACCCGAGACAAAGGTCCCATTCAACCAAAAATTGATGTGGACGGGTTTGACACTATTGATATTCTTGGTTATGAGCCAAATGCCATTGTATGGTATTGTGTCCTCAGATACCTCTGATCCTTTATACTGGTTGAGAATGATGTTGGCAAGTAACAGAGGTACTTTGATGGAATTGGGTATTACACCAATTATCTCCTCCGGAATGGTTTTCCAACTTCTTGCTGGTACCCATTTGATTGATGTTGATCTTGACTTGAAGGCTGATCGCGAGTTGTATCAAACCGCGCAAAAGCTCTTCGCTATTATCTTGTCAATGGGTCAAGCTACTGTTTATGTCTTCACTGGATTGTACGGTCAACCATCCGATCTCGGTGCTGGTGTCGTCTGCCTTCTCATCCTTCAATTGGTTGTTGCTGGTTTGATTGTCATTCTCCTCGATGAGCTCCTCCAAAAGGGATACGGTCTTGGAAGTGGTATCTCCCTCTTCATCGCTACCAACATCTGCGAGTCTATCATCTGGAAAGCATTCTCTCCCACTACCATCAACACCGGTCGTGGCCCAGAATTCGAAGGTGCCGTTATCGCACTCTTCCACTTGCTTTTGACATGGCCAAACAAGCAACGTGCTCTCCAAGAGGCTTTCTATAGGCAACAACTCCCCAACATCATGAACCTTTTGGCTACCATCGTCGTTTTCGCAACTGTTATCTACCTCCAAGGTTTCCGCGTTGAAATCCCAGTCAAATCTTCCCGCCAACGTGGTGCTCGTGGTTCTTACCCAGTTCGTCTTTTCTACACCTCCAACATGCCAATTATGCTTCAATCCGCTCTCTCTTCCAACGTCTTCCTTATCTCCCAGATGTTGTACTCCCGATTTTCTGAGAACTTGCTTGTCCAACTTTTCGGCGTTTGGGAGGCAAAGGAGGGTTCAGCACAACTTTTCGCTACTTCCGGTATCGCATACTACATGTCCCCACCTTTGAACTTCACCGATGCTCTTCTCGACCCAATCCACACTGCTGTCTACATTGTTTACATGCTTGTCGCATGTGCCATCTTCTCCAAGACTTGGATTGAAGTTTCCGGTTCCGGCCCAAGAGACGTTGCTAAGCAACTCAAGGATCAAGGACTTGTCATGGCTGGTCACAGAGAACAAAGCATGTACAAGGAGTTGAAGCGCATTATTCCTACTGCTGCCGCATTTGGTGGTGCTTGCATTGGTGCCCTCTCTGTTGGTAGTGATTTGATGGGAGCTCTCGGCTCTGGTACTGGTATTTTGTTGGCTGTCACGTAAGTACATTCACTTCAATATTACCGAATACAATCAACTAACACTTTCCCAGTATCATCTACGGATATTTTGAGATCGCTGCAAAGGAGGGTGATATGGCCGGCATGAAGGGCATGATCATGGGATAAGGAAATCCCTTTTCATATCTTTCAATTTCTTCTTGTACGCTTGATTACATAAAAGTAAAGCAAAATGATTTAGGATTGGTGGTTGATAGGAAAATTGGGACGGGTTTCGGAGATGAAAGATGTGTAGATGAAAGAGACAATATCATTTTATCTACATACTGACTATGATCTTTGTGTAATGTAACAATAGGTGCGGATAGGTTGGGGATGGGGATGGGTGTACTTTTTGGGACTGCATTGCATGAATTCTGATAGTAGCATGAGATATAAAAAGCAGGCACTTATTGTACAATTTGTAAAGAAATATTTGATAAAGATTGGATTTGCGTTGTGATTGTGAGGGTAATTGTGATTATAATCATGTGGATACTACTGAACGCTATGCTATCAAAAGCTATTTCAAGTGTGCTGTTGTAGCAATTATATAGTAAGTATTATTTATATATTACCTACCTAGGTAGGTAGGTAGTAATAGCTCTCCATCCCCCCTTCGTCTTTCTCCCCCTTCTGCCTCAGACGCAGACAAGGACAAGAATCAAAAAAAACTCTCCCGATCTCACTTGCTTACAATTATATTCAAGTATAGTATATAGACAGAACAGAGGATATACGTACATACATACATACAGATATTTATTTACTCACTCACATACTCATTCACATACTCCCTAGACCCAGAAACGGAGTCAGAAGCGCAACTAACCAACCAACCAACCAATCAACCAACAGGGCTCAAGCACTCAGTGACATTAAAAATATAAAAAGTTCTGATTTCAATACTTATTTATTTATTCATCATTCTCTCTCTCTCTCTCCCCCTCTCTCTCTCCTTTAATAAAAATAAAATATGTACCTTGCTGAACCTTCCCCAACCACAACCACAACCTCATCTACTCACAGCAGCACCAATAAGTGATTTTCCGCCACCCACCGATGCCAAATGCAAATAACCAACCAAGCCCAACAATCCATCTACAAAATGTCAAAGTCCCAATGCATTTATTTATTTATTTATTTACCACAACAGAAAGAAAAAAATTATGTATAGTTCTTCCCCTTTCTCCAAAATGCTCTCACTATACTGCATTCTTCCTTCCTTTTCACGTCCCCCCCCCCATCTCTCTACTCATCATCCACCAATCTTTTTGCCTCCCAAGCCTTCTTCGCCGCCTCTTTCAACCCGTCCAAATCCCCACTCGTCTCACACATCCCTCTAAAAATCGCATCCTTCCCTTCCTTTTTCAGCAACTCATGCGGATGAGCATATTCGACCACCTCTCCCTTATCCAGTACCAACACCTTGTCATAATCCACAATTGTTTGCAAACGATGCGCAATTGTGATAATCGTACTCTTGAGTTCTCTTATCGTTTCTTGAATTTTGGCATCCGTGGTATAATCAATAGAAGCAGTAGCTTCATCCATCATGAGAACCTTAGGTTGTTTAAGTAAAGCGCGAGCTAAACAAAGAAGTTGTCGTTGACCTTGTGAGAGATTGTTTCCTGATTCTGTGACGGTAGAATTGAGGTTCAAGAAGATATTCTTGTTGGTGGTTGTAGAGCCTGATGATGATTCAATAGATGGTGGTCGTGAGATACCTGGTGTGGAAGGAGCTGTCGATGTTCCTACTGGTCCAATCAAATGAACTCTTCGTAAAGCTGTAAAGATATCTTCATCTGTAAAGAGGTTGAAAGGATCTAAATTACTTCGAATGGTACCTGTGAAAAGGGTTGGATCTTGTGGTACGATAGTTATTCTCTCACGAAGATCACGAAGCCCAATAAGACCAACATCAACTTCATCAATCAAAATCTTTCCCTCCTCGGCCTCAAGACCACGGAATAGGGCAAGGGCAAGAGAACTCTTTCCTGCACCTGTGCGACCAACGATACCAACCTTTTCCAAAGGTCGGATTTTGAAACTGACATTTCGTAATACAGGATCCAAATCTTCCCTATATCTTGTAGTGTAATTAATGAATTCCACAGACCCTTGACTTGGCCAGTTTTTGGCAGGCTCAGTTTTTTCAATATACTCCGCTGCTTCTTGCTCGACATCAAGATACTCCTTGATTCGCTCTACAGAGTTCATATTTTGTTCATTCATAGAATAAAGTCGTACCATCCAAAGAACGTTCTCCGTAAAACTGATAGCATAACTCAGGGAAAGACCAGCCGAACCAGCATCGATAGTACCGATGCTACTGACAATGAATGCTCCTGCGAAAAACGCGACGAGATCACCGACCAAGTCAATTCTGAATGATAGCCATCGATTTGCTGCCCATAGATAAATAAATGGTCGACTGTGAGTGTTGATTCGTAACATGTTGTCTCGAACAAATCTTTTCTCATCACCATAAGCTCGGATAGTGGTAACTCCGTTGAGCGTCTCTCCAAATTGCTGGAACAATGGACTTCTTTGAATTGATTCGATTCTCTTCAAATCTCTTGATGATCGAAGATAGAATTTTCCAACAAAGAAGTACATGGCACTGATGAATACACCT